CTTGCGGTTAAAGAACAGTTCTCTCTTCTTAATCTTGTTATATGATCTTCAAGTTTTCTTGTAATCCATGATTTTTCACATGTTATCTCACACAACTGGTTATCTTTTCCTGATTCCTTTGGCATTTCGGAGGACGAGGTGGACTTTTCTTTCTGTAACTTTGCAATTTCATCTTGAAGATCGCTAATATTCTTTGATGTTTCACGTTTCAGTTCATGCAACTGCGTCTTCGTCATCGCCTTTTCGTTATTAAGAAACTCCATTTCTCTTTTCATGCTCTGTGCAGCATTTGTAAAGCTAGAGCGTTCTGATTTAAACGCGTCCACCTGGCTCTCTAACATCACTATTCGCTGTGCATTCAGCTCTAGGGACCCATTTAGTAACTCTACTTCCTCGCGTAGGTGTCCGCATCCACCGCGACTGTGTTCCATCCGATATTCTCTCCTCATTTCCTGCATCATTATCGTCAGCTCATCAACCTCAAACGTCAGATCTTCATTTCTTTCTTGACTGTTCTTTAAGCTTTCCTTCAAGTAATCAACATTACTCAATAGTTCTTTTCTTTCTGCTTCAAAAGCGTCAATTTGGCTCTCTAACAGAACAACTCGCTGTTCCTTCAATTCCAGGGATCCGTTCAGTAACTCTACTTCCTCTCGTAGGTGTCCGCATCCACCGCGACTGTGTTCTATCCGATATTCTCTCTTCATTTCCTGCATCATTATCGTCAGCTCATCAACCTCAAATGTCAGAATTTCATTCCTTTCTTGACTGTTCTTTAAGTTTTCCTCCAAGTAATCAACATTATTCAATAATCCTTTTCTTTCTGCTTCAAAAGCGTCAATTTGGCTCTCTAACAGAACAACTCGCTGTTCCTTCAATTCCAGGGATCCGTTCAGTAACTCTACTTCCTCTCGTAGATGTCCGCATCCACCGCGACTATGTTCCATCCGATATTCTCTCTTCATTTCCTGCATCATTATCGTCAGCTCATCAACCTCAAACGTCAGATCTTCGTTCCTATCTTGACTGTTCTTTAAGCTTTCCTCCAAGTAATCGACATCGTCCCAGAGATCTCTTACTTCCGCCGTAACCTTTTCCACGTGTTCATTTCCTTCTTCCCATTTTCGCTCCTTGCTCTGAAAATCACGTTTTAAATTTGCCAGTTCTCTTTCTTTGTATTCTTCCTTAAATTGCAGTCGCTTTACTTCAACTTTGCTCTCATCCAGGTCAGCCTGCAAAGTTTCTATCCTCTTTCGGTAATTTTCAAGTTCCTCAGTCATGACGCTCATTTGCGTTTCGAGCTCGGTATTTTCCCTTTTAAGTTTTTTCAATTCCATTTCGACGTTTTCTTTGTGGAGCTTTGGTTCATCTTCTGTGAACTTTTCTTCCGATTGCGATGCAGACTCTTTTTTACTGTTAGGTATAGAAGTTTCCAAAGCCTTGGACAACTCTTGTTGGAATAAATATCCAGAAATGTTTACGACTGCTGAAACCGATCGCTTGTATCCTGTTAAGTCGCTGCATTCGTCGGCATCCATTTTGCTATCTAATTCAAACTCTGGTTCAAGTCTGATATTTTGTGCCGCACTTGTAACGGCGTTGTCATCTTTCGCGATGTTATCGTCTATTTCCTCTCTCTCCCTGCGAAAAATGCATTCATATCGATCAACTGCATCGAAGTCTCTAATGGTAACCCCCCCTCCCCCAGACAACTTGCTCATTAGTTTATATATTACCCTTCATCAAAAAATCGTTAACTCAGGAAATTACCTCTATAAGAAATTTAAAACTGAGCAAAATCTCAACGGATTGAAAGCTCTGAGATCATTCAATCCAAATAAGATCTCTGGCAGCCAACCACTGCCAATTTTCCTGATACCTTGAAAAATAGAGTATTAAGACGCAAATAACTTTTGCGCTTCAATTCTTGGTAGTTCTGGAACTACATATAGTAGTAGTACGTACGTAAAGTATATCGAAAAAATTTCAAATAAGAAACGACCTTTGGATCATAAGCGATCAAGTGATCTCACAGGTAGATTGCAATGCGGCAAATGTAAAAGAAAAGCTTAGGAAAAAAACCTTCTTAGAACAATAGATGGACTGAAAGAGATCTGTGCACTGCCTGCTACTATTACCGGTACTTGTTTTTTTCTTAATTTTTTATTGTTTAAATTGTAACATGTTTATACCCTACCCCACTGGCCTCAGATATGAAATTCCAACATTGGGAATTGCCTTCTTGTCTGAAGATTTTGACTGACTCTCAAAGTCGTAGCCAAACCCACTGTCACTGAAATCTGCTTCAGTTCCCATATGGAGCTCTTCCCCGCGCACAGGTGCAACGTTACACTCAAAGTCTGGCGTTACTTCTACAGTTCTGGCTGAGGATGATACCTCATTAGCCGAGCCTTCTTCACGTGGTTCTTTCTCATCGTTACAGACCTGTTTAATTAAGAATAAAATGCGTTGTTTTCCTTGGAGTTGTTGAATATCACTATGATAGGGAAAACGGGCAAAAACGAAGCCAGAAATCATGATCACCACGAGTGACAAGTCGCAATTAGAATGCGTGATTCCGTTTACGACTAAGTTGCTTCTCCTCTCAGAAACTTAATTTCTGGATTCGCAGAATCGCTTCAAATAATAGATGTTATTCAAAGTTACCTGTTTCGGCTCTGTTTCTATGGGTGTAAGTTGTCGTGGTACACGTCGCCTAACGTTTGGCGTCGTTTTCTTAGCGCGCCTATAACTGCCATATTTAGCCGTAGTTGAAATAATGGAGATTGCTCTCTTCTTGCCCTGTTTTTCTTGAGTTTCTTGAAGGTTAATACCTGTGACTAAATCAAAATTGCCAATTAGTGACCCCTTAGAAAAATCAAAGACTCATATAATTTCCTTAGAAAAAGTTGTGGAGCTGTTACTGCACAAACCTGCCCCTACTCTGTGCAAATGAGCATCAACTAAGTAACGGCTTGAATTTAAGAAGATGGCAGATGACTTCTGTGAGCGGCCTATAGCGGCCTCTCTCCAGTTTCGGGTCAAAATCTCAACGACTTGGAAAATACTTTTATATAGGAAGCCAAAGTGAAAGCAAATAAATGAAAATAACAGAATATATATGAAATTAAGAGCTAAATGAACAAATGAATAAAAAAGTGGTGAAAAAGAGATCATTCGTAACAATCTTTTGTACAATGAAGGACACAAGTTATAAACAAGTCTTACTCATCAAGTTTAATAAATCGAAGAACATTGGAATAAAGTCATCCTTTTTCAGTCCTGTATGAAATGGTTACCGTAAACATTTAATTCAACTGATCTCAACTACTGCGCATCTTGCCTACAGCGTATGGTGTAATACAGTCGATTTACTATAATTCCAGCCTTTCACTTGAACCGTTTTCTAAGATCTCTTCAGTTTTTATGCAATGAATGAAAAAGTGAAGCTAGCCAAATGCTGAAACACATACCTGAATTTTTTCCAAGAGGCATTTCTCCTCGAGTTGTTTTGACATTCTTGGTTAGATTACCTTTAGTGTTAACGTTGTTCTTCCTCTCATCCACTACAATCGGAATACGCGATGGCCGCTTGTTTTGAAGTTTGCTAACTGAAATTCTCTGTAGCCGCGCTTTGTTAGCGGCTTCGTTCTCTGACAAAGATCCTCTGTCACTCTCTCTGCTCAGGCGAGTCATTCTGACTGGTATCCTTGATTTTTTCTGCAGAGGAGGAACTTGATTTTGGTGACTTTTCTTTTCGGGGTGAAGCCATGAAGCCATCGCGTCTCACCCGCGGTTTTCTCTCGCTCGATGAAAATTCCTACTCAAATAGTGTTTTTTTGTTGTTGCTGTTGTTGTGTTTTGGTTTTCTATAGTATTTAATTTTTTTGGTTTGTTTCAGATAGTTTTTCTCAAATTAGACTGTGAAATAATCCAAAATTCCAATGCTTCGAATCTCGATACTGACCGCACCGATAGCTGAAGAAAATGATTTTGTTTTGAGCCAAAATCCATGGAAACCATTTCCTACGAGTTTTTCGTCATACAGAGCAAGGAAACCTTCGATAGCTCGTGCACGGCAAGCTTTGCAGAAATCTGATAATAAATCTAATAAAAACTTAAATTTTGCAAAAATTTCTAACTGAAAACTTTGAAAGTTTTTAATTTCCCTTCGAAAAGTAACCAACATAAAAATTCCAAGCGAAAAAAAGGAAATTGACTTGAGAACCATTCACCACATCACCAACTGCTGCTGAAATACCATAAATCAAGTGTGCTGGCGAAAAATGTCAGCTTTGTCTATGACTAGATTAGGCTCCGTCTCTTCTTGGATAAAGATAATTGTGCCTTTGCAGATTTTTTTTTTATAGTTTTCCTACTCAGTTGCGTGTAGATCCATCGAAGTGACTGGAGAAGTCTTTCCCGTTTCATTCATCCAAAGATAACGGGTTTGACGACTCCATGCTCTATTTCAAGAGTTCTATCGTTGTCTGATCATTCGAATAGGAGGAATGACGGTGTAAGGGATCGATGTTCATCTTTGACCGACGAACGTGACCAGTCCACTGAATTAAATTGAGCTTCTTACTTCCTTCCGAGAAGGGCTATCACCAGTAGCAATCTGTAAGTTCAAACCCATCAGCCCTCGCAGATTTCAATCTTCCATTCGTATCGGCCCCAGTTTCTTTCAATCTAAATTATCTCGACAGAAAAAGGCTCAACTTTCACTTCAATCTTTTAAACTGCTGACGATAGTAGAATGATCAGTAAAATCGTTAACTCTAACTTTCAACTAACTTACTTCAACAGTTCCCAGACTGTTTATATTTATTTATGGTGGCAACCCGGTCAAAAGCACAAGTGCTCGCTTAACCAATCAGAGAATAGGAAAAGGAAAGGTATTCGATCAATCAAGAGAGATTGTCTTTGGTGTTGATTGACAGTTGAAAAATAATATCAGAAGTTAAGCAAGATCAAGAAGAAATTTCTGCCACGTGGCAAAGAAAAGTTTATTAGAAAATACGAAAACATCGATTATTTACAGGGAATTCTGAGCAGACTAACAACTACACTTTTTGTGGGATCATGCGGTCTGATTTTTTCCTTTATACACCCTCTCGTTGTCATCTTCGGCTTGTCTTTTGTGTACTGATGTACAGCACTGAAAAGCGAACACAGAACATCAGTAACGTACCCAACTTAACCCTTTAACTCCCGTGCGTGATCAAGACAGAATTTCTCCTTACTATATCTATACAATATCATGCAGACAAGTGATGAGAATAAAGAAAAACATCAATTATGGGATTACTAATTGATGCAATACCAAATTCTCCAAACTAACATAATGAGAATCATTTGGCAGACCGTAAGGAGAATTCCTAATGAGATCTTGGGAATTAAAGGGTTAACCCTTTAACCTCCACGAGTGACCACGGTAGAATTTCTCCTTATAACATCGTCACAATATCAAGCAGAGAAGTAATGAGAATAAAGAAAAATGTCAATTAGGGGATTATTAGTTGATTTAATACCAAATTCTCTGAACTAACATTATAATAATTGTATAGCAGTCACTAAGGAGAATTACCAATGAGATCTTACAAGTGAAAGGGTTAAATGGTGAAGGTGTATAATTTCACACCATGAATAAAGAGTTTCAATGTAAATCCTTGCTGCTAAAAGAGTGGTAGAACAAGAACAAAAGGGAAATCATATTGGATACAGAAAAGAAAAAACACATAGTAGTGCTAAGCCAAACTTTACCATTGTTTACATACTTATTTCACCAGTTTAACCCTTTAACTCCCAGATCAAATTTGTCATTCTCCTTACTGTCAACCATACAGTTCTTACAGTGTTAGTTCAGAGAATTTAGTACTGGATCAACTAATTATCCCCAAATTAATATTTTTCTTCACTCTCATCACTCATCTGTCTGATGTTGTATTGTTACTGTAAGGAGAAATTCTGTCTTGGTTACTTATGGGAGTTTAAGGGTTAATACTTTCTGTTGTTGTTGTATCCTTTTGAAAAGGGCAGTGGTCTATTACATTCTCCCTCTCAGTCAATTTTTACTTTCAAAATTGAGGAGTGTCCTTTCAACAGACTTATACCCCATTCACACCAGCAAAGCTTGTTTAACTGAATGAAAATCAGAAACAGAGTACTAGAAATTTACTGAATTTTCCATAGGGTTCAAGAAATTCAGTTAAAATTTTATTTTCAATATGTTAAATTTGCAGCTTCTATCAGGATCAAAATTTCAGACCTGCTTTGATAAAACAGCTTTCAAACATGTTTGAGCTTTGGTGTGAATGGGGTAAAAGATCCTAACAGCTACATACCATTGTTTCCTCTCAAAAAAGCATCGCCATATTTGTTTTTCAACTGAAAAATAAGGGAATGAATTAAATTAATTGGCATGCTGCACACCAAAATATCAGTTGACACTAAGCAATAGACTCCAGAGAGAATCCAGTTACCCTGCAAAGTTTGTTAACCAACAGCCTAATCTAGTCATAAACAATTCATCCTTCCTCCTAATTAACCTCACAAGCCACAGGATAAAAATTCAATTTAGACAGTAATGTTTTGCAAGTTCTATTGTGGAACTAGGAGGGAGGGCTGGGGTAGAAGAACAAGGTACAGGAATTCCCTTAGGATTTAACATTGAAAAACAGCTTGATAACATTTTTAATTAAGTGATGAAGCCTTCAGGAGAATAAGTGTGATATCAGCTCAAGGGTCCTAAAGCTTATCCTCTCTTACCTAAAATCATCAGATTGCCAATAACTTTGTTTGATCCTGCTTTTGGGAGTCCCTTACAATACTGATTTACAACAGTGCAAACCATGTTAATTCAATTAGGCCATCACACCCACAATGGTATTATCTTCATCTACTCTACATGTCATCGTTGTATGAACATTTTTTTTCCCTATCATGTTTTGGCATTTTGATAATTTGGTAGTAATGCTACAATTTCTATAAATATGATGAAATTCAAGGATATATGCCACCTTGTCAAAAGGATTACAAGTCCTCAAATATGCAACATGCTCAAATGGTTTAATTATATAAAAAATTTGTAGAAGTATTTTTAGTTTTGTCATTTTAAATATGAACTAAAACAGTTCAAGAACTACAGTAACACTTATCTTAAATATGAGAACTTGCATATGTAAATGAAATTTTGCTTACCTGCCCATTAGCATACTCCTCTGTTTGTTCTAGAGCAATGTTCATGTAACCATCAAGGCAGGCAAGCACTCCTGCAAGAAAACACAGATAGCAATAGTTATGTACCTCTCTGCAAACATAAAAACCTTAAATTAAAGTATGACTATAAACAACAGAGATAAAAACCACTCATGCAGATCAAACACTTTTCCAAACTCAGATGTGAAACCATAGCAACACTATATTATTAATAGTAAAATTGTGAAATTTTGGGAAAATTGCACAGTTGTACAGTTTTCTGCCCAGACTAAGACATATCAAGTATCCTTGGTTTTCATGTAACATAATAAAAATTCAAAATGACAGGGGCTATTGCTGCAGTTTTACAAAATTTCTGCTAAACATTAACCTTTTGGAAAGCAGTTTCAGCAATGTGGGGTTCTCTATTTTGAAAATAGAGCCATTCAAATTTCATTTTTATTTGATGTAGGAATAGCTGCCTGAAAAGTATGTAAAATATGATTTTATATCACATATGTATATATATTTTATATCACATATGTAAAATATGATTTTACAGTGTGACATTTTGTTACCTGATCATTTAATCAAATGTGTTTAGATGAACATTTGTGAGTTCACAGTGAATAAATATTAATCATTTTAGTGGTGAAACAAGACAACAAATGTTTGTGTTACACATAAGACCCTACATCCCTGAAACTTGGGCAAGTTGTATATCAATATTCTACTGACAATAGCTCTCTTGGAGTTGGGCATTCAATACTTTTGACTTTAGATTTCAATTGCATGACAGTGAAAAACACCAATAGACATTATGTCAATCAAAGGCTCCTTGGAGCTACCTCATGGAATGTCTTAATTATTCAACTGGGTGATGAGAACTTTAGCCGTTTGCCATCTCCAATATTTTGTGACTTGCCCTTAAACTACCTTTTTATTACTAACTTTAAAAGCTTTTGCTGCAGTGCTAACAGTAGAAATATACCTAACAATATCCTAATGGCGAGGCTTCAACACAACCTTTTTTAAAAGTCAAATAAATTGATGGCCAAACAGGAAAAAAATATGGGAGAATGATGGACATGTTTAATATTGCACAAGCAAGTAACCAAATTCAACAGCACACAAAAAATCTGACTTATAAGATTCACATAGCTGGACAAATAGCTTACAAGGTAACTGTGTAACAAATAGAAACTGGTCAAATCCAATGAAATCCACAAAAGCTCAAATCAGCTGCTAAATATTTTTGAAATATAGCCAAATGACAACCAAGCAGATAAGCAAAAATCAATCTGAAAACAAGAGTTTAAATTGCTTCTGCTATACACAAAATATTTTTCACAAATCGATTGTTGCAACTGTTGTCATTGTCAATTTTGATACTTATGAAAGCCTATTTCTCTCAGTTGAGTATTCTTCTCCAGGTTTGCTCTTCATTTGTGAGGTCTATAGTATATGTACAAAGGTGTAGTTTGCTCAAGCATGGAGCAAAAAGAAGGAAAACACACCTTTATCATTTTAGCAAAGGCCCAACATGAAAGACACCATTTTCAATTACGTTCAACTAGATGTACTCTGGGAAAAATTTTGGCCTTGTCCCATCCCCTACATATTTGAACAAAAGACAATAACCCAACTTTGGGGACAGCAGAGAACCCAAAAGGGAGAGCAGGGGATATAATGGTTAAATCCTACTTTTAATAAAAGAAATTAAAAGTCTAAAAGATTAGAATGGGGTAGGTGAATATGTGAGTGAGTGGGTGAATTTTAGGTCCATACATAAACTTCATATTAGACTGCACTAAGGTCTTGCCATGAGGAAAAAAAGTATAACCTTAGAATGTCCTTTTAAAGAGCCACAAATTATCTGAGAAACACCATGGCTTAATCTTAGAATATTTGTTGTAATTCTGCCCAAAACTGTTATAGTTTGATCACAAAGATATATTTTTTTAGTTTTGCTACCTCTAGGGAAATATGTTCGCTTCAAAAATACTCATCAACATAAAGTTGCTTGTCTTAAAAATTACCACTCTCTTGTTTTTACCAAAATGGTTGTTCAGGCATCACAATTGTCTTTGTGACAAGCAGAGGCTTTACTCAGCTCTGTCCTATTTAACTCATGATAAATTTATTACAACACAAAGATGTTTAACTGTCTCTAATATTTAAGCCAGAAAAAAAAACAATTGTTGCATTGATTCAAAGAAACCCATTTATGGCAGGAAATTCTGCTCAACAGAATGATGTCTTCAGAGGAGCACAAAGATTTTTCCAACAAAAATAATTTTGAATTTGAGTATTTACCAATAAAAGCAAGGTCAACCTCTGGAGAGGAAGAAGGATCTTTACCATCATTTTTAAAGACAAATACCCTTTCTTGAGTGAAGGGCAGAAATTCCTTAGAAAAGAATCACAAAATGATGCTCTTCCCAAAAAAATATTGGGTCTTCAGAGAAGAGTGATTCTTCTGATAAAACTTGTTTTAAATGTGAGATTCTGCTGTAATGAATCAAATAATACATCTTTCAAGGTAGGCAATGTTTCTTTTCAGAATACTTTTAATTAATGCCTGGTTCCTGTCAAAAGCATTTTGTTTTCTTTTGAAAAAAAAAAGCCAGGACTCTTCCAACTAGAATCTGAAATATATCTCCTAACAATCACAGTTCTTCTCTGGGAACAAAGAATCTGAACTTAAAAAATTCTTCTCTGAAGAGGCATGAATCTTTCAGATAGAATTTAATTAATTCTCAAAAGAATTGAACCTAAGAGTGATACTGAAATATAAAAGCTGTTGAAATTGACAATATTATGCATCAAGCAAACAGTGATAATTGTAGCTGGCCTTACTTTTTTTTCTCTCTTTTTGTTTTGTTTTGTTTTTTAATTCATTAGAGGGTTTTTATAATTAATTTACATCCTGAAATTAAATAGAACAGGCCAGATGCAAAAAAGTGAGCCACAAGCTGTTAAGAGTATACGGGATGAGTGAATAGGATAACTTCGATATGTGTGATATATCATAAAATATCACAAAAAGGTTAATTTTTTTCTGAATTTGAACGCTGTTATTCTAAATGCTACACATGCATCAAAAACACTTCAATGTGCAAATAAAAACAAATCTCGTTTACCTCGGTAGTCAACGCCATTATTGAGCTTCACCACAACAGGACGGCCTATGATTTGCTTTAGGAAGTCACTTGGAGTTTGTTTGCGACTCATGTTTGAATTGCTGGAGCCAAAACACGAAATACAGAGTGAAACCTACACTACTTCGCCGTGTCCAAGATGGTGGATGCTACGAACTCGACCCAGTATTTCTCGCTTAGCTAATGAGGTTGGAAAATTTATAATGGTGGCTTGATCGAAATGGAATCAAGGACGGGAGAATATTTCTACTTAACTTTTCTGCTCTCAGCTCTCATGTTTAATTATATAAAGATAATTTTTTTGCTGTTGCTTAAAATGGCCAGTTTCATTTATTTACAACCAAACTTCCCTAAAGGATGGCAGAAATCTAATAAATCTGATAAAGTGGGACTTTGTGGATCAGCACCAGAGGCTGTGTGAATTAATAAAGAGGTTCTGACATAAAACACAGTGCTGCAAATATAGTGCACAATTTAACAAAGAATATATATATTTTTTTGTTTTGAGTTTGCACACACCTCTCTTCCCCAATTTAACCCATCGGACAATATATATATATACTGACCACTCTATTGATGTCTTTGCTGCATTCTTAAATCCTGGAAATGAGCACTTATCCTTACGACCAAGTTTACATGGGTGTGCACTATCTACGAAGCAGCGAAAAATTCGTGCGAGGCATGCGGAAACATTCGAGAAGTCCGAAGGTCGTCGGAGGCAGAGACTCGTTCACAGCTTGTTCATTTTCCACTTCATTTTCTCAGGGTTCGTGGCCAGCGTTAACAAGAGATTGGATCATGGAAGGATTTATCTGCTTGGATCTTCTTTATTCCTTTGTTCATCGCATTCATCGATCCTTTTGGCGCTAACTTAAGGAGTTCCTTAAAATTCAGTATATTTAAGTTCTTTACAAAAGTGATGTATTTATTATGATCAAATAAAAAAAAAACTAGATGATAAATAGACAAATGCAAAGTCTGTTGGAAGCAAGCGAAAGAGGCCTTGCTCGCTCTACCAACATCTTAACGTTAGATTTCTACAGCTTAACGATCTGGTATTGCAACGCCAGTCACCATAATCTCATCTGCTTTTTAAATACACAATCTTCTCCATTTTCAACAGGAGAAAAGTCACCCGAATGGCTTTCATCATCAGTATGATTTATATCTTAACCTGGATCCCAAACAGCATCGTAATTCTTCTTCTCCAGTTCAGTTCGTGGAAAAGGACTGGCCAGTGGTTCAGCATGTAATTCCGCTTCTTATATTCAATTCTTGCATCAACCCTATTGTGTACAGCTTGCATGGTGTTCCGTTTAGCAAGAGTTTGAAGACCTTACTGTGGTGTGGTCGGCCGCTTTTTAAAAGGAACCTTGTTGTGCTAAAGACGGCGGAAACTTCGCAACGTGTAGAAAGAGAACTTCATGATACATCATATAGAAATGAAGCTTTTGTTGAAAATAGAATCGAAAGTAGATCGTCGGAAAGAAGTTGCCGGAGCGTTTCCGCCATCAATCATTAGCGTTCAACTTTAATGATTTTAACGTAACTCTGAACGCTGAATTTTCCTCGCAAAATTTAACCGATGAAAAATTAAACTTAACCTAATTATGTTATTTTGAGGAACAATTCCCAATAATTATGTTGTTTGACTTCCGTAGAAGTTGAATTCTGAGATGCTGTCGCTTTATTATATACATAAATATGACCACTGTGAAGAATCTGAGGGGAGCTTCTTTAACAATACAACAGCAGGCGGTAAAGTCAATTTTGCCTTTTACCTAGGCAATGATTGAACTGGATGGCTGTGTTACCAATCGATAAAAAAAGGAAAGTAAAAAATGGCCTGTTATTGAGTAAAAAATTAAGAATAACAACATCTTCAAGCTCAAACAAGAATAAAACTGAGATATCGATAGGTGAGTTTTTTCTTATCTGTGCGGAAGCAATTGGAATATTATTCACTGGAATTCTTCACACGTTGATTTTCCAAAGTCCTTTAAATTTGGGAAATGAAGCTACCTCAGTTACAGCGTTTTTAATGCGGAACTGGGATATTTCTTTCTAAAAAATAAGTTATATTCAGGTAGGTTTTATTCGAAAGTCTTCCTTTTGTAAGTCTCTAAAGTTAAGCAGGCGCAACTCTTTCATAGTGCTTGAAACCGCGTCATTTCAAAAAAGCAACATCCACTTCCAACGCATTCCAAGTAAACATAAAACAAAAATTTAAAACCGAGTATGGTTACAAAATCATCCTTATTTAGGCAACAGATGGACTAATTTCCCGGTGCTGAATACAAATGAAGACTAATTTGTAACATAAATAAATATATCAGCCACAAGTTTCAATTTGAAGCGCAAGTCAGCAGTCGTTTAACATGCAATTTCAGCCTTTAACAAGCACAAGTAGCAATAAAAAGGTTTGTCAGCTGGAAAAAATTGTTGCCGATGGTTTTCATTTAAAGTACCTGGCCGCCAAGGGACGAGTCAGAGAAATCCACAACTCGTGCTTGAGAAATTCTCGTGTATTCTCTTAATACGGCTGTTGGCGGATTGAAAGTCAGCCCAGAAACAAAACGATCTTTGAGTTTCCATTTCGATCCAATAACTGGAGGGAGACTGATTTTTTCGATACTGTGTGCTGAGTTCTCTTTCGCTACTGCATCGATAACAGAGTCATCACAAAGTCGAGAAAGACGAGAAACTGCCTTTAATTTGAGAAAATATTCATAATCTATCCTTTGGTAGTCCTCGTCCGGTATTTTTTGATCCACAGAGTCACGTTTTCGACTCAAGGCACAGTGTAAGGCCTTAATCCTTCCTGCGCTACCCGCACCATACCTTTTCCCTTTGATTTCGATTCTCTTTTCTTCTCTATTCGCGTTACATGACCGCTCTAAATTCACGTTTTGTTCACATGTTCCACCGCTCCAGTAAAGTTTGTCTTCGGTTTGTTGACAGCCATCTGTTTTTATCCTTTCATTATTCAGTGACAAAGTTGATATATCGTTTGTCGATTGACTTCTCGTTCTTGCAATGCTCTTTCTTTGTGAAGGAGAGTCGACGCGACTTCTACATACACCTGGTGTTTCCGTTCGACTATCGGCTTCGCTTTTGTATTTCGTTGCCAAATTGTGTAGAGCAGACTCTTTTTGATTCCTCAATAATCTGAGCCCAAACTGTGTTCTTTGTAGTTCTGTGGAGAAAATTTCAGTTGATGATTTTATTGACATCTCTGACGTTTCATTTATTTGAGTATTATTGCCTTCCTGCCGTCTTTCGGTTTTATTGTTAATTTTCACCCTTAATCGAGGAGAAAACGGTTTATTACAGACGAGATTTTCTTGCGACGATTTCTCCTGTGCCGGCCTGATAGAAATCTCCTTTCCTTTTACAACTCTATTACTTCCTTTTGAATGTGATAATTCTTGCATATTTCTTTTGCTCTGTATCGCTGTTCCTTGAACCATAAAACCATTCGAGATCGGCTGTCTAAGGCCTCCAAGTGTATGGGAAAACACATCATTAACAATTTCGCTTTTTCTGAGATACATTCTTCTGAATGTAAACAGTATACCGTTATGTATCTGAGAAGGCCATTCACTCTGTGCGGTACAAAACAAGAAGACGAGCTAAAGTCAAGCTTATGCAAACGCTCCTTAAAACGTGCGAGGTAATTATTGTAGTTTGTCTTCGTCGATCTTCGGATATAAAAAATATTGAATACATTGATTTAAGAGTTTCACTAACGCTAATTGGTACAAGCGTTGGAGGAAGGTAATTGACTTTCTCTTTTTCTAATCCGTGAGATATTGTGCAGAAAAGCTTCAATCTGGTCCATTTTGAAGATGCTTTAAAAGTTCTCAAAACGAAGTAATGAGTGCAACCGCTGTTGACGTCGAGAGTGTTCTAGGGACCTCAATTCTACCAACTTTTGGCAGTCTTGAATGTTTTTAATTACGTGTCATGTTAAATCCGTTTCGCAATTTCAGTTGCCATGACAATGAACACTTTTAGCAGGTGTTTATCACTAGACAAGACAAACTGATTTTCACGGATTATCATAATCATCATAATGAATTACTAAATTTCTACTAAGCTCGAGCGAAACCAAATCGCACTTTTTCTTTGTACCTGTGATGTAATTAAAATCTCAATTCCTATAAAACTCCATATAAACCAGACATATGTGACCGACCCGTGAAGTCCAAAATAGTACGAGCCATCAAGTTTTTTTCAACATGCTTTAATTAAATCGATTGTAGCAAGGTACATGTTTGTTTATTTTTTGATATGAGTATTTCTGTCAATGCTGTCGAAAATAAATATTCATGCAAGTTGTTATCTTACTCAGTTGCTGAAAGACATAATAAGGAAATATTCATCATGAAACGTGAAATGCGCTATATTCGGTAATTTGTATTTTTTTTTTTTACACAACGCGACGGAAGATCAGAAGCTTTCAAAATCAATTCTTTCAATACTAGCTAGGACAATGTATGAAAAAAAATTTACTGAGACAAAATTTTCCCCATTCAGAAGGAGCTAAATTCGCAATCTCATTTCGTAAAAACGTCAGCATGTGTTACTTGTAAATAGAATTAACCTAAATTATTATTCCAAACTGTAAACAGCGAAAACGATGGTAGTGCCAAGAGTTCAAAACAGGTCATTAAACTGAAGGTGAGTAGGTGTGTGCTCGAATGAATCATTATTATTTCAGATAATTTTTTTTTGTACGAAAATAGGCCAAAATTTGTTGAATATCGAAGACATTTGAGCCACGCCCACGATATGTTTCGCTAATTCCCGTCATCCTCGAGGGAGTCTAAACAAAACAAAAGGCCTGGTTGCTTAACCAGAAGAGCCTGCTTGTCACTTTATTTAAGTGTATTCCAATTATATACACAGCCTATCGATTTATGTACATATAATAATAAAACACTCTCAGTTACATAAGAATTTGTAAAAATAGCGTGTTTTAAATTTTTTTCACCTTATAATTCTATTATACATTCCTAAGATATCTTTTTGGCGATTTAATCTTTGTCCTGACAAGAATTAAATATTTTTTCCTCGAAAAATGAATAACTTATTTTTGACAGTGATACACAGAGAAGGTTAAAGAACTTTAGTTTATCCTGCGTGTAACACTTTCCTCATTACAAATACAGACCAGTATTAGGTTAAAGCTTGGCTCCAGATTTATATACAGTAAATTTCGCTAAATTAGGTTTTGAGTCGTGAAGCTCTCTAACCCCGCAGAAACTATTTCGTCTTTGACGAAGAGATGGCGTGACAGGAGTTGGCGTGACCTCAATGTTGTGTGACGCAGTGCGGCAGATCGTCATTTTCACTTTTTGCAGATTTTCATGTAAAAGCAAAAATTCCTGGAAAATTGTATCGGCCTTGGCAAACTCTGCGCGAAAAGACGAATCAATATTTTTGGTAGGGGTACAATGTTTGAGCTGAGTCAGTTCTATTCCTCCTAAGCCGAGCTGTACTACGGAATGTCGCCTTGAGATAGACAGATCATTTCTCTTAGCTTTAGCCAGGATGAAATTCTTCGCTGTTGTAGTCAGAAGTTTCAATTTCTTCTCCAAGTCCTTAGCGGCCATATTTGCCGCAATCTTTTCCTTAGATTCTTTCAGATGCTTCATAAGAACAGCTATGACAACGTTGATTAGTACAAACTGCGCCACCAGCACGAACGTCACAAAGAACAGCGACGCTATGCAATGGCTAACAAAACAGCACTTTTCACATTCTGCAGACTCGGAATAATTCAGTCGTAAAGTGTCCTTAAAAGAGAAATAATTCAGAAATTAAGTTCTGGGCAAATCTGGTGTTTAAATTCAGCCGAATCCTTTTTATCCTTTACACTACACATTTCTAGCAGGTCCTCATCGTCAGCGCTGCAGGAACGCGCGTTAATTTTTCTGCTCCCGGAAAAATTTGAGACGAATCGGGGAGATGTTTGTCAGGGGTCTGGCTCTAATAGACCCCTGAACTCCTTGCAGACCGCTCGCCTCCTCCTCATACTTTCCCGCGGGCGAAGAAATGCTCTAACCGAAGCGCTGCTAATAATGAGGGCCTGCTTGCTTAGCTTCATAAACACAAAGTGGAAAGTGATATGACTCCGTTTCAGTCAGATATACGCATCACCTTTTTAGAAACTAATGTGTTATTTGAAAATTATTTGATTCCTTTACCTCTAATATTCCATTCCAATTATCTCCTGTTGCTATCCTAAATAAAGTCAGCATTGCAGTTCCAAAATCCTTGAAGTGTGCATGCGGACCGAGTCCTTGGCAAGGCTTTGAGGGAGTGCACTCTGTAAAACGGACGGAAAACTTCACATGAGCTTTTCACGTATAAAAAAATTTACGAAAGGTTCGCTTTCAGACTGAGTTTTATTCCGAATCATTTAATAAACGGCTTTTGTGAAGAAAACAAATTAATTTGTACCTTGTTCTCTTTGTTATTGGCGATAGAAAGCACCGTATGCTAAATGTTGTAATATAGAAATTTGGATGAATTATTTCCTCACCTAATGTTCCAAAAAGTTGGATACCTAAACAGGCATAGATAAAAAATAAAAGCAGGAACAACAGCCCAAGGTTTGCGACCTGGAGGAAAATAAGAAAAATAATGAAAGGAATAATTTCGTACTTATTCCGCTAAACGTTCGTAAGCAGATAGGAACACGAACTTCTTGACAAGAAAGGTAACATTTTCATTGAAATGAGGTCAGTCTTAATGAAGAAATATTATCATAGTACAATGATTACGAAGTAATTAAATGTGCTGATTAATTGGCTGTCTTCAGACATAACGCTAAGAATCATAGTTGATAATCTTTGTGCTAACCTGAGGAAGAGCCTCGAACAAGGTGTCCAGCAGCGAGCGGACTCCCTTTGCTAGTTTTACGAGCTTGAGCACTGAAATGAAGGCAAATTAAAGCAGAACATTAAGTGATGCTAGTGGGCTGTGTGCATGAAATAGTTTAACCGAACTTTGACATCCACTGATTCAGAACCTTGAAAACCATTTCCCGAGTCATCTGTTACTTGGTGGAGTGTGTATGCATTTGTCGATTGGGACAAATAATAAATTCAGCACAGCATAAGTGGTGAAAGAAAAATCATTGCAAAGGATCACAGAGGGGTCCTGAAGAGGGAAAAAGTCGACCGCGAAGTTTTTTTGTTCTTCTCTGTTTGGGAATCCCAAAAAAAACCTGGGAGTGGGACTGAGATCACTTATGTCCAATTCTCAAAGGTCACCTCTTCTAGGAGGTAGAGGTAGATTCAGTGATTCTAGTAAAAAAAAAAAAAAAAAACCCTGAAATGTTGCATTTGAGTGACAAATTAATTGATCAAGCTCTGTAAAACTTGTACAAACCTCGGATAATTCGTAGTACTCTCAGAGATCGTGCAACAGTGGGATTGATCGGCACCGTGGCTTTTATGGTGCTCAAGGAATAGATAAGTATTCCGGTCAATGTAATAAGCACAATAATTAAATCAATGATATTCCACCTGCGGATTCAATCAGTGAAGTTTATCAAAAACAGGGAACACGTCACATATACGCTAAAATTGATTTGGTTGTTTAGTGCTCCCTCATGAGATAAGCTTCCAAATTGGCGTCGTAAAAGATGAGGGGAAAATATCAATATGGTTCACTGTTAGTTGTAAGACGGCTAAAAAGTTTAACTGTTAGGCATAAAAATTGAAAAATTTTAACCGTTAGTCGTAAAAGCCATCAACCAAGAGAATATCAATCGACATTCTCTTATCGTCAACTCATTGATACCTTCTGAAGGTTTCCGTTTCTTAGTGAACAAAACCGGAACAAAAAAATTAAACATGGCTGATACCTGCACACGAGGAAACTACACTTACCGATCCTTAAAATATCGCACGAATCCAAAGGCGATAAATTTAAATATCACCTCTAACACAAACACGGAAGCGAAAAAATAGTTTGCGGTATTCACAAAAGTGTCAAACACCTGAAAATGAAAATCATATGGGGATGTCATTAACGATAATATACAGTTCTATAGCGGGCATGTATCGATAAAAAGATGTTCCCATTCGTTCCACAAACCCACAAATCGGATAAAAATCAAAACCTGGATATGCTAATAAATATATTATTAACATCTTCTCCAGGAAGAACTGGCCTTAGCGGTGGTCTTTTGCCGAAATTTGGTGCAAGTGTAAGACGTTGAAATGCGAAAATACGAAATAAACACAGTCATCTAAACTGTCATGAGACAAAACTATTCAGCTTGCTTCGCGAGACGAGTAACACGAGTTTAAGATTAAACCGTCATCCGTTGTTCATCTCTAAGAGTCGATATGGAAGTTTTTTCAGTCTGATCGAAGACTACCAGGTTGCAAACAAGGGTAAAGGATTTCTTTGATGAATGATACATAGTTCAGAACGATCATTATAAGAAATATATGAAAAGAGATAAGCAAAAGTAAGCCAGTTTCCTGATATTTCTCACCTCGGACATCTGGTAATGTTCGAGGGACATGCAGAGGACATTTAAACAAATCACAATGGCGATGGCCACATCCCAGTACAGATGAAGACACATGTCATGAATATGACGTCGCCAAGGACTGTAATTCTCATAATATGTTCGGTCAACTTCTATAAATGATGTAAGATTCAGAAAAATAAAAAAAATCAGTTACTGTACCACTTGTGTTTCTGAATGACCACTGATGGATTGCATGGGTTCAGTCTGACTGACTCAGTGACTGACAGACCAACTGACTGACTGACGACCTGACTGACAGACGGACTGACTGACTGACTGATGGCCTGACTGACTGACTGACGGACTAACTGACTGACTGACGGACTAACTGACTGACGCACTGACTGACAGACTGATCGACTAACTGACTGACTGAATGACGCACTTACTGACTGACTGATCGACTAACTGACTGACTGACTGACTGACTGATTCAGTGATCGACTGACGGACGGACAGACCAACAAAAAGACAGACGAAATGTCTGAGTGAATGAATCATGAATTAAAGACTTAATGTGGTGCATGAAAGAAGGGCCCAGGATCAGGACTAGGATAGACGGACAGACTAAAACACGGAGGATCGTTGATTGAAGAGAAATGATAAATACTCCTAACATTTGTCAAGGCCACCAAAAGAAGAAGTTAAATTTACCTTCTTGGCTCTTCTCTCTCGCCTTCTCGAGCAATTTTTTTCGTCCTCTCTGCTTTTCTTCGTCCTCTAGTCTTTCTCGACAACGCTGAAAATTCTCCACAACGACCCCCACAATCATGTTAAGAACAAGAAAACCTCCCAACATCAGGAAAGGAATGAAATATGCTAGTCTCCATTCGCGGTAATTCTTGATGGGCTGAAAAAGAAAAATTCGTCTAATATAAAGAAAAACAAAAAAATTTCAGACACACCTTCCCCTCCCTATGTTTACCGAGCCGAGAATGTTATTTTAAATTTGAATTTTAAACCTTGGGTACATGTAGTAAACAGATTATTGGGGTTTTTCGGAATTAATTTCGTAAGTGGAATAGGTTCCTGAAGCGTAATGTCGTGCCTTTGGACAAGACAAGCTTCCTTTAAGGTGACAGATATTCATTCCATCTCGACGAATGAGTAAGTATCGGACAAATTGCATGACTTGCATAAGACCGGCACTACACGCCTCGGATGTTATCACTGAAGGCCTGTAGATAGCCTCAAACTTGTTAACAAATACTACACCTGTTGGTCGTATCCAACGGCATCGATACCATGGTGCATAATTTCTACCCATCCATCCCGTGTGGAAAACACAAAAAGGGATATCAGTGCCTATAAATTAGAGAACGGTTAGAACGACTTTCAATTGAAAACAAAATGTTTCACTTTATTCACCAGATTATTAAATTGTACACTTGTATAAAACCATGCATCGTGTGTTATTAGGTAAAGATCTCATGGTTAATCGGTTTGATATTGTGCTACGATTGGCAATCAACATTTAACATTACCAACTCTCAATGTTTTACTCGTGGGGAACTGATATTCCGAAAAACTAAGAATGATTTAAGTGAATACTTACATTTGGTAGGTTGTCAAAGTTGTACATGCGATTTTTCCAGACCCCTTGCCTTCTTGCCGAGCATTCTTCCCTGTTCTTCACCTCACTGTCTCCATCGCAATAATAAAACTTTCCCTTAAAAATCTGAAGAAAGAAAATAAAACAAGAAAAATATTATTCCACTTAAACTCTTAACCTTTCTACCTTGTGTGTAAAATGTTACTATGAAATAACATCGCATCGTAAAAGACTATTTAAAAGTATCTTGGTTGAGAATGGGAAAGGAAAAACTGTATCCCAAAGATAGATTTTTAGGAAAGTTCGACAGTCATATCATTACGAGAAACTATGGAAAACGAAGAATTTGTTCCTAAAAACAACTACTCTTACCTGGACTCCTAAGATTCCAAACATTACGAAGAAAATGGCAGCTATTAGGACAGTGTTTCCAATCGGCTTCAAGGAGAATAACAGAGTTTGAACGACCAGCTTAAGCCCTGGAGCTCGGCGAATCATCCTGATATATTGGAAAGAGGTCATCAATGAAGTTGAAATTTATTCGCGCTTATGTCATTTGTTTCGTTTCCAAGCCTAAGTTCTATCAGCGATGTAAAGGAACCTTCTACATCCGCGGTGTATCAGCCACGGTATCCAAAGCAGTTTCCGCTGTAACAGATACCCTTTTCGGCTGGGTTATTTATGAATTTTACGCAGAGATTATACGCAGAGGGTTCCGCAACCTTTTAATTTCCACTTGTAAGTAAGTGTAAGACAAGCAAACATTCCACACAAAATTGAAATCAGGTCTGTGTACCTACGGTAAAACATTTCATCCCTCAGATACCTTTTACTCTTAAAGGAAAAAAAAAGATTAAGCGAGGTTTCTCTGAGGCATTATCTTAAATCTCCCATTACACCCGTTTAAGAAAGAGGACTGCAGTTTTCGTTACCCTTTTCCATACCTCACCCAGAGAAATCCCCACCTTCCTATGTACCGTTGGCCTATAAAATGGCCCCTTTCACAGACCGTGTCTTCCTGAACGTTCTGCCTATTGAGTAAAGTGACTTCCAATGGAATGAACAGACTTACCTCAGAGGTCTCAGAGTCCTTAACGCCCGGAAGACTTTGAGAGCTCCAAGTACTTCCGGTGCATTGGCGGGGCTGTACGTAATGATGACGTCAATCCATGAGAAAAGTACAAGTATGCCATCCAGGATATTCCAACTGTCCTTTAGGTAAGTACCAGGCCCCAGAAGAAAGCCCTGGGCTATGATCTATGCGATATAATTTTCAGGTTTACATTGTTAGGATCACGAGCTTTACTTACTTGACAGGCTTTATGTGGGACGGTCCCCAAAGGAATTTGACGGGCAAAACGAGTATGAGTGAGTGAGTGAGTGAGTGAGTGGGTGAACTTTTGCGAACGATTCAAGCCGGACTACCCATCATCGATTACATATCAATTGACACCATGAATCTTAATCAAAAAACGTACCTTCATTGACATTTCAATGGTGAAGATGACTGTTAATATAAGCATCGCGATGTCGATTATTTGACGCTTCTGAAAATAAATTGAAAATCTTGATAAATTAAAAGATAACGAACCAAATGAATATTCACTGGAATTAATAAATGTTACTCGAAGTGGTATGAAGGCGGCTGCTATTTCGTTGGTGGAAAGTTAGAATGGTCACAAAATGTTGTTGAGTCAAGTCACCAAAACTTACCTTACTATCTCGTGGAATGTTAGGCTCCTCTAGTGCCAGGACCACACAGCTTATCAAGATAAAAACTAGAACTACGTAGTCAAAATACTTGTGTTCACACACAGCTGTTACGGTGCGGCGCAAGCTGATAAGGAAGGAAAACAGAGATGGCTTTATCTAGTGATAATGCAGTAAATAACCGATCATCGTAGATATCCAGAAGTGTGATCTGTTTAGGAAAGTTTTTGCAAGCATTTGATAATTATTTTAAATAATTTCTTTCTAGTGACGAATCATAAAAATCAGAGAAGTCGAAGGAGTTTAAATTCGTTGACGAAGTCACCTTAATCTTTAATTCATACGCAAGTCTGTATTCCGTTTGCAGCTTGAAAGCGTTCGCGATTAGGCCTTTTCTTAGAATTTTTTCCCGGTAAGATATGGTAAAGTTTACAAGGCAACCAGGTGGACAGTCAGACATGGTTTGATGCTTCTCTGGTTTAAAGGTTTAATCAATATAACCGTGAAGTTACAATTCATAGACTTCATGAATTGTAACTTCACGGTTACATACATTAAATCTTTAAACCAGAGTAGCATCAAACTATGTCTGCTTTTCCCGATGTACTTTAAAACGTTTTATAGAAATACCACGTTGAATTGGAGAAATCAAAGCCAATAAGTGAAAAAGCAGCTTACCTATTTGAGGGGGAGAATAGAAAAAGAGACCAGTCAGATCTTTTGTCTGTTGTCTTGATAACTTTCCTTGAACTCTTCTTCTACCAAGAGAAAGATAATTTAAGGTTAAACACATACGAAATGGACTGCGCCTAAAAAGGTTTATCATCGACAGTGTGCAAATAACATACTCATTTTCATGCAAATAAAACATGATCAAGTAAAGGAGTTCGATAGAGTTGACATAGAGTTATAACTGATCTGGTCAAGGTTTTCTGATAGTGACTTTCCAATCTCTTTCACGTCCCAAACAACATTTTCGAGGCCAAAATGCACCTAAGACGTGGTTTCTTAATATATGGCTAACTTCAAACTCCAGAAAGATCGCTTGGTAGTACCTGAGTTTCGGAAAGATGACATTCCCGCAGTTGGTACATCTCATCGCTGCTTTTGTTTTGAAAGATCATCTGGGGTGACTCAGGTCGAGATCGAGACGTTGTTGGTCCTTCCAATTGATTAGGAAACGACATACTGTTTGCTATGGTCGGAGAGACAATTTCTTCGAGTGTTTTACCACAAGCTTTGTTGCTCATCTCTCTTTCAGAGACCTCAAGATTTAATTTGCCTCTGGTTTCACTATCTTCACTAAGGAAGCCTCTATTATGCGCCGAGAAGTTGGGTTCGTCATAACTCCAGTTCGCCCTATGAGCTTTTTGCTCAGTTTTTCGTATAATTGACGCTGACGCCTGACGCATACGCTTTAATTGTGGCATGGTCATGTTCGCTTCCGTTGGCTGCGAAGCAGTTGGGAATCTCTTCTCCTGTAATGGCTCCAACGTTTCTAACGTGAGGCTCGGTGTGTAGTTCGAACTCAGTTGAAATGTCGTCCCCAAAGCATTTCTCAAGCCATGACTGCAGAATTCTGGAATTGGTTCCTGGTGATAATGCCCGGGGCAAGGTTCCTCAGAATCTTTACTAGAGATCAAAATGTGAGGCTTTTCAACTTCTTTAACGGCTGTTTTGGGTGTATCTTTGTTGTCTGATACTTCTTGTTTGTTCTTTGGAGTAGTTTTACCTTTCTGGAGGAAAATGCATGGAGTCAAGCTAATTAGTCAAGTAAAATTTACTTGTGTTTCGATGGATGCGTCGAAAACAAATGTATTGAAGAATGGAATAAAGCACTCTATCCTGGGGCCCTTCAAAAGAAACGATTGCCCAAGATCTACCGATTATGGAGTCGAATGCGCCGCCAGAGCTTAACAGGATTCGTTGGTTAGCTTGCTGTTATGAGCAGCAATGTTCAGAGCGAGAAATATTGTAAATCTAGACCTCTGTCGCTATTTAATCCTGTGTGATGAGGCTGTCAAAAATGCCATTGTTAACTGTAACTGCTACTTTTAATATCTTAAAAAATAAACTCAGTTCCACTAATTTACCCCAGGATTTGTGAATCCTTCCACGAGGATAGCGACCAGTAAGTTAAATAATACATAGTACCCGATAGCCATCAGTGCGATGAAATACAAGGCTGCCCATTGGCTCGTGGCACGCATCCCGTCATTCATTACGAGATTCCAGTTCTCTTGAGTAAGGATCTGTTTCAAGAGAAAATTCAGTTTTTCATGTATCTAAGAATCCTGGGCGAGTAAACAACAACAATGAAAACAACGCCTTTCAGAACATAAACTCCGTTGTCTTTAACAAAAGCCTTTAATAAACCTAATCAACTAATAGTAATATTTTTTGTCCTGCGAATGAATTTTTTTTTTTACATAAAGACTAAACGTACCTGAAACACGGATACCATAGCCCACAAAAAGTTGTCAAAATTACTTCGGGAGGTTACTTCCTTTCCCTCGGCGTTCTTGAATATGAACTTTCCACCGAACAAGTTCATCCCAAGGATAGCAAATGCGAATATGAAGAGAAACAGTAATCCGAAAAACGTCATTACACTCGTCATAGTTTTGACGACAACCAGCAATTGGTATCGAACTGGTCTGACCAGCTTGAAGATCCGGAGTAACCGGATACTTCGGAATATCGAAAGGGAGGAATCTTCCTTGGTGAGTAGGATTTCACAGACACTGCAAAATTATCAGTAAAAGTAAAACTTAAAGATTTTTATATTGTCAGAATTGCCCCAGTTCTGATACGATAAAGAGATCGTGGCTAGATTTAACGAAGAAGACACAGTTTTGTTCTATTTTTATGTAACTTCGTGTACCTAACGATAACGATGAGTCCATCAAACACATTCTGACCCTCGCTAAGATATGTGGTCACACCATAACCAAGCAACTTAATAACCACTTCCATTCCAAAAATGGATACAAAAATGATGTTTATGGTCTCTAGGGCAAGGGTTAGTCCTTCAGGCTGTAAGATATAACGAGAGAAGTTATATGTGAGTTTCACTAAGCAATGTCAGCTATAAAAAAAATCATGTAAACTAATCTCTCTTGACCCTCTATTCGAACAGATTTTGACTTCTTAACTCTTACCTGCTGGTAATGCTCAAGGCCCATACAAATCATGTTCAACAAAATGGCGCCCATGATAAAAAAATTAAACTGTTTACTCTCGATTATATTTCTACAGAAGGTTCTTAGCCTTTGCCATGCACTACGGTTTCCTGTCACATCATAAGTCGCACTTTTTCCTAAGTTAAACAGGCTTTCGAACATGTCATCTTCATTCTGTGCAGAAATATTTCGGCGTTGTAATGAAGGTCTTTTGAGAGTTGTATTTACTGCATCACCGATTTGGCAATCATCGACTTGCCCGACCTTAACCAAATCCTTTGATGGTGGGTCCTTGTTCGCGTCGCTTTTCTCTAAGTCGCTTTCTAACGAAGACTTAGCATCAAATTTTACAATTTCCGAGTTTGCTTCATTCTCTCTGTAATAATCAGGTTCGCTGGTGTCCAAACGTTTGGATGATGGGATGCGAGCTAACTTGGCATGTGCAGGCTGGCTAAACTGACGACATTTAAAGAGCTCTTTATCTTTCTGCTGAAGTGAAGATTTGGTGGCTTCTTTGTATGCCTTTGAAGAAACGTCTTCACTCTCTGGTGTACTTGTGCGTGCATGATGTGGATTAATTTCTGCTGACACCAGCGTGGACGCGGAAAATTCACTTTTTCTAGATTGAGTTGAATTTTTCCTGCTTGCACTGTTGCCTGACGAGAGCGCGAAGAAAGTTGCTGTTGGTGATGAAGGAATATTTAACGTTACGCTCGTCTTCGCTTGTGTAACAATTTCATCGATGGAAACAGCTGAGGACGTTTCAGCATGGATTGAAAGTGTATGCGAACAGATAGAGGTTCTGGAACTTCTTCTGGAAGATTGTCTAGTTAAAGGTGGTGCAAGGAAATCTTGGAATACCGGAGATTCTTCGACACTAGAGTGAGAACAGATCGTTTCTCTCCCCTCAACCTGAATTTTTGGAAGGCTGGTCCCATAAGGGAAAAAGCTGGTATCACCTGACGCGGCCTCGTGATCGGTGCAAACAACTGGAGAGGCCGGAACAAAGCAATTGTACAAATGATGGTGGAAATGATGATGATGAAAATAGTGGTGATGATGGTGATGGACCTCTTCTTTTTCCTGCGGTTTGAAACTGCAAAAAGATTGTATATACTTTATTAAGGTTTTTAGCAGCTTTGTTGGCTCAAGTGGTAGCTCGCCTTTGCTGTTTTCCATCAATTCTATCTCACGTGCTTTGGTTTCTTGGAACTGCATGGTGATCACGACCAGGCACAAGTTAACAAGGAAGAATGAGCCCATCTGTAAATGAGGAGAATAACAAAAATGCATTAACTAGGTCCGTGAACTGTGCCTTTCGTTTGCTTCATTACCTAATATATCGTATGGAGTAAAGAAGTTGAGAGGGAAGAGCGGAAATATATGGAGAATGAGGGAAGCAGGCAGGGTAAGAGAAAGACCGGGATGAAGACAAAGATGGAGAGAAGGGAGAGAGAAGGGAGAGCGAGGGTAGTTGGTGAGAGACAAGAAGGAATAAAATAGGAAAGCATGATTATCCAAGTCTGATATTTTCGTAACAATCTTTCTCTTACCACTATGAGGACAACAAAATAGATCCAGTTCCAAAAGCTGTGAGCATCTTGGACAAAATACATGATATCTGACCATCCCTCCAAAGTGATCACCTGTTGACATCAAATCAATTTGTATACCTTAAATGATGCATCCAACTTCGGTGAGTATAGGGCAATAAGAAACCACACCAAGCAGATACAAAACAAGGAACAATCACACCCTCGTTGCCCACCCTTTCGCACACTTTAGGCCGGTTTCAACGATTATTTTTAATTATATAGGCTGCTTTAAATATATGGCTCCCCTGTGCACTATTGGCCACCGTTATAATTCGGGGTTATGTCAAATATTTCCATCAGCTTCAATCACGACTTGAGCCGCTCGATTTGAATACGTTAATTCGCTCGGAAAAATGACTCAATTTCAATGTATGTCGTTTTGGTAGATCCTTTTTACCTGAAATATGGCGATCCATGCAATACCGATATTATCAAACGATGTTGTGTTATAGAATGGATTTTGGTCGCTCGGTTTACAGACGCTGTAACACTGATTCCAGTTGAAAGGGACTGAATTATTCGCAGCTGAGAAGTTCCCAAACGAATTAGGGCATTCCGTGGACACACTTTCTTCTTTTGGTATATCAGAACACAAACGGGTTCCGTCATCTCCTGGAGTGGCGCAGACGAAATCTGGATTACTGAACGATGGTTGGTAAAATTGCGACTGGTTAAATCTGAAAAGATGATAGATTCAGTAAGTTGTTTGGGGCTTTGCATTCAATCAGATCGTGATTTCTTTGCATTCCGATTGTAAACTGAAATGAATACCATCTGCATGGGTTCCCTGTGGTTGTTACTCGCATTACTAATCAGCATTTCTAATCTGAAGGCCTTTACGGAAGTGCTACCAAATGTGACGCTAAATTTTTAAAATTGCATTTTTTAACGGATCTGGAAAAGTCTACGGCCCAGGCTACGATAGAAACGAAGCAGCTTACCTCGTAAAAAAAGTTGAATTCTCAGGCAATTCAGTGAAGCATCTGTTTCTCAGTTTTCCCTGCCATAACTGCACTCCAATGATCCCGAACACAAAAAATATTAGAAAGGACAACAGGAGAACATTTCCCAGCATTGGAAGGGTATCAAGAAGGAGAGTCACCAAGATCCGGATACCTGCAAAATAGAAAATACCTTTTAAGCTGCCATGGTATGTTTATAAAGAGACTCCTTGAAAAAACGTTCTCGCTCAAGCCTCGTCCATTAGGTAACATTTTTTTTAAAGGTTTATTAATGAACTGACATCATCAAACTGATAAAATATTAGATGAAGATCGCTTATTTATTAATTTATTTATCTGTTTATCTACTGATCAATGGAAAACTTCTTTCACTTTAATATGTTTCACATACTTGGAACTTTGTTGATAGCTCGAAGAGGTCTTAGAACTCTAAAGGCTCGAATAATTGTGAGATAATTCCCATTGACTCGGACGGCTTTCTCGATCACCCTGAAGAAAAGAGCATAGATTGTCATGGTTGAGTTTAATGACCGAGATTATTAAATCTGATAGAATGAGAACGCACACGAAAACAGGCTCAAGAAAATCACGTTTTCGTATTTTAAATGTATCCCATGTAAGGGTTGAGTCTGTTCTTTAGCCAAGTGGCCAACCCAGCCGGACCTTATCCCGACCAGGAGTATCACAACTCCCCGCTGGATGAGACGTAAGATGTAAGGTAACCCCTGCATGTCAGTAGGTTTCCCCGACAATTCACCGCTACCCATTCATACTCCTGGGTAGAGAGAGGTACTGTGAGAATAAACTATTTTGTCCAAGCACACAAATCATCGACCAGGCTAGGCCTCGAACCCAGCCCTCTCGACCCAGAGTCCTGAGCGCTAGTCATTAGGCCCCCGCGTCGTATATATTTCACGTGATCAAGCCTTTCCTCACTCTCGCTACTAGGCCCTTACCCAATGATCACAATGAAGCAGTCCAGGCGATTCCATTTGTCCTGCAAGTAACCTTTCTTGCCAGTAACACCCATCGCTATCATCTTTATTATCATCTCAGCCGAAAAGAAAGAAAATATCACGATTTCCACTTTTTCCAGAACTTGGCACCGAGTAGATCTGCAATCCTTATCCAGCGGATTATACATCGCTAATGTGACGCAGTTGATGAATATAACAAACATGCTTATACGCTCGAACCATGTAGACCAGAATTAAGGAAAAGTCTCAAGAATCAATCTTTGCATCATTTAAAGACCAATATATATCGCCCAAAGGGAGCGGGTGGATCTTGGCTATGTCACGATAAAATTTACCCGATTTCCGCTTACAGAGCCTTTAGACTCTAAAATTATTTAATGATCCTTTCTACAACCACACCCCACCCCCCATCCCCCCTCTTCCTTACCCTTCAATGACTTAATAACTCTTTCTTCCTTACAATAAATATTACTACCCCCGTCATTGGCAGTTAGGTGGAAACCAATTTCCTGTAGTAACCTTCCCTTTATACTCTGTTAGTTACGACTGATCTTCCCTCTCCTCCCCCTAAAAAAAACAGCGTAACCCTACCCAAAATCCTCCCACCCCCACCCACTCCCTGTCAATTGATAATTAATGGGTGTTCCTATGGGAAAATCTTATTAAAATGTCACGCGTCATCCAAATACCTGTGGTTTCCATGGAAATATATTAAAATCGTGTATTCGTATTTTGACCGTTGACACGAAAATTGAAAATAATCACCAATTTTCTATTACTCTGGTGAAAATGTTAAGTCTATCCACTCTCACAACATCGCGAAACTAGGTTGATCCGACAAGAACATGTGCGTACGTGAACGCATCCTGTTTCAGTTGTGTATTTCATTAATTGCACCAAGAAGACAAAATACTTTCAGCTTATAATCATTAATTGTCAAGACAAAAACAAAGTTTCTCTATTGGCACTGAATTCGGGTCAAAAACTGTTCATACTTCGACACAAATTAAACTGACTATTGAGAGAAAAACTTTAAATTATTGAAATACAATTGAAATAATTTCTTGGTGAACAAAACAGTTGGATCAAGACAGATGATGAGGAAGCAATTTTCATAGTCTAAGCATTCGTCTTCACTTACCCGCTAAAGTTTTATGATGCGCATTTCACTTCAGAGAAAAGTTATCGAGATGGTTTCGGCATGATTTTGGTACCTGCATCGTAAAGCTGAGGGAATTGCACGTCATCCAAGAACATGGCCAAGATGACGTTAATTGTAAAACTTTTTAAATTTTTTTTGTGGCTTCTTGTTTCAGCTCTTGGCTTACGCCAACCCAATGTACCATTAACAGTTTGTAACAAAGCCGATAAAAAATGAATACGATAATGCTCTGATAAAGAAGAATCAGAAATTCTATTTCATATCAAGTTTTTAAACTAAAATATTGCCCTCGCTACGTTTGACAACTACGACTATTTTACACAGCCAAGAAAACAGAATTATTAGAAATAATTCAAAAACTAAAACGTCTCCGCAATTATGTGGTACATTTGTTTTGTGAATTCACCTTTGCATTTTAGGTTTCAATTTCAAGGCAATTTGACAGAAATACAAAAATTAATTTTCTTGTTTATAAGAACATGTTTGTCTAAAGAAATCATTCGAAATCCACAATTTTTGCTTCTGTTCAAACGAGGGCAACACTGAAATACTGTTCCGTTTTTCATCTGTGTTTCTTTGTCCTCGAATTTTATTAGATCAGTATAAACTGACAGATATTCTTTATGGCGAAGTTTATCGACCGAAGGTGGTTGTTGATATCGATAAACTTTGGTATTGATTCCCCTTTCAATTTTGACTCACATTCAACCGCTATGTATCTACCAAATCTAAATTAACAACAAATGTAAATTTGACATGGTAAGCGCACGCTTTGGTCAAATCCTTGAACCTGTCAAAGATACATTTAAAAACCTCATTGCTCAGTTTTATCAAAAGGATATGGCCATTTTATGAGCTGAATCATCCATCGCCGGGCTTTATTGTCTTTGGAGATAAAAAAACACGAAAGAGTTTCAAATTCAGCGCTGTGTTCGACGTTCCCATTTTTTGGAACATCGCTTGTGCGTTGTTCGTGTGTTTCCGTGTTTTCTTCCATTGATGCGGTTATTTAAGACACATGGTAATCTCTCTTTGATGCTATAACTCGGTCATATCTGCTTATTCAGTCAGTTCGCCTCTGATGAACACGATGCGGTCACATCTGCGAATTTCCAAGTGATTTTCCATAACTGTGTTGGTCCAAACGACAGAAGTGGCTTCACGCATCCGGTGTAATGTGCGTCATACGCAATATTTCAAATTTTCGACGTGAAAGAAATATATATGTCTTGACAACCTACCAAAACACAGAAGTGGTTGACTTGTTTGGATTGGACTTCTGGGCGTCAAGCAACAGTCCAAAGGGAAAAACGATTAAAAGTGGCAAATGTCGTAAAATGTCGCCCTGTGAAGCCGACTGCACTCTTGCAAGACTTAAACCGCTCACACAAATACGAGACCGGTTTGCCAGTTAACCTGAATTTTAATGGGCATTTAAGTAAGTTTGGTGTTTAACAAAGACAACAGCTGTCTGCGATATTTCCTAAGGCGCATTTAAAACCTTATTTCCCCCACTAAAGGGCTGAATTCGACAAAATGTTCATTTTATTTTTTTTTCGGGGAAGAGTTGTCGAAAAATTTATTAAAAAAAAAAAGCTATCCCACTCGAATAAAAGTCTACAGAAACTAATGGTAATTATGATTGTAAATACAAAGCTTGTCTTCATATCTGAACGAAGGGAGGCCTGGCTGTTAAAAGCTGACTATAATTGCGGTTAATATTCCAAACCTATTATATTAAATTGAGACTTCCCATTTGCGTTTTTTTCAGTTGGAAATTGAAAATTTCATTTGAGGTTCAATTTTTCCAGTTTTGTACGGTCAGCATTGAAGAGCTTATCAGGGATTTAAACATAATTCAAAACTAAACAGGTCGGTAAAGAGCCGGGAGAAAATTGAAATGAACATCATTAGCATGTGTGTAACAGAGAAAAAAAAACTCCTTGCCACGATTAATTTTTTACCAAACGTTTATGATCAATATCCACGAGGATTATTAGTTTACCTGACATATACTTCAAAACATGGCGCATGTCAGGCTCTTTATAGTTATTTTAGCTGAGGAACATTACCTTAAAGATAAAACAGTGTTTTATATAGTAATCTCAAAACGATATAACTGGAATATAGGGAAGACTGGAACTGAAAAAGTTTTAACAAGACTATTATCAGGCAAGGAAGAATTGAACTGTTTTCGAGTTCTGAAGCCAAAAAGAAATATTAAGGAGTTTTCATGTCCGTGAGAACTAGCTAAAATTATAAAATTAATGCTTTAACAAAGGGATGCACACCTTCGTGAAATACGCCATACCTTACAACTCAATTTAATTAAAATTTTAAAGGCACCAATCAGCGAGCGTAAAGCTGCAGCTTAAATTGAGTAATTTTTTTGAAAAATCCTACTGCATTTTCATGTTATTTGGAAGTCAGGGAGTTTTCACTGCGTTCAAATGCCTCTTACGATTTTCTGCTTAACCTTAGTAAAATATTTATGATCCTCTGCTCACTATAATTTTGACTAATGAAAGTTTTATACTCTCCATCGCTAAGGTTAAGTCTAATTAACTGATATAATTTTTCACTGAATATTGGGTATACCTTTGTGCTCTGTACACGTTTGAGGTTTCACGTGACCTGCAGTTCCACCAGAAAGGCAAGAGGACAGGAAGAGACCCTTTTGGGAGACATGAAAACTTTTTGTTTTCAGTGAGGGGGAAAAAGCCAAGAATATCAGCATAATTAAGCATGTACAATGGTTCTCATTTTAAGATAACACCTGCAGATTGCTTTTCATGACGGCCGAGCCTTCGGCATACAAACGCCTTCTGAGAGGCATGTTCTGTTTTCCTTCTTCCTCTTTTACGGACAGCAGGCTTAAAATAGTAGCCAAACACAATGAAAGATTGGTAAATATTGCTGTCTCTGGTCTCGCAAGCTACAAATGCATCTGCAGTCAAAACGTCCTAAATACACCTGATCTTATCCATGAAAACACGGTTCACGATGTCATAAATTGATAAACCTGACCCATTCTAGACGTTAGGTTCTTCTTCTCTGAGAAAAAAAACAACAACAACAAAGTGCTTGGCCTAAAGTTCGCCGGTTTTCTGAACTTAATCGGTTAATCTCTATTGTTTAGCGTTGTTTATTAAAGAAGAACTCTCCGGCAAGCGATGTACGCGATCTGTTTTACTGTTTTATGTTCAACTAGGCCACATCTTTTCAAAGCTTAAGAGTCCATCCTTTCTTCACGTTTTCAAGGATTTATCTTCCTCTCCTTTTGCCCGGAGCATTGAGTCAGAGAACAATTCTTCCAAAAATTATGTTTTTAATAGCTAACTTTGCGCTTAGTAAATGGGGAAGAAAGAGACTTACAACGGACTTCGGTTACTTTCAGTCCACCTGTTCCAAAAACTTAGAGGATGTGAATTTGCATAATCGAGCTTTAAACTTGTCAGGGCGAAGACAAGAAAGCAGTCCGCTCTGTGCGACTGTTTAATTAACGACACGGAAAGAACTATTTCCATCATAAAACATTCATGTCCCCTTCCAGCTGAGGCAGTGACAGTCGAAAAGACAGCGAACCTTATGATACAATTTTAACTGGCAAACATAAACTTTGTGTAAAGGAACAAAATTTGGCGTAAAAATAAAAAAAAAACATACTTAGTTATCAAAATTATCACTCTTTCAAGAAATGTTAAAATATCATATATACTTTCTTGCCTCAACTTATACGAGTAGAGTGATATTTTTTGCTAACGATGTTTTCGCTTGTTGACTTAGAAAACCACATTGGATGATCTTTATAAATAAACTGTGCACGAGGAATTAGCTTTTGACTTGCAGATCTGTTTCAGAACAAATAATTCTCCGAATCATAATCGTGCTAACTTAAATGCAAAGTTATCTCTATTCTCAGGGAACAGTACAGAACTCAATACAAATAGCTAACGTAATGAGATTCTTTGGATTTGTCTACTCTGCTTGCATCAGCGGTCAAAACAAAAATAAAGCTTCGATATCTGGTTGCTTGTAACAGTTTAATCCAAAAAATGATCTCACATTTCAAAACATGAATTTTAAGCAGTGGAAAAAAAGGAAACAGAATTCCATTTTGTGAACGTGTTATTCTACTTAAGGACCATATTCCTCTGTAAATCTGTCGGCGTGAAACAGCATAGATCATCATAAGTGACGTACATGGGCTTCATATATCAGCCTGACGTACAAACTGTTTTGATGGTGCAACCGAATTGTTTACTGAATGATCAAATTATGAAAACTCTATATAATACCTCGGCAAATGCAAAGTTTTTTTTATGACCTGCAAAAGGTCGAAAATCGAAACATTTATAAATTTAGAACGCGCTGAAGAAAATTTCTACACTTAAAACTTGATCGCTAGACTTACTTGTTGACGAAATATCGCTTATTTCAGCCCAGATATATGAACATCAGCTTCAGATCTGCTTTCCTCAGGTCATTTAGTTGCTACTCGGCGCATAGTACAAGTAAAACAATCTCTTGACGAATTTTTTAACTGCAAATATCTCAAGTTTAAGAACTCGTTCAGTCGGTGACGTACGCATAGGATGGAGAATTATTTGGTTCTGTACGACCGGAAGAATGGCGTTATTCGCTTGATCATGCATCAAGGCGATGATAACAGGGGTATTGTTAGTAAATAAGAATATGCAGAACAGAATGATAAGCCGGCAACTGAATATATTAAAATTAAAGCAGACAGCTGAAAATGATCACTTAATTTGAATAAGAATTCAACTCAGGCAAGAAACTGAGAGAAGACGTATTTTCTTTGGGGAATTCTGGCCAGATTTCTAAATCTGATATTATATATAAATATTTTGCACCATGCACGATTAGCTATCAAATGCATGGGTAGTAAAAACTCATGCACTTCAAATTGACCGTCAGCCATAATAACTTTAGGATGGTTTCCATTTTACGAACAACTGCTGCCAGGCCGGGAAAACAACGAATGGAAACCTTTGATGAAGGGCAATTATCAAATCACCTGTAGGTTTTTTTTTGTCTCGACGCATGCGAAGGTACGATCATATTTGTAAGAATGTCTCCATGATTCGAAAACGACGAGGCGGAATCTTTCTTTTTATTAAAAATGTATACTTTTACTAGGAGAATTTTGAACACACGCAGTAACTTAAAAACTTTATTTTGCGCAGCCAAAACTTCTTCACACAGAGGTACACTGCATGTAAAAGTAGTGATATAGGTCAAAATCCCACCGTGGGAGGGTTTATGGAAATTATAGTTTTTTAATTAAACTGGAAAATCCATTACAATTTTCTTCCAAAACATGAGCTAGAATTGGTTTTTTAGAGAGATTTTAGAGGCCTTCCCGCTCTTTTTTGTGGATTCAATCAGGAAAAGAAGAGAGCGGTTGATTTGGAGAATAACGAGGCTGTTTCGTTAAATAGCTCACGAAAAACTTGCCACATTTTTTTTTTTCTAATTTGTTATCATGCTCAGTGATATATTTAAGAAAACGCCTCTCTGCTTTGTTTATCACAGAAACTTCTCTATATCAAAGTGGCCGTAGCCTTCAACATGGGCACCACAAAAACTAAATAATGTTGATCTGAACGCCCCATTGGACCAAGGACCTAGCTTACAATATGGCGTTCATGCGCATCTATCAAAAGACTGAGGCAAAATGCCAGACAAATCAATAACAGCCATAACTTCTCTGAGGGTTTATTCTTTTTCCCCATTTGTTTATTTGCGGCCGATCTTACATGGGAACTTGACTATATGCGAAAGTATCTGCACGCTTTAAGGACTTAACAATTTTTTATCACGGCGTTTCCTATTCTTGGTTTTCACCCACGTGACCTATACCTTGACAACGGTTGCTACGCCGCCATATTGGTGTCGTATTATTCAAACATTTCGCGTGTTATCAAAGCTTTAGAAATATTCTTCATCATGGTTCATTGTATTATGGTTGATTGTTTTCATAATAGTGGAAAGACGAAAGGTATAGGGTTTTATAGGATTCCAGTTGTAGTCACTAACCAAGGAGAAAAAGCAGAAGAGCTAAGCAGAGAACGAAGAGAAAGATGGATCGCCGCCATTAGCCGCGACGACATCACTTCGAAGGATGTCCTCAGTAATGAAAGAGTCTGTGGACGACATTTCGTGTCAGGGCAATCTGCAAAACCCTGGGATAAGTACAACGTCGACTGGGTTCCTACTTTGAATCTCGGGAAGACAAAATATCAACAGGAAAACCACGACATTAAAGAGGCAAGAGCTAAACGAGCGAAGGAACGCCGCAAAAGATCACTCGAGCGTCAAGAACGCGAGGCAGCTGAGAAACGAAAGAAAATCGATGTCAGTGGCCTTCCCGTCCGTGATGTGGATTTCAGTGATCCTAAAGAAGGATCTTCCAAGGAAATTGATTCTTCTGAGGATATTTTTGATCACGATTGCGCATTTCAAGACCACACTTGCTCAACTCTCGTTGACAGTTCAACTCAAACCCAAGTTGATGTATCTGAAGGAATGTCAGACAACTCGCCCCCTGGACAATTAGCCCCAGACGATTAGCCCCCAGTCTTTGGACAATTAGCCCCCAGTCCCTGGACGATTAGCCCTCAGTCTTAATTTATGTAAAGGAGAAGTTACGTTCATCTGTTGGTCATTGACTTTTATGAGTGAAATTACATGGGTTGTACGAGGTGAGCACAGGCCTCCAGAAGCTCCTTTGAATTCCTTAGGCCGTCTTCGTATTGACTCCAGAGGTCGAAGAGTCTTCTCTGCATGGTCCGGTAGCTTGACCGCTGATGTCTCTTCAGCTTTTTGTCTGAAACCAGACGGATCTGCATGCTGACCAGTGTAGCTTCCCGGTGAAGTACCTGGATAAGGATGTACAGGGGCAGCTGTGATCGTCCTTTGGCGCGCCGGTTCAGTTCATTGTGCCAACCCTCTAGGTCGTTATTCGTTCTGACCGCTTCTAGGAACACGCTCCAGTTCTGTGGCGGGAAGGTCTGACTGATTATCCAGTTTTCATCTATGTAACTGCAGAAATCCTGCAAGGGTCTGACAGTTGCTTGCTGCTGGAGTCGACGGAATCTGCGTTCGATCTTGTCAGTAGGGAGGTACGATAAAGCCATCAGTTGCTTTATTAGCTGGTGGGTGCTGCGGTCATTTCTGTAGGCATTCTGGAGTCCAAGCCCTTGTACCTATAAAAGAAAAGCGAAATTTAATATTTTGTTAGCTAGATGCTAAACTAGTTTCGTTTTGAACATTGTGCGAATTAGTAAAAGTTCGCGCATTGTGCGTGGCTTTGAAATAAGCAACAATAAATAAAATTTCGCACCTTGCGCATGGGTTTGAAATAAGCAAACAACAATGAGTAAACGTTCGCACATTGGCGTGGGTTTTCAATAAACAAATAAATAAAAATTAGTAAAAGTTCGCACAATTCGCGTGGTGTGTTTGAAATAAACACCGACTGACATTAACAAGTAGTCGCCAATAAGTTAAAGTTTCGAAGTTTCGTCCCTGGTTTCTTTCCTTTCCTATTTAAACAACATGACGGAGAAACATTCGTAAAGTATGTAAACAGAAAGAACACAGTTCATTTTTGTAGAATATATAAACCGAAAGAACACAGTTCACTTTATAATTCGATACGCACGGCAGAGAAACGTTCATAACAAGCAAACAACAAGACAGCAAGAACGAAGTTTACTCTATAATTTAACACGCATGGCAGAGAAATGTTCGTAAAAAGCAAATAACAAGAACATTGTTTATTTCATAATATATGATAGGGAAACGTTCGTAAAAAGTAAAGGGCAAGAACATAGTTTATTTCAAGGTTGGTGGGTTGGGGGCTAATAGTCCAGAGACTGGGGGCTAGTCGTCTGGGGCTAATTGTCCAAGGGGCGAGTTGTCCGGATACCATCTGAAGCTATGACTCAAACCGAAGAGTTTGAATACCTTTTCAAAGAATCCTATAAGCCAATTGATCGAGATTTTTTTGATTCTGATGAAAAAGTTCGCTTTTATTCTGGACTGCCTTCAATGGATATCTTAATGACCGTCCTTGACTTTGTGTCACCCCACATCAAACGAAGAACCCAAAAACTTAGCCTTTTCCAGGAAATGATTATCGTGTTGATGAAACTGAGACTGAATATGCCTTATCAAGACTTAGCCTATCGTTTTCAAGTATCTGTGACAACAATATCAAGAATATTTGCATCATGGTTACCAGTGATGGATCAGCATTTGTCCCCACTTATTTACTGGCCTGAAAGACACCAGCTATGGAAGACAATGCCTCTTTGTTTCCAACAAGCCTTTGGAACCAAAGTCACTGTTTTTATTGACTGTTTTGAGATTTTTATTGATAAGCCTACAAACTTGTTAGCTCGAGCTCAGACATTTTCATCCTACAAGCATCACAATACTATCAAAGTACTGATTGGTATTTCTCCCCAAGGAGCTATTTCCTTTGTGTCAGAGGCATGGGGAGGACGTACCTCTGATAAGTTCTTGACAGAAAACTGTGGCATTCTTGAAAAACTTTTGCCAGGTGACATGGTTATGGCAGACCGGGGTTTCACAATCACAGAAAGTGTTGCTCTCAAACAGGCAAGACTTGTGATACCAGCCTACACGAAAGGGAGGGAACAGCTGGATCCTATTGATGTGGAAAAAACAAGAGCTCTAGCAAGTGTACGGATACATGTTGAGAGGGTGATTGGTTTGCTGCGTCGCAAGTATACTATTCTTCAAAGCACTCTTCCCACTGATTTTTTGAACAATGACAATGGACAGGATGAAGTACCAATTATTGACAGAATTATTAAAGTATGTTCAGCTCTTGTAAACCTGTGTCCACCCATTGTACCATTTGATTAGCTCCATACTTCATACAGTACTATTATAGTCATATATTGTAGCTAATGAAATGATATGATGGGGTGGAGAGTCTGTGTATAATTTAAGAAATATTATAACCCCATGAAAAGAGAGCAAGTGACTGGGAATGAGCACTGTGTAAGATCAATAATTTAAAAAAATATACTTCCATTACAAGAAGGATCGACAACAATGACAACATTTCATTTGTGCTGTGATATTTCATATATTTACAGAAATTATATGACTGCAGGGGGCAGTAAGGACTGTTTATTGAGCACAGCTGCTTAAAATAGCTTGAGTTCATTATTCTTCTTGGATTTTTTTTTAATGACTGCTACTCTTGAGATTAGCATGAAACAACAAAACAACATTTTTAGTGTAAAATGTATTCAAAAATGTGGAAAAAATTTGATTTCACCAGCTCTCAAACATTCAAGTAAATGTGGTCTCATTCTTGGGATGTCAAACATAAAATCTGAAGGGTTGAGTTCAAACACAAGGCATGTTGCAAATGCTACAGCAAAAACGCCACAGTCACTGCCATTCATTTGTTGCTGCACTGGTACGACTTCAATGCCAACAAAGTTATCTGGTAGCAGATCTTTAACTTGCTGCTCAACTTCATCATCAATAATGTCATTGTACAGACTGTCGTACAAATTAACACATCCTGATGTGCAACCAATAGAACTAATGCACACCCAATGTGAATTACCCGTGTGTAAGATTTGAACAAAGTCACTGGTCATTATGTCAAAGTTCCTTACTCTTCCAAGAGTTGGTCTTTGAAAACCCTCAATGAAAGGATTTACTTTCTTGATGCATATTTGTGCTGCCTGTATTATTTTGCAATCCAACCAGCCATCAGGAGATGAGATTATGTCATAGTCATGCTCATCTAGATCTCCAAAAGATGCAATTCTATTAGCTACACCTTTAGTCACACAGATTATTTCTAAGTCCTCATCACTTTCATATTCATCTCCAGTACAGTATTTATTTGACTCATTTTCATGTAGATCTTCAAAAGATTCAGAAGCTGTTCTGCTTTCAGTCACACAGGGTATTTCTATGTCCTCGTCACTTTCATATTCAGTTCCAGACACAACTGAAGCTGATGGATTATTGACAGTACATGTAGTACTGGTGGTATAAGAAGAACATGTGGTAGGGATAGTTAATGAAGACTTGTCTGCAGGTTTTTTCTTCACTTTACAATTTTTGCAGACCCAATATAGCTTGCTGTTATTGGGCATCCTCTTGTAGTTTAGACATTTCAGATGGAAAAATTTCCCACTCTGACACTGACTATGACATTTCAGCAGCTTTTCCCCTACAACAGGTTTAGCTTTGCAAACACAAATGGACTGTAATTTCATTGCTTCATCGAAATCAGGGTTCTTTTGACAATCAGGCTTGATCTTAGTAACTCTCTTGGCTTTCTTACATTCTGGAAGTAACTGGCAGCTTGGACAGTACCATACTTTGGGTAAGGGATCAGATATCCCTAAACATGAGAGGTGAAACTCAATGAATGGGCACTTGGGGTTTTGACAAGGCACTGTGCTTTCTTCTGGTTTGGGTTTTCTGCAGTAGCAAACAGGCTTTATATCACCTGCTGGTACAGGTGCAGCAATTTTATGCTTCCTAGTGTACCATCTTCCTAAGATTTCAGGTAGGATACAAGATCTCCACACTTTGGTGAGTTTTGGAAGAACTGATTCCCAGTGTGAAATGTCCTTGTAAATTCTCTCCAAGAAAAACTTTGTTTGATTGTTATTGTCAAAAGAGCACACAACAAAGTCACAATACTGAGAGTCTGTGATAAACAACTGTTGCTGTACTTGAAAAAAGTACTGGTGATTTCTCTTGAGCTGTACCTTTCCATTGACCTTTTCAAGACATGAATTCTTCTTTTCCACATAACTTTCAAGGTCACAGTTTTCAATGTTGTAAGGGCATTTGACTTCTCCACAACCATTCCCACAGCATGAACATGATACCAAAAAATCTGGAGTAGCATTTATCCAGGGGTGCTGTTTATCCACTATCATACCACATTGTTCAACTTTCAGATCTCTGTGAGTCTCTAGTATAGTCTTAGTATAAGCATTCACTGCAGCACTCTCATTCTTACGGCCATGACTGATTGCTTTAGTAGTAACTTTGAACAGATCAGGATATGAGATGGACTTGATTAAGGATTGTGATGGCATAGCAGGGTTAGTATGAGCTACTGCCCAACTCAGAGATGCACCAATGCGCCCAGCTCTGTGCCTGAAAAATGCATTTCCTTTAGCCTGTTCCCTGGTGTCTTGCTCATTTAATTCTACCTGTGATTCTGAAATAGTCAGATCAATATTTTCACACTTTTCTAGGAGTTCTGGATATGACAAGTCAAAATTACATGGATCAAAAAGGTCAGAAATGGTTGGGATACTTCTACTTTTCATGATAAACTGTTCAGAATAGGGTTCAATCAAGCTTAAGGCAACAGGTTTGAACTTGCACTCATTTATTTTGGCAAGCAAATGTTTAAGCTCAGTTCCTCCAGATGTAACCCGTTCTGTCGAGACCTTAGCTTTCTTTGTAGTGCAAGGTGCTGATAAGGAAGGTGGAGAGTTTGCTGATAGTCCCTCAATACAGGCATCTAAGTTATCTTTCAACTTTTTCGCCGACTTGAAGTTGATATCTTTGACCCTAGCATAAGGAACCTCACTCACATATGTCGGTAACAACCACGTGCACTTTACTTGCGTACATGCCAGCGTTTCATTAATTCTCGTTGAAGCTTCGATATGAAATAAAATACTTGCAATATGTGAACAAGTCTCAGCTAGTCCAGCTTTACAACCAAGGCAGTGGGCTGATAACACGGTTCCCTCCTTATTAGTAATAATCCAAACTGCAAATGGTCGCTCATTCATTCGTTGAGAATGTCTCACCTTTCCGATCACCACGAATTTTTCACCTATGACTTTGCCTTCAACACTGGAAATAAAACCCGAAACCATCTGATTGTAGGCCTCCAAGCTTTTGAAAGCTTTGAACTGTTTCTTTGTGTAATAACTCGTATCGATAACCAAATAGCACAGGAGATCTGTAGCTTCTATGGGTGGTAAACATTGTGGATCTAACTTTGCGTCGATCAATGTAGCGGGATCGATCCCCACGAGTGATATTTTTTCTAAATACCTTTGTTTAACATGTGGCTCTAGTCTGGCTAAACTTCAGAATACCCCGCAACTTTGGTCCGCCTCACTTACATGTGTCGGGAGGCTTTGAAGATCGAGGCATAACACAATAGACGCTATTCTTATTCAATGACATGTAAATGAGTTGCGGGGTATTCTGAAGTTGCTCCCCTAGTCTTTTAACATAGTCGCTTAAAGGTATATTGCAAATATCTTCCTTTTTTTCTTCCTTTTTGATGTTTTCAGAAATTTTGTCCAAATCACGCGACATACTTTTAAAGAATCATGCACCAAAACACTGCATTTTGACATATGCTAATAAGCTTTTGCGACACCAATATGGCGGACGCCTAATTTGCATATGCCGTGACGTCACGTGAAAACCAAGAATACTTGAACCTCCGGCCGGGTAAAAAGTTGTTCCCTACGGTGGCCCACAACTGTCACGGCAAAAGAAATAACATCGCGGCAAAAGAAAGAGACTCACGGCAAAAAGGAATAACCTCACGGCAAAAAGGAAAAGGCTCACAGCAAAATAAAAAACCTCACGAAAAAAATAAAAAGACTCATGGCAAAAGAAAAAACCTCCCAGCCTCCACGGCTCTCTTTAGTGCCGTGAGGACATTGTTATTTCTTTTGCCGTGAGGTTATTTCTTTAGCCATGAGTCTTTTACTTTTGCCGTGAGGTTTTTTTTTTGTCGTGAGTCTTTTCTCTTTGCCGTGAGGTTTTTTTTTTGCCGTGAGGTTTTTCCTTTTGCCGTGAATCTTTTCCTTTTGGCCTTCAGGTTCTTCCTTTTGCCGTTTGTTTTCGCCGCGAAGTTATTTCTTTGGCCGTGACAATTGTGAGCCACCATAGTTCCCAGGTTCTACTCCTTATTAGGTGGGCTGACATTTGACATGCTTTTGTCCCGAATATCACTCGAGCGGTGGGATCTCTTGCTTAGAAAATTGATTTTACGGTCTGACAAACTAATATATACCGCGTGTGGGGGAACACCATGTCCACTACAGACTTACTTTATCTCTGTATGCTATTAGGATCTATTCCATTCGGCCATTTGGTCAAATTATCAGGTTCTCCTTCACGAAAGCAATTCCTTTCCACCGTTGCTGGTGTATGCTTGTCACTCGCGCTTGTCGGAGTTTGGGGAATTCTTCACTCCTTTTGGACAATTCTAGGCACGTATGTGATAGTTATTTCTCTTGGTCCAAGGTAAGATTGCTTGTCCTTAACATGTGTCGAATGAATTCGCCATTGTTGGGAAATAAACGTGTGCAAGCATGCATCGTGTCCTATTGTACCCCTGCTGTTCTTGATAGTTTTAAACAAATCATCTTGTCAGTTCAACAACAGCTAAGCATGAAGGCGTTAAAAATGGTTTGTTTGCTTATCACCCCTCGACCTTTTGAAACAGTGAGTGAAAACGATCACTCGTCAGTGGGTATGTCGTGACAGCACAATTCTCTGAAACAATTGTGCGGTGAAATTGTTGATGAGAATCAATTACCCGTATAATTCATGGCTATTTGATCAGTAACATCTCCATTTGGTAACTTCTTGTTATCAACCCACTATTTGCGAGGCTTTCTGGATGGAAGGAGTGAAATATTCTTTTACTATGATATTTTGCAGGCGATGTGAGTGGGTAGCTTTCCTGTTTGTGTTCGGCTATCTTTTTTTCTTCCGCACATGCAAGTATTTTGGATTTGAAAAGCCACCAGAACACAGCAATGCTATTCAGCTGTTGGTGACCTTGAGGGTGAGTTTGTAATGTAAGCTATATTGATTGTTTGGTAAGTTCTACCAGAGCCAAACGTGAAGTAAATTCCATATGCGATTGACCACCAGAACAAGCATGATGAGGCTACCTTGTGGGGTCTGGATTGCCTGCTTTGCCTTGCTTTTTGTTTGTGTTTATTTTAAACCTGAACTCAATTGAAATTGACAGAAACATAAAATCATTAACTCATAAAAAAAAATGGTAGCTCTTGATTCTGTATAATTAATCAATAATATGAATTAATAACATTTCACTCATATTCCACATCTTTTAATTTCACAGCTTACCACAATTATCAGTTGAGTGAGGTTTGGAAAAAGTTTGGTAATGGAGTTTTGAATGTTGAGATAATAGTGTTGTAACAGGCAACCTCTCTCACCTCCAATAGTAACCAAATGTCAAAAGCTGTGCATCGATTACCAACTGTAAAAACACACAAAGGCGCAGTTGCCAAATTTTTGTCACATCTCACTCAACTGAAAATTGAAGTAATTCATGCATTTATGGATTCACGATTTTTTTTCCCTTTTCAGTGTTGTACACTGCCATTTGAAATATTTGAGTCTGAGGAAGAAACCAGTGAAGGAGAATCTAAAAAGTCAAAGCGACCATCCTTTTATGAGTTCCTTAGTTACTCCTACTGTTATTGTGGACTCACCACTGGTCCTTACTATCGCTACAAGACTTTCAAGGACATGATTAACCAACAACATCCTGAGAAGATTTCCACCGTCATCCCTGCCATGAGAAATCTTCAGACATTTCCCTTCTATGGTGTGATATACCTTATTTTAAACCATTACTTTCCAATCAGTCATATTGGGACTCCAGAATACACCAGTCATCCTTGGGGGGTGTTGTACCAACTGGCTTATCTTGTCCCAACCTTTCATGGGTTTCGCTGGCGCTTTTACATAGGCTGGCTCCTTGCTGAAAGTTGCTGTATGACTCTTGGTTTGGGGGCATATCCATTTGAAACAGAACCAAAGCCTGGGTTAGGGCCTACCAAAGCAGTTCCAGAACAAAGTGAACCTAATACAGAAAAAAATGGAACCATTAATCAGACCACTCCTGAGCAAAACAAAGAATGTAATCAAGACACGCACAGGTACATTTATATTAAATGCAGTGGTTGCCTCAAAACTTGAGCTATCTTAATTATTCCATTCCAGAGATCCAAAATTCTAGAATTCTCAAATGCAAATTACTTGGTTTTGAAATAAATTCCCATCTATCCCTAACTTTTTTTTAGGCTTATTAGATTAAGATATTTCAAGAATAATTCCTTTGAATTAGTTCATCATTATCAATTATTTTCCAAAATATCTTGTTTAAGTCATCCTGTGTTGCTTTTTTCCCTTTTGTTACAGCTTTGAGACAATCCACAACATAAACATTTTTGAGGTGGAGTTTTCACCTACTATGGGAAATACAATGAAGAATTGGAACATGACTGTTCAATGGTGGATTGCAACTTACATACACAGGAAAACTCCTTTTAAAAACAAAAGCTTAAGGTAATGCAAGTCATAGATAGATGGATAGATAGACAGTTTATTTATCCACATAGTGCCTAGGAGCATTCAGCATACTTGTTTACAATGCACACATGCAATTACAAAATACTGAAAATAATGAAAATCACATAAATATAAAAGACTATTAACAATCATGTGCTGGGCACAGTAACAAATTCCTATTGTGGTGCTTAGTGATAGATAAACATCACAAATTTTAATTTGTCTGTTAACAAGTAATTGTTATCGGTCTCTACTTTAATATTAATGTATTAATGTATTGACAAAAAATTGATTTTTTTGGCTCACACGTATGCTGTAATAAGCTCCTTTCCCTAATAAGTATTTTCTTTAGTGTTCCCTTTTTCTCTTTCCCTAAACAAAAACTCTACAATTATACAATCATAGGAAAATGTTTTTCATAGAATTTGATATTTTATTTCATTTAGACTTTTTACTTATTAGACATTTTAAGTTTTGGACATTTTCTTAAAGCTTCTAAATGTAATTTTTGTCTTCAATGCATCATAATTCAATTGAATTTACATAATTTACATTGTATGGTGCAATTGAACACCACTGGAAATGGTGCTTCACAAATAAAATATTATAATTGATTATTTTAAAAATGCCAGACAAAATTGCAACAATGTTGTAATACTTTGCAGATAGGTTTACAGTAGTATTATTATTCATTTTGGCGTAGCAGCATTTTAGAACTTAACATACTGATATTTGAAAGCTTCATTTAGTTTGCGAGTTAAATTCTGTAAGGTTTTCAACCAGAGAAGTGTGTTCTCATAAATTTCATTCAATTCATGTACATGTTATTAGATGTCACTCATACAGGGGCTCTTACTGAGTTTTAATGAGCCCCACCCCATTTGTATGGGTACCCACCCTCTCTTATAAACTTTTGTAATTTACACTAATTGGTCGTTATAGTAAATTAAATTTTGCCTTCCCTCGTTTCACAAAACAGAGGGAGGGAGGACCTTCAGCATATCTGTAACAAGACTGTGGAACTAACTACCTACCCATGAACCTAAAGAAAGAGGCGAAAATAGTTGCTTCTTTCAGAATGGCCCTTCACAGACATTTTCTAACGAGCTATGATGAAGTAGAGCATTTCACTCTACATGCAATTTAACCTGACCCAAGCAGCATATTTTATTTTATCTAGTTTTTAGCTTATATTCTTATAGACCTGTTGACCAGTTTAAAAATCCTCAAATGCATTTTAATTCTGTTATGGTATTTTTAGGATCAAGGGCCACTACTTCATCAGTTGAATTACTGTTGTGTGTTACCCTCCTTAAATAAAGTTGTTTTTATTATTATTATTATATTAACCCTCTCTAATAACTCTCCCCCCCTCCTTATCTAAACCTCCCTTACCAACCCTCTTTAACAAGTCTCCTTCCATTCTAAAGAAGGCCCTCTCTAGATACAACAATGTATGGTGTGAACTTTGAATATAATTGTTACCTACTTTATTTCAGAATGTTCACCACTCTTCTTGTCAGTGCCTTCTGGCATGGTGTGGCCCCAGGTTATTACCTGACCTTTTTGTGTGTTCCACTGACAGTTATTGCTGAAGTTCAAATGTCTAAAGCTATCAAGCCATACCTGTCGCCAGAGCTTTGCTACTGGTATGATTGGCTGAGTTGGTTTTTTCATTACCGTAGCATGGAGTATCTTGGCTGTGGATTTATGTTGCTTCAACTTGCTCCATGCCTGGAAGCATGGAAGAGCATGTACTTTGTTGGACACATTGTGATGGCGGTTTTTATTGTTATTCCTTTTTTTATTCCGAAAAAGCATACTATTGACAAAGAGGCCAAGAAGAAATCATCTTAAACTATGTTGTATAGTTTTTGATAAAGTATTGATTACTTTAGTTATAATATAATAGTGGAAATACATTATTTAGGAAGCTGTTTAGCTATTTAAATAAGTTTTGTATTTACATTATTGCTACTATCAGCATGTATTTAGACTATCATATATACTGTGTTTTTGATAACTCTTTTAACCCCGGCAGGCAGCAACTTTTTTATCTACCAAACATTTGTTTACAAATTTGACTTTTTTTGTCACACCAACATCTAAATCAAATAATTTTGTGAAAAAAGGTACAAATGGAGACTAACTTATCTGTATTTAAAAAGTGATGGGAATTATGATGATGAGGAGGAGGAGGGGGAGGCAAATACTCTTTCAAATGATTGACGAATTGCAGATATGAACTAACTTAGTCCAAGCTAGATAGTGTGTTGATAATTCATATACATATTGTGCACATTTAAATTTATAATCAGTATTTTTGGCAACATTTTGTCTCCATCTCTCAGTAAAACACCATTAAGTAATATATTGATAAATAAATCATGTGATCAATTTCAAGAAAGTCTCAGAATACAAGTATTAAATACCATCATAATCCTATTGTATCACAATCGTCAGAAAGACAAAAGGACAAACTGACAAATGGACAGGTCAAAGAAGAGTGCTTTATTGAAATAAATAATCAGAAATATTTGTCAGCTTAATACTCGAGAATGTAAAGAAAAAAAAATTAAATTATCGTGCACTGGCTGGGCAGCCAGCTTAATACTCGAGAATGTAAAGAAAAAAAAAATTAAATTATCGTGCACTGGCTGGGCAGCCAGCTTAATACTCGAGAATGTAAAGAAAAAAAAAATTAAAATAATCGTGCACTGGCCGGGAATCGAACCCGGGCCTCCCGCGTGGCAGGCGAGAATTCTACCACTGAACCACCAGTGCATGTCTTGAAAATAAGGGGCATTTTTTAGTATTAAAAACCGTTTTAAAAGGGATTTGACACTAACAGGCTTTTATACTGGGTTTGGCTCGGTATTTTATAGCTCAGTTTAGTTCAGTCAGGTTAAACGATCGCACAGTGTCCACCAACATAGAAGTTTAAACTGTTATTCTAGTGACCTCCGCGAAATTCTTCGACCATGTCCTTATCTGACACGTGGACCTTCAAAATTAGCATACATCGACAGTGGTTTATTTCTTATGAACAGCCGCAGTCCAATTTCATTGAAATTTTGAGAGTGCCGGGTCTTCAGTCAAATATCCCCATTTTGGACAGCGAAGTAGTTTCTGATGATCCCAAACTCTAATCCTGTTGTTCAGGCTCTTTTAGGGACGTTGTTTACATGGGGAGTAACAGCTCTTGGATCTGCTCTCGTCTTCGTTTTTAACAGCGGACAGGTAGGATAAGGTTTCTGTGTCCCTCTACATGGCTCGAAGCTGTAACTTTCAGCTGATCTTTCGCATTTATGTCAATCGCGAGCTTAATGATAAATTTATTTTTACTATTTCAGAGAAAGGTTCTCGATGCTAGCCTGGGATTTGCCGCGGGGGTAAGATAGAGATTGTGAAATTACGATATTTTTACCATAATCGTTTTAAATGACGTGTTTATCTTAGATTAACATCAGAACACGTAAACAGATCTCCCAAATTTTAAAATTAAACATATCTCAGCCCTGTTAAATTCTTCTGATATTAGAAATGATGTTATGATATGAGTACATTTATTTTGTTTTGATTCATTAGTCTTGGCCATTGGTTAGATAATAATTGGTGTATTTCTTATGAACAGCCGCAGTCCAATTTCATTGAAATTTTGAGTGCCAGGTCTTCAGTCAAATATCCCCATTTTGGACAGCGAAGTAGTTTCTGATGATCCCAAACTCTAATTCTAATTAAATTCTTCTGATATTAGAAATGATGTTATGATATGAGTACATTTATTTTGTTTTGATTCATTAGTCTTGGCCATTGGTTAGATAATAATTGGTGTAATTTCTTTCCAATCATATCTCTTGGTACGTCTAAGCACACCTATAAATTGCAGAGGTTAATCAGATTTTAAGAACTTATGATGTGACAGTGAAATCGTAGTCACATTCAATAGTTATTTCCAGGGCTCAACGTTTTGAGTTTCACTGCAACCTTCATTTTGGCTATCCCAAGTTTATGTATTTTGTGCATGATATCTCTAATATCTTTGATTGTTTTAATGTAGGTCATGCTAGCAGCTTCATATTGGTCCTTATTAGCCCCAGCCATAGAAATGGCAGAAACTTCAGGAAGTTATGGAGAAGGTGGCAAGTTTGCCTTTGTTCCAGTATCTATAGGGTTCATTCTTGGAGCAGTATTTGTATATGGGGCAGACAAGCTTATGCCACTTCTGGTAATTATATCACAGTAAATAGATACTTGTATTTTATTGATTTAGTTGTGAACACAACTCTATTTTAGCATCATTCTCCTGTTTGCATCAATTTTTAATTTGCCATAATTTTCTTTTTCTAAGGGTGTGGAATCATCTAATTTTGCTGAGGCCCTAACTGGTGATTTTCAGAATGGTAATGCATGCAAAGAGAAGGAATCAAAGGATAACATCCATCACACAGAAATCTCCATCCACAACTTGTCACACAACAGAGATACATCACAGCTTACACAAAGAAAGAAGGAATATTTACATGATTCTAGTAATAAAGACATTGATCATGAAGGACAGATATCAAAAGAGCAAAAAGCCAGCTGGAGGAGAATTTTATTATTGATCATAGCAATTACTGTTCATAATATTCCAGGTAACATTTTGAAGAGAACACCCAATAATATAATTATAACATAGAGAATTGATGGCCAAGGAGGAAAATCCAGGCATGCAACTCCATAACACAGGATTTTAGTTACCTTTTGGGCAGAAATTACAATTATGTAGCGTTTTTTGATCTAGTGGTACATGTTGTCTTCTCTCAAGGGTAGTCACTTCTGAAAAACTGCAAAAAATGACATTTCTTGACATCACTACAGTACAATCGATTTTTAAAATTGTAAATATGGCAGACAAACTTTGATCATGACACTATTTTCAACTGAAAAGGATGATGATTATTCTTAGGGCAGCTCTAGAGGTGGCCAAAAAGTTTCTTTTGAATGTTGAAATTATACTTTTTTGCAGAGGGTCTGGCTGTTGGAGTAGGGTTTGGTGCCATAGGAAAAACAGCTGCTGCAACCTTTGAAAATGCAAGGTACATAAAGATTTAAATTAAACTTTATTATTCAAAATGTAAGTCAATAAGTCAGGTTCCTCTTAAATTTTCCTCTTTTGGGAACTCAACTACTCGTCTGTTGCATACTATATCCAGGAATTTAGCAATAGGCATTGGAATTCAGAACTTTCCAGAAGGACTGGCTGTTAGTCTCCCACTTCGAGGGGCAGGATTTTCCTCATGGAAGAGCTTTTGGTAAGTGTATGTTTCTGATTATCATCAATTTCTAGCATGACTTTTAGGTACAACTTTAAAGTCTGAACATTTATCGTGGCTGGCTTAAACCTTTAACTCTTACAAGTGAATAACACATGTTATATGTAATTTCTTTTTCTTAGCCTATTAGCTAGAGGGAGCCAACTTGAACTGAAACCAAATAATCTGTGGTCTAATTTACATGGAAATGTAAATCCAGTCAGTGGGGAGAATTGTTGATAACAAAATCTCTTCCAAATCACAGTTTCATTATTCCAATGCCCACAGCAGTCACTCATGTTAATAACTTTAACAATAATTGTCTCTAATTTCTGTAGCTAAGCATGTTTACATTTGACTATTGAACTTTCCTCACCTGCTTTGCTTTGTCATAAAATAACATTCATTTAATTTTTATTTGAGGTATGGTCAGCTAAGTGGAATGGTAGAACCATTAGCTGGACTTTTTGGTGCTCTTGCAGTTGTGGTGAGTACTGGTGCCATTTTTCAAGAAACTATCAGTATGTATCCAACCATATTTGGGTTGTTTTGCTGACACAGAAAAGTTTCTTTCAGTGAGAGAATAGCTCAAAATAGTTAGTTTGCAATGGTGAACAAACCCCCAAAAAATAAACTAAAATACAACAGGTTGATTTATGAACAGCAAGACAGAGCAGCTATGGGTAGCCCTGTTTATGTGGTTATAGCTAACATCTACATGGAATAATTTGAGGAACAGGCAATAGCAAATGTTACTTGCAAACCTAAAAACGGAGCAGCTATGGGAAGCCATGTTTCCACAGTTATAGCTAACATCTACATGGAAAAGTTTGAGGAACAGGCAGACGGGGGAAATCGAAATGTTGCGATCAATATCAAAAGTGACTCTGTCATGAGACAAATGAACAAAGTTCATCTCCTTATAAACTAGGAGTTTAAAAGATGGCATTGAAGGGAGACAGAGATTTAAACTGGCAAACCTAGAATATTTTTCCACCAAATTTTTCAAAATGTCCAAACTAGTAACAAATTTGGTTCAGGCCTTGTTCTTTTGTGTCAACATTATCTACATCATGTGCAATGCTACTTAATATAGGGTTTGCAATTATTGACAGTGCTTTGCTTACATGAAGCTAAAATATTGCTCTCATTTATGTGTAACAGTGTGACTTATTTATTATACTCTAGGTTGCTGAGCCCTTGTTGCCATATGCTTTGGCATTTGCAGCTGGTGCAATGGTGTATGTTGTAGTTGATGATATCATACCAGAGGCCCAGACAAGGTTTGGCAAGAGTGGTTCTTTATATCTTATGTGATACTGAAAAGTTTTTAATTTCCACAAGTACCAGTTCTTTTTGCCTAGAATATATTTCTCACTCTGTAAAAATTGGAAAGTTTGTAGTCAGCTCCATACTTTAATTTGCAACTGATTGAAGCTTTGTAGGTTTATGTATTAACTTAACACTACATGAGAGAATTTCTCTAAAAGACTTGTAGAAATACAAGGCTTACTGTAATTTGCAAAACGAAACGGAATGAAAGGTAATGAAATGAAAATCGGTAATTTGCAAAATGGAAAATACTAATGATTTGAAAAATAGAAATTGCAAATTACAGATTTTCATTTTGTTTCTTTCCTTTCATTTCATTTTGTTTTGCAAATGACAGTAAGCCAAATACAACATAACTGTAGCATGATGCAATATGTAAACTGCTAGAGAGATGGTGACACCATTCATAAATCATTTAAAAAGAAAGGTTTAATTAATAATTTTTTACTTTTTTTTTGCAGTGGTAATGGACGGTTAGCTTCATGTACAACTATTGTTGGTTTTGTAGTAATGATGTCTCTAGATGTTGGGCTTGGATGAGAATATTACTTGTGAAACCTTCCTTAGTGAAATTAATGTATTTTATTAGTTAACAATCCTGACCATAGAGTAGGCATTTGGAACTGCAGAATGCTTCCTTAATTGTAGTTAAAGTGTCTTGTAGTTTAGAAAAACAAAACAAAACAAACAAAAAAATAGAGAAAATAATCATCAGTGATCAAGTGTTTATCAAGAATTTATTTTTCACATCCATGTTTATCTTAATAGTCCCTAAACAGAATAAAGAGCTCCAATCTAAGACAGTCATTTGCGCAAAAGACTTAAAAGAGACATCACATCAAGCTTGCATCCAAGTGATTTTTTGCATACATTAAATATGATAAAAGGCTTTTTTATTCCATCACCTGATAAGTGGCAGGATATTTTGCAGTTTCATTTTGTTGTACTGGTGGTGCAGTATACTTTGCCAAACAAATGCATCAAACTACAATTTTTAGTGACTTGGAGTCTCAGCTCTCTATTGAAAGAAATACAATCAATTTAATCACACCAACTTTTTACAAACAAAAATTTTTGATAAACAGTTAGTCGTACATGTTGGATGGATAGTTTATAAGATGGGTTGTAATGTTCTATACATTTTCTAGCTTGGGAATAACAAATTTGTGAATGTTAAAGGTGGCTGCAATTTCCAAAAGGCCATTTTACAGTTGTGTTCTTAGTTGCCAAGCCTTTGATTTGGAGTGAGGCTGAAGGTGACCTTGTTGTGATGGAGACAAGTATCTAGTTGGCATGGTAACAAAGTAATAGACCATTTTTGATATGTTAAAATTCTGACATAGCTCTGAGATAAGGGGGAATGAAACAAAAGAAATAAATTATTTGTCTCTCAACCTCGATGTGATTTCTTGGAAATTACAAACTTGTGAATGTTAAAGATGGCTGCAGTTTCAAAAAGGCCATTTTACAGTTGTGTACTTAGTTACCAAGCCTTTGCTTTAGAGTGAGGGTGAAGGTAACCTTGCTTGGGGTTGCATAATATTTCTCAAAGCCAAGTTTGAATTTTAATAAATTGAAAATGGCCTATTTACATTTAAAAAGCAGCATTGTTTGTATTATAACAAGGTCACCCTTTGCCTCACTCCTGTTCAAAGGTTTGGCAACCAAGGGTGCAACTTTAAAATGGAGAGCTGAAAACATAACCAAGACATGTGGTGTTGTCACTCAAAAAAAAAAGGTTAATGTGTATGTACATTTCTGTGGATTTCCAGTCAGCTTTCTTATTTCCATTTTCAGTTCAAAGAGAAAAACTTTTTTGTGATCTCTTTTGTCATATCATTGGATCTACTTTCCTCTGAGGTTGAGATCTGGGGTTGAGATATATTGATAAATACAGAGATTTATTTGTTTCACGATACGCGAACTTCCGGTGTTCGTCATAGTTTCCGGTTTGTATAAACTGTCAGTCAAATAAACGTGGTTTAGTTTTCTTCAAAATGGCGTGTTCCCTGTGAAACACAAACATGGTGTCAGAGTAAAAAGCGCAAGGAAAAAACGGTCTTCGCAACTGTAAAAGTCGTCGTAACTCATCACAAATAGCCGTTAAAACGTAGGTCTAAGAAGACGGAAGCACTTTGGCAACAGAGCTACAAAAAAAAAAAAAAAAAAACAAGACGAAATACGAAGAAGACATGCCTCCACCCGACGAAAGTTAGTCAGGACAACAAGCGCCGAGCGCTCCGAGCGCTCCAGTTTTGAATTTTACTTCGAACTTTCCAGTTCCAAGCCCAATGAAAATATCCGGCGACAGAGTCACAAATTGGGAGTTCTTTCGACAGCAATGGCAAGACTACGAGCTTGGCACCGGTCTCGAACATCGTCCAGAACCAGTTCGTTTAGCAACCCTTCGCTCAGTCATGGGGAAAGACTGTCTTGAGATATTTTTAAACCTAGAGTTGACTCCGGAAGAAAGGGCAAGCGTGACCTCCAGTTTAAAAGCTTTGGAAGCATATTTCAAGCCAAAAAACAAATGTGGTCTACGAGAGATTTATGTTTAATTCAGCTACACAAAGTTCCGAAGAGGGAATAGACGAATTTGTAAATCGATTGAGAAAGATGGCTTCGTCGTGTAAATATGGCGCACTCACAGATGAGATGATACGAGACAGAATCGTAATAGGCGTCCGAGATAAAGCTTCAAAACTACGGCTACTCAAAGAAGATGAACTGGACCTGAACAAAGCACTCAGTATTTGCAGGTCTAATGAAGCGGCTTCCAAACAGCTCAAGTTTATGAAACTGGAGGAAATCCAAACAGATGAGCAAGTCAACACCGTGGACAGTCAAGCGAAACGACTCGACAAGCGGCATAAACAAAAGAAAGACGCAAAATATGGAAAGAATGGAAAGGCTACAAAGGGCGCGAAGAAGAATTGCAACAGATGCGGGGCAACAAAGCAACATAGGAAAGAAGAATGCAAAGCATATGGTCAAACCTGTCACCTGTGCTCGAAGCCGAATCATTTCGCATCTGTTTGTCGCTTTAGAAACAAACCAGCAGGCGGAAAGACAGTATCCAGAGGACACAAAAGCGTGAAGCAAGTCACCGAAGAAACGGATACGTCCAATGACTCCGATGATGATTTGACCGATGATGAAGATCCACTCTTTAAAATTGAAGAAGTCTCCAGCGTGAAGACGGCAGGCAAGCAACTCAACGCCAAGATAATCTTTTCAGACACAGAAGAGTTATACAACACCGAATTGGAATGCCAGCTAGACACCGGCGCCACGTGCAACGTGATGAGCCTGCGCGACCTGGCCATCATAAGCCAAACAGGAGATCCACCACTGAGAAGTAGTAAAGTGAAGCTCAAGTTGTTTGACGGTTCTCTCATGAAGCCTTCTGGTGTAGCCACCTTAAAGATACATCGAGACAATAAGACCCAAGAGTTGGACTTTCAGATTGTTGATACTGTAAACAAGCCTCTTCTATCCGCGGAAACATGTGTGAAGCTGGGACTGTTGAAGCTTTCCTTAACAGGTACAGCGCAAGTAAACAGTATGGGTACAGAGCCAGTAAAGTCTAGTGTCCCACTAACCAGAGAGAAAATTCTAGCGGACTACAAAGATGTGTTCGAAGGACTTGGTCACTTAGGAGAGTCCAGTACCTTTGTTATCGACCCAAACCATCCCCCAGTGCAGCACGCGCCCAGGCGGATACCTGTAACTCTACAAAAAAGAAGTCAAGGAGAAGATCGCAGAGTTGGAGAAGAAAGGCATTATTCAAAAGGTTACCGACCCCACAGATTGGATCAGCAGTATGGTCATAGTGTCCAAGCCAGGAAAGATAAGAATTTGTCTCGACCCTCGAGATTTGAACAAGGCAATCCAGAGACCTAAGTACCAGATGCCAACATTAGAAGAGATACTCCCAAAACTCAGCAAAGCGAAAATATTTACCACACTAGATGCGAAAGATGGGTTCTATCAGATCGGATTAGATGAAGAGAGCAGTAAGAAAACAACTTTCTGGACTCCCTTTGGCAGATACAGATATCTAAGAATGCCATTTGGTATTAGCGTGGCTCCCGAGGAGTTTGAGTGCAAGTTACACGAAAAGCTTACCGGATTAGAAGGCGTCGAAATTCTTCGAGATGATCTACTAGTAGTCGGATATGGAGATACCCAGGAAGAAGCTGATGCCAACCACGATGAAAACCTCAGAAAACTCCTAGACAGAGCCAGAGAAGTCAGACTCAAGCTGAACAGCAAGAAGATGAACTTGAGGAAACCCCAAGTTAAGTTCATGGGCCATGTTATTAGCAAAGATGGTCTCAAACCAGATCCAGACAAAGTCAACGCAGTGGAAAACATGCCCAAGCCAACATGTAAGAAAGAGACTCTTAGTCTACTGGGTTTCATCAACTATCTGGCCAAATTCTTACCAAGACTATCTGAAGTAGCACAGCCGTTGAGAAATCTGACCCTGACCAACGCCCAGTTTATGTGGTCTGAGCAACACGACAAGGCGTTCGATGAAGTGAAGAAGTTGGTAGCAAACCATCCAGTACTCAAGTATTACGACATCAATGACGAGGTTACTATTCAGTGCGATGCCAGCGAGCGAGGCCTTGGTGCGACACTCCTCCAGAACGGACAACCAGTTGCCTTCGCATCGCGAACACTGTCTGCAGTTGAACAACGGTACGCACAAATAGAGAAAGAATGTCTGGCCATTGTGTTCGGTTGCCAAAAGTTCTCACAGTACATCACAAGACGAGACAAAGTCACCGTCGAATCAGATCATAAGCCGTTGCAGTCAATATTCAAGAAATCGCTTCTATGTGCGCCAAGCCGTCTCCAAAGAATGATGCTTCGGCTACAGAGATACAACCTCGAAGTGGTCTATAAACCAGGAACGCAGATGTTTGTGGCCGATCACCTGTCCAGAGCTTTCCTGAAAGATACAGGCCCAGAGGATGAAGAGTTTCAAGTTTTCGCTCTGGAGCTGGAAGCGATGAACCCGTTTGATACCATCAAGATAAGTAGTGAGAGACTGCCCCAACTTCAAAAGGCCACTGAACAAGACCCGGTCATGCAAACTCTCAAAACTACCATTCTGATTGGTTGGCCAGAGAGGAGAGAAGAAGTACCAGTCCAGATTAGAGAATTTTGGAATTACAGAGAAGAACTGACACTTCACAACGGCATCATTTTCAAGAATCAGCGAGTCATCATTCCAAAAGCTTTAAGGCCAGAACTGACCGCAAGAGCTCATTCCAGTCACCAAGGAATTGAAGCCTGTCTACGAAGAGCAAAAGATGTAGTTTTCTGGCCCTCCATGACCAAAGACATCAAAGAAGCTGTTGATAAATGTGAGATATGCGCAGCATTCCAAGCGAAGAACGTCAAGCAGCCAATGCAGACACATGAAATACCTGATCGTCCATGGAGTAGAGTTTCGTCAGACCTGTTCACTCTGAACGGCAAGGAGTACATTGTGCTTGCAGACAGCTACTCAGATTTCATAGAAGTTGGCGAGTTAAAAGGCACAACTGCGAGCTACATCATAGAGTTCCTCAAAGGTCAATTCAGTCGCCATGGCATACCTGATGTATTTGTTACCGACAATGGACCGCAGTACTGCTGCCGAGAGTTCACAGAGTTTTCCAGAGAATGGGAGTTTAAACACGTGACGTCATCACCTAAACATGCCAGATCCAATGGCAAGGCCGAATCCGCAGTCAAAGTGGCCAAGAAGATTTTCAAGAAAGCTCACAGGGACAACAAAGACCCATGGCTTGCGTTATTGGATCAACGGAACACACCAACACAAGGTGTGAACTCTAGCCCTGTACAGAGATTGATGTCCCGAAGAACACGTACATTGCTACCGGTATCAGCAAATCTTCTGTACCCCAGAGTAGAAGAAGGAGTCAAAGAGAAGTTGAAGGCCAAGAGGCAGACAGCTAAAGGCTATTACGATAGAAGTGCCAAGGTGCTACCAGAGCTTGAAATAGGCCAAGAAGTTAGAGTAGCTGGTCAGCGAAACAAAGTCTGGGAAGCCGGCACCTGTGTCCAGAAGCTATCAGATCGCTCATACCTTGTTGAAGTCAATGGAAACACACTACGTCGAAACAGACAGGCATTGAGGCCCAAGAAAGACACCCAAATGAATGGTGAGACTATTATTGCTGAAACAAAACCACCCTCATCTGTACCTGCAGAGACAGAAGGACTAACAGCATTAAGGAGTACCAATCACAGTGATGTGACTACACCAGTTAAAGTCAGCGATACCCCGCAGCAGAATCATAGTGTGCCACTGAAATCAACCCGTACCAGAATTGTGAAGACACCTGTGAGATTCAAGGACTATGTCTGAGCGTCTAAACCAGTTATGGACACTGAACATGAGACACTGAACATTGAGACACTTTGTTGTTGTTGTTTATTTGCTTTTATTTTTACTAGCATGAAACTGTTACATGTACAAGCAGATATTTTTTTTTTGTTAAGTGCATTTTGGACACTTGTCATGATTAGGTCATTATTGTTATTTTGTTTTTTTTAAAAAAAAAAAAAAAAAAAAAAAAAAAAAAAAGGAAGATGTTTCACGATACGCGAACTTCCGGTGTTCGTCATAGTTTCCGGTTTGTATAAACTGTCAGTCAAATAAACGTGGTTTAGTTTTCTTCAAAATGGCGTGTTCCCTGTGAAACACAAACATTATTGATTCATTATTGCTTACAGTTGTTCAATAATGTTTCTGCCTTGCATTCTACCTTTTCTCACCCCTTTTTGTAACCTTTTATTTCAGAAGATTTGATTGTCAATTCTCCCTTCATGGGCTTACACATTTTCTTGCAATATTGTACATTAGTTACAAAAATTTGGTGTAAGATGAAGATCAGAACTTCAACTCATGATAATTTTGAGTATTGTTATTACCTTTTTGCTTGATAATGTTTGGATCTTATAGGGAGATTCGTGTTCACTTGTAGAAGTGAAAGGGCTAATGCAATGCCATGTTTTTAGTAATTCGTAACCCTTTCTGAAAATATTCCCTTGACCCGGGTTGTTCAAAGCTGAGTAAAGATAACCCATGGTTAGTGTGAAATTCCATTTCAGGTCTGAAATGCAATCCAAATCTTTTTGCTTGCAATTTGATCATTAGATGTTCAAAAGAGAAGAGGGAAAATTGTTCCTAAAGGGCTTTTGAACAAAGGAGTGGAGAAATCTGGATTAAAATTTAACCCTGGGTTAGCGCTAATTGGCCTTCGAACAACTGGGCCCTGGATAAGTACGTATTCCATACATAAAGTATGTTTTGGACTGCGGGCTCAGTAAAGTAAAGTGGACGAACCGGGCCGTCAGACGCCATCCTTTAACTCGCTAAAATGTTGTCACAGGGCCACAATGCAATATCCATGATTTTTAGCCCACTTCCCTAGAGGAATGAACTTTCGACTAGTCATTTTTGGCGATGCTGGTTCACGAACGCTTGAACAACATTGGAGAACCAGCTGTTAAAAGTTGGCCTTTTCGAAAGATGGACTCATCTTTGTTCAGCCGGATTTCAGACATTTTACATCAAGTGGAAAGTGCGAGTTACATGAAGAGAGTAGCTTTAGTGGTTTTCCTTGTTTTTGTAGCATTTCTATTTAATTTAATAGTTGGGCGTTTTTTAGAGAAGATACGGCGGTTGGTGATGAGAAGAATTCACATTCCGCCCGACAATGAGGACGAAACTGTGTTTGGACTGGATTTAGCCTTTGGACTGGCCAATCTGACCTGCACGGCGTTACTGGCTTGGGAGGTGCATAATATTTCTACATGGATATTGCAGACAGATCATCAATAGCAAACTAGCTAGATCGGCTTTGGCACAAAGCAGATAGCTTTAGGATTACTCGTTCAGCTTCCCTCCATATGATTTAGTCAAAGGAGAGATTCAAAAAGCTTGATTAATCAAGTGACGAGTATTGACAGATAGTAATGTATTTTACCCCACTACTCTCAACCCGAAGGCATTTTAAAATTGTTAAATACAGGAGGAACATTATTTTCAAAAGGTCGTTACGGCAAAAAACATATATCAATCTCACATTTGTCAGACGCAGACAATGAAATTGCCTTAAGTGTATGTTATTCTCTGTGTTTCGTTACCTTGTATTCTAAGACTGCACCCTCTTTCTATTACGAAGAGTCCACCATACTTTTCTTATATCTGCAGCTACGAGGATATTGCGTGAAATATAATGATTTCTCACAAAGAGGTATTGTGGGAAGAAATTCCTTTTTGGTCACTATCAGGACTGAAAGGGTAAGTGTCACGATGTCACGTAATCTTACATGTTATTGACAGTTGTCCTTATTTGGTAACCAAACGCAGGCAAAACAAATTGGCGTGTTTGCTATTTTCATTTACAAACGAAACTTAGGGTAAAGTCCTGTCCCTGTCAACTTTTCCTGTAGGTTAAATGCTTGTGATTCCATATTTATATTACCCGAATTTCCAAAGGAAAAACAAAATGCAATGACTCATGTAATTTAAAGAGGGCAATTTTCTCGTCTTTTTAGCGTTGCCGAAGACTCCTTACGATGTCTCGGAGTACCACAAGTGGGTATTCATCCCTTAATTTCAAACAAGACCTCTCACCCAATCGGAAGTCACTCTTTCCATCACAATTTCCTAGTTCAAGGGTTCAAACCAAGGAGGGTTTTGGATGCGTTTGGATGCTCTTCCAGCCTGCATTCATCCACGTGGGGGTAATTTGCAGTATCAGCACCTACCTTCCACATATACCTGTTTCTAGATTACCGTAATTTGTTTTTGCATCGTTGAAATGAAGAATAATTTAACAGCAGCGTGCGACCCTCATACCGCAACCCCTTGTCCCGTAACCTGCGTTTTAGACCCGCCAGTCCAAAATGTAATGTACTTTACAATATTTCCATCCGTTACTTAGAATGACGCATTTTACTGTGCCACATCAAACGAGCATCACGACTCACTATACAACGGCTGAAAATGAAACAATAAGACCAGATTTATTTCCTCCTGAGGAAGTAAATTATACTCTTTCAAAGCCGAATTAATTCTAAAATTTTCGTTTCCGCAAACCATGCACGAAAGCTACCTTGGTTGGCATCGTCACGTAGACCATTTAACTCTTACCGAGCAATTCCGCTTTTTCACTTGAACTCCAAACTTCATTTACCATAATAATACGCGGCAATCATTTTGCGCGATAATTACTTACTTAACAATGCAAATCAGCTTTCATTCTGAAAGCTTTCTGAAAGGTGATAAAAAGAATCACTCTTTAGAGTTGATGGTTCATCAGTTTCGTGTTTCAACCTCATCTTTTGAGAGAAAATGACTGATCTTTATGGCGTTTATTAACTGAAAGGATACAATTTCAGTGGGAGGAAGGATGCAGGTGCAATTTTTTTTCAGAAAAAAGTAAAGATTTGAAAATAATCCAAGATTTTCGATTTGCTTTTCTCGGAATTACGAAATAATGAGTTGTTTGGAAATATTTCGATTTAGAATGACAGGCATAAAAATCGCGTAGCGAAGGCAATACCATGTGAAAAGTCAAGTCTTTATCGCAGAAACATGATTGACACAATGTGGTTGGGATAAGTGACAGTTTTCAATTTCCTTGAAAAACTCGACAGCAGGATGTCATGGAAATCTTCTTAGAGACAGAAACAGCTGCCGAGTATTTCGCCTACGGATAGCCTCTTGCAGAAAAATGGACGACCAAACCTTTTTAAACTTTTGTATGTTTCTAACGTCTTTTCTTTAATTGCTTGTAATGGTTAGTTACCCAACAGTTATCGGAAATTTGGAACTATTTTTGTGACTGAGGAGGGTGTACTGATTGCCTTAATTTAAAAGAGTTCTGAGACGATGGCGGTCATTGCTAAGAGTATGACGGATCAATTTAATGTTATTCTTGATAAAAATTAGAGCCTTCGGTTGAGTGAATTATCTATTATCCTTTTCTAACCCTTGAACCAAAGGAAGGTTGTGATTAACCTGTACGCTCTACCACACTGGTCTACAACAACACATCTCTTCAACCATTCGCTCATATTAAACGTGTAAATATGGATATTTTATCGCGAGGCGAAGAAAAATTTTGGTATTTTATCCTTCCACACGAAGTTTGGGCAATCCGATTCTGAGTCTACCTTTTCGAATCAGCGAAAAATTGATTTCATGCGTTTTACAGCCGGATCTGTTTTACCTCGTCAGGAAAAAATAAGTTTGCCAGCTTTTTTAACCACAGGAAGATGGTCAGAATCGTAAAACTGTTACGAGACGCAAATTGGAAAGGTCAAGGTTGTTTTCGTGCAAATTTTTGTTCAAGGTGATTTTTTCGTAAATAATTAAGAGGGGGCAAGTTTGGTTTAGCGTCGGCCTAGCCGGCTTACAGCCACCTTAGTGTGTTTAGTTTTTGTCATATATTTCCTTCCGAGAAAATCCCTCCCGCACAAACACCCACTACATGCATTTTTGTGCCCTTAAAATTCGTCGATACGGTTAAATCTCTGAATTAAATTTCTGAATTTGTTCTTGAAATTGTCTAAGATATAAAAATTGTTGGACCAAAGGTATAGTTTCCATGTCTCCTGCAATATTTCCTCCGTGGGTTTTTAACATGAATGGTCTCTTGCCCTAACAGCCAATAAAATTTGCATTTTTCTTTTACACTAAAATCTATTGTAAATGCAGTTTTACGCAAAAAAATGGGGGCATGTACGTACGTATGTATGTATGTATGTATGTTTTTCGAGCTTTCCCGTGGTGGGAAAATCTAGAAAATTTTTTATATACCTCAGTGAGGAAGAGAAATATCGACAATTTTTGATACGCCCCAAAATAAGCCATAGTTTTTTTTCCTTGCCAAGGCTTAGAGAGGCGAATATCACAAATACTACCGATCCAAATGGAATTCAATATCAGTGGCAGATGTTTATAGATAAGTCTTTTCATTAACCAAGGCGAAAAAGAGACAGGAATTGAACTAATGCAAATGCAAATGTGAACTTCAAGCTTCAAATGAGAAGTGTTGATTCTACTTTGCGTTTAATTTTTTACGATTATTGTCCGTGAGAAGGATTTAAGTACCATTCTGCGTCGATCTGAGGACTGGTCACTAAAAAAAAAAGAGTATTAATCCCCCCTGGAAGGTGAACGAAGTTCACCGTTTGATTTTAAACGCAACTTCATAAAAACATCTGCTGCCACACGATGCATTGATTCGCTATTGTTTGTGTCACTTGGAGAAAGAAAAATTAGCCACTGGGCTTTGTGGGCGAAAACACGTCGCAAGAGGGTTGCTCCGCGATCAAGGGACTTTAAATGCGCGAATAGACGAAAGAACAACTTTCATCTTGACGGGGAAGAGGAACTGTAACAAGTGCTTGGTTCTTGCCGGATCTAAGTCTGTCATCTCGGTAGTAAGACGTTCATAAAGGTAGAGAAATCATTTTCTCTTTAGTGAATTTTCAGAAAGTCAAGATTCATATATCTGTGGCCAGGTCGGCTTTGTTTTTCCAGCGAGAATTGCTCGGTTATCGCTAACAATATTTCCAGCTCCTCCTTCACCACATTGCTTTTCAACAGCTATAAAACAAGAAAAAAAGGAGTACAAGGATAACCTGCTGAAACATTCTGCTGAGTTATCGTCCAAGCGGTAACATTTATCAAGATAGTAGTTGTGTTACTGTGGAGACATTTTGACCCAGATACAGCAAATCATGTCGAATTTTAATTCCACGCCACCATTAAATCGCACGAGTAACTCTGATAATGACCAAGGAGAATTCCTGGCGCTAAGGATCATTCAAGGGATCGGGATGTGCTTATTTATTCTTACTGGGATTCCCGGGAACTTTTTAGTGTGTTATCTGGTTCGGAGAACGCGACGACTTCGAACAGTCACAAATTTGATTATCAGCAATCTAGCCGTTGCGGACCTGGGGATGTGTCTCTTTAACATCCCCGTTTCCTTGGTAACTGTCATTTATAACCGTTGGGTATTGACTGATTTTGTATGCCAGATCGCAGGTTTCACTAACTCGTTATTCCTCTTCGAAGCTTTGTGGTCTCTTGCCTTGGTTAGCATTAGTAGATACTGGTGTATCGTGCAGCCTGGTAAATTCTCCGCCATTTTTACACGTCGCCGAACCTTGGCTATGATCACGGCAACGTGGATCCTGTCGCTTCTCTGTGCCCTGCCACCCTTATTTGATTGGTCTAAATATGTCTTTACAGTCGGTAAATCAACGTGCTATTTCAACCTAAATGAGCACTTCCCGTACACAATTATTTTAGCCATTGTAGTGTTTATTTTGCCTTATATTTTGATTACAGTTCCTTACTACCGGATCTTTCGTTTTATCCGTGGTCACAGCCGAAGAATGAGCATCAACAGTATATCTGCAAGTTTCAGAAAGGCAACCCGTTCTACCTTTCAAGACTTCAAAGTAACAAAATTATTGCTTGTGGTTGTCTGTGTCTTCGTAGCCTGTTGGACCCCACACATTATTGTTAATCTCATGAACGGTTTTGGCATCATTCAATCGATTCCACGAATTTTGAACGCCATGAGCACGTTTTTAACTTTCCTTTCCAGTTCTTGCAACCCGTTTATCTATGGTCTCATGAACAATAAGTTTCGCAAGGGTTTTCGTGCAGTTCTCTGCGCACCTTGCCAAAAATTCGCTAAGCAAAAGGCACCAATGCTAGAAAGGAAAATAAGCGGCGAAACCACCAGGAACTTAAGTTCACGATCAAGAAGTAGTCACAGAAGAGAATGGAGAGTTGTAACAGAGACAAGGAACACAGTTTACGAGTCATGTGTATAATCATAGCTTATTTAAGAACCTTGTTCTTTATTACTCTTAAATTGCTTTCCTTCATGGAAATAGTTTCGTATTAACTGTTCAACTGAAAATGAATTTTCGAAATCGGGTTCATACAAGCAGGTTTCCTTAAACATTGTCAATCAATGAATCACTAATTCTTTTTGACGCAACATCCTTGCTGAAGTTTTGGACTTGCACGTACGGTCAAAGGCTATTTGAACTTGTTTTTTCTCTAAATTGAACAATAATAAAGGACACTGAACAAGCGGGATAAAGAGAAATCGACCCGGCTCACATAGGCGGTTAATTTGATTTGTTCTTGTAAAAAGAGCTCGATTCAGAGAATCTTTAAACAAGGAGGAATAAGAGGGAAGGTGTTCCAGTAGCACCTACGTTACCTCCGTTTCAAGGAAAATTAATAAACCATGGTTAATAATTACCGGTGGTTAAAAAACTGTTATCATACTCTCAACCAACCAGATCCAAAAATAAAGCCAACTCGACCTACAGGTCACCCGCCTTTTCCTGTGCTTCAGGAACTTAGCATGGTTTAATTTCGATATTTACGCTTGTTCTGATTAACAACAGTCAATCGAAATGCTCTTCATTTTCGAGTTTTCCACGAATGTTGGATCTACCATACTGATTCGACTTAGCGCCCACGTTCCAGTAAGCGCGTCCTCGAGTTTGGTCTCTGTTGAAAAGCACCCCTATTCTAAAAAAAGCCCCTATTGAGTAAGCACTCTCTTTTCAATAAGGGCCCCTATTCTGTTTCAGTGCTAGCAATACTAGTGAACATCTCCTTGGATATCAATCGAAGTTCATCTTACCTTTACTATCTCACTCAAAGCATCATCTCGGAAACAATGGTCTACATCTCAGTCTCTCAACCATTAGGTCCGAGTGCATGGTTCCTTCGAACGATTGATCTCGTCTTCAAAATTTCGAGACGATTGCTCAGCAGTCCGTTCTAGCCAGGAGGGACCCAGGAACACAAGTCCGCTTCCCAGTCTTTTCTATTCTTTTTAAATACACATCAAAGCTTTAATTCGCACTTTCTGCAGTTCCTTAAAAGAGGAAATGAGCGCCCTGTCCCTAACGAGCACCCTGTTTCGAATAAGCGCCTTTCTTGAGGTACCAAAAGTAAATAAGCGCCTCTGTCACTACATCGAATCATCACGGTAACTGTCTAAAGGCAAAGTTCGTTTAATTCTTAACTCTCTAAGCAAGACAGTGACAACCTGAGATTTAAAGCTTTTGTCTTTCTTCATTTTACACTTTATACAATATTCATTCGTAGTCTTCAGCGCACTACCGTAAAGCTTTACAATAGTTTAGAGCGGCTGGAGATTAATGGAAGTTAGTCATTTTTTCGAAACGAAACCAACCCACATTCCAATACTCTAATTCTCACTGCACCAGTGTAAAGCTGTGAAAAAGATTGACTAGTGGTTGTTTTTCATTCTCATCTTTCGCTCGATGGTCAAACACCACTCTATTTTTATGAAGTTGACTTGGGTCACACGATATAAAAAGAGTTAAAGCATATCAGTATCTTTCAGTCAATTGAAAGATTCGTGTCTGGCATTTGAATGGGAATTAAATAAACTATAACACTACACTATTTTTAATAAAGTCACAGCTGGTGTTCCGGCCACCAAACCAATAGTTATTACAAAAAAAGGGAGAAAAAAAGTGTCTCCTATTAATTGATACGCACTGGCATGACTATCACGGACACAGCATAACTATTCCACTAAGAGCAAAAACGCAAGACGTCTTTCTCAGGAATTAAAGCAATGATAACGACAAGATGATTCCTACTTCAGGACCACAATGATGTTAGCCTCTTATGTAAAGACATGTTGATTACGGTGAATTTTCAAGTCATTTTGGGGCACGCGTGAAATGTTTCGTTGAATGACGTACAGTGGAGAGTTCCATCATTCCAGGATCCCTTTCCTGTTGCCTGGTTCCACTGGCGCGTCTCAGTCCAGTCCCAGAGGACGTTGGGGTCATCACAGGGGTCGAGCGAACGTGGGCGCCGGACATCCGCGACATGTCACCCCGAGGGAGATCCCCGCCTTGGACATCAGCTGGGGCCCCGCGATGAAGGCGAGTGATCCGTCTTTCTCTTTCAGCTCGTGAAATTGGTCTCTGTGCACCTTTTTGGGGCAGAGAACAAAGTAATCATGATCAAGAGAGGTGTTATACAACTACAAGAGTTTACTTAGAAAACGAAAACGGTAACAGAGCGCGTGCGTAAAAATCTGAAACCTACCAACTGGAGAGGGAGTAGCACCACTCATTGGATCTCGGAGCCGACCAGATGCTCCACCAGCAACAGCACGGGTAGTGGAGCTTCGATGGTTCCGTTCTGGTTCCCTGGGTTCACGTTCCCTCTCTAGTGCCTTTTCTCCTCCTCTCATTACTGGTCTTTCAGCGCCACCATCTGGCTCCCGACCACTTCCCTAAGGCAGAATACAGAACTGACTATTTAAAGCTCTCCAAAACGATGCAATAAAAAGAGTTCAAGTTTCCTTCACATGCAAATAGCTGAACTTTATTAATTTTGACAGTGTAGTCGATAAAAGCGTAATAATGATAGCCTACTTCAGCCAGTATTTAAATTTTGGTTTCTCTTGCTTAAGGTAAGACTCCATTTCCACTGCTCTATAGAGTGCAGTCATTGGTTGCAACCATTGCTCTATTGATTCCAATCAGCTGTGCAACAAAACACTTCACCCAGAACTTATAATCATACATGATGATGGAGGCCAAATCCACCACAAGATTACCGCCCAGATTGTTCAGTCTCTTGGGAAACCCGATTAGAGAAACACAAACTTCACCTGAAGAAGCAACAACTAAGGACCTAACCCCCTTCACACGAATTTAATGGCAGAAGAGTCAAGAATCCAGTGATATTTGACTTATTATGAAGTTTTGATACAGTTGGACAGGCGACGAGCACGGAGCAATGGCAAGCATTGTTAATTGTATAAGTCTGTTCCTTTTATTCATTTCCGCTCCTTTTTTTTTGGTTTGTTTTGTTGCTGATATTATCAAGGGAGAGGGTAGGATGTTGTTTAGTTAAAAGAAACAACAAGTTTTTAAACTAATTACTCACAAACTTGAGAAGATTCCAGTCAAATATGTAGTCATAAACATATCCTTGACAGTGAAAAAGGTTGCGGAAAAGTTGGCGTAGGTAAGAGTAGTCTGGCTTGTCATCAAAGCGTAGTGACCGACAGTTGTTGAGGTAAGTGGAAAATTCAGCTGCAGAATCAAAAATTGTTCAAATAATATTTTAGAGGTCTTAAATTAGTAGATTTTAACAGTTTCCCATTCACCAAACAAACCCTTAGGAAATTAAAAGAAAAACATAACAAAAGGGGGTCACTACACTCAAGTCCCATTTCTTATATTATTTTTTTATCACACATCTGCGACAATCTCATCAAGGTTAATCTTTGCAGATATTGTTTAAAATGGGGATACTTTGTACACCCTCATCCATACAAACATCTAACCAACTTCAGACTATTAACTTTCCCAGTAATAATAAGAGTGTAGAGGTTTTTTTAAATATTAGTTTTCAGTAAAACTGATAATGAAAATTTAAGGATAAAAAGCAATGCTATTAGAATATGATGTTTGGCAACAACATGTCACCATTATCAAATGCAGATGAGAAAAGATCACTGATGATACACAGAGAACAAAGGTGTGAAACATAACTGTAAATGTGGAGAACAAAGGAAGTTTTTGTCATTATGATTAGTTCCATATATCAAACAAATCATTTTGGTTTCCAGATAAAGGAAGGATCCACTAATGTAAAATTGTGATCGTTCATAAAAATCATGAGAAATCATTACAGTCAAATGACTGCAATAATTACTTTACTTCTTTCACAGTGACAACTTTAAGTCTAACATGAGAACAAACATAATTATCTATAAAAAAAATAATAGCCTTCCTTCTTCTTAAACTGAGCAACATGTCATGAAGACATCATTACTGTACTTCTTTGTAAAAATAATAACAACACTTACATGGAAATCCTTTACAGAGGATTTCAATGGGCGTAGACATTTTCTTTTCACTGATCCGTTCATATTTTTGTTTCTTGGTGGCAGCTTTAAGGCCTTGCCATGGAAGGCTACCCAGGTTGAAGTACATCAGTACATAACCAAGTGATTCTAAATCATCTCTTCTGCTTTGTTCTACAGTTGGAAAAATATATATTAAAGAGATGTGTTGTGCTGAGTTTTGTAAGACTCGTGGCCAACCATACCAGAACATACACCCATTTCCTTAGCACTTACAGTGACTAAGCGTATTTCTATTCCAGGCAAACAGGATGCCTGTAACCCAAGCAATTTTCATAGATCCCTCATGGTTCCCTGAAACTTCAGCTTATCTCTTGGTTAGAGTGAGAGAGAGAGACTTTCACCTTGCAGAATTAAACAGACAATGCAACCCTTTACAGAGTAATTCAAATTATTCAAAGCTGAGGAAGTAGCCTTAATTTCTTTAATCACTGGCCAAAAAGCAACAACTTTATCTGATGACAAGTCTGTTCAGAATGTGAAATGCTGATTCCAACCTACCAATTCCCAAGTGAGTGTTGATACTGGCATATCTGGCTGTTCCAGTGAGGTTTTTATTTTCTCTGTATGGTATATGCTGATGTGTTCTTGGGTCTCTGTACTTCTTGGCTAGTCCAAAATCAATGATGTACACAAGACTCCCCTTCTTTCCAAGTCCCATCAAAAAGTTGTCTGGCTTGATATCCCGGTGGATGAAATTTTTACAATGAACATACTCTATTCTGCTGATCTAAAAACAAACAGAATTGATCAAATAAATTAATTTTCTTACTCTATCAGTGGAAATTAAACATGTAGCACCCTGGAAATTCTGCACCCCATAGAATCAACCTGTCAATGTACAAAAAACAGTAGGAAGTCTAGGTAAAACCAACAAGAGAAGAATCTATAACATAAACTGATTTTTTAATAACAAAAGTTAAGAGAGAAAAAAAAGAAATAAGGAAAGAAAGATGTCCAATAAACAAAGTAAAGGATATAAGTCCATAGCTAAGGATAATTCAAACCTCCAACCTTCCGATTTGGTGGTTGAATATTCAAAACTTTCATTACTTTACAAGAACCATATTAATGAACACGTGTACACAAAACATCACACAAAATTGAAGCTTAACAATGTACACTGTCTGGCAAAAAAACTGCAAAACTTGAGTAGCACTACTTACCATCTGATCAGCTAAGAGAAGCACTGTTTTTATACTAAACTTCCTGTTGCAAAAATTGAAAAGATCCTCCAGACTGGGCCCCAGTAGCTCCATCACTAACACATTGTAATCACCTTCTGTCCCACACCACTTGATAGTAGGTATGCCAACTGTCAACAATACCAAAATAATTCAGCTCTACATGTGTATTACATTTATGTTACCTGCATTGTAGTATTTTGTTGCAAACCTTACATTCTGCCAACCCTGAATTATTAATAAAAGTTTGCAATATATCTCTCAGAAGTTACAGCGATTTACATTTAAACAATAGGATTCCTTTATAACATTTGTTTTGCTTGACAGTAAACCCTTCATATGGTAATGAGAAAAATAACACGCATGCATGAACATGTAGAATAAAATTTCTTCATTATCATGAATAAATGATAAAGTTCTATGGATTCCTTAGCACCAGAAAAGTAGCACAATCACTACCCACATCCACATGTATTTCATAGCAAGAATTAGCATAGACAACTGTCATATGTTTATGAGCACAACATAATTATAACCAGACAGAGTGTTATCCAAACATATCACTCAGAATGCTATGCCAATAGCAGCACACATCAATGGTTCTTTATAGCAACAGATCTTTGAGGTTTTTTGACATAATGTCTGTTGCAGTTTTTTGCTTGAAGATACAGCCAACCAGAAGTAGAACCCAAATTTATTTTTTACAGTACCCCATTTGATCCATGGTGTTTACTAAATATTGTCAGAGCTGTAGATAAGATTCTCATGTGTAGCTGTGTACACCAATGTACACTACATACATATTTTCTAGACTTAATTCCAGAGTTACTCCTCAAATTTCTGAGAAAACACTGCAAAAATTCACGATACCTTGGATGTCTTAAAATAAAAAACATTGGCATGCTACCCATGCAAGAGTTATTTTTTTCCAGCTGGGTGGGTTGAAGTATGACACTTTGTTTAACTGATGTTTTCATTTTCGTAAAAGAAAAAGAGCACAACTTTCAGAAGAGCGAGAAGAGCATTACTTTAGCTTAAGAGAAAGAAAGAAAAACCTTCCAATTTATCTGCAATAAACTCACGCAAAGGTATTTTGTGGTCTGTCGTCTCTGTTGTCTGAGTACTTCTAAGCAAGAATAGACTGCATCATTAGTCTCCTTCAAAGCTGTTATTTGGTCTTGTTACACAATGCGCTCTCTCCCCATTGGAGAGAGAGCACGATGCATGACCAAACAACAGATGCAAAGGAGACTACACTTACTGCCGTTCCTCCAACAGAAATAAAATCAAAATTGCCTAATGCTCATGCAGTGTAATGATTGGGTATATTCTGTTTGGATTTTAGGTATTGTTGTCATAGTACCTGATGGGATGTAAGTTTTTTGTCTGATGCATTGTGAGTAAAGGAGCCATAAAAAACCAATGTTTTAACTTAAAAATGATACAAAAAAATTACCTGCCACCCTTTCTAATCCCAACATATCTTTAACTAAAACAATTGGGCACTCAGAAAGACTGCCGACCATTACAATTACAAAATGGGCCCACAATTTCAGGTTAATGTCATTCTTGACTCCATGACATCAATGGAAAGAAAACAATACCCCAACACTGTACTTGGAGCGAGATATCCCAATGTTGTCGTATGATTGGTGCGATATAAATATCCTGATGTGCCAATGTGATTGGTGCAAAAGCAGCATAGATGAGTGTAATTAAGCTTATGGATTAATATTTTGGTTTCATGTAAACATTATAACTTTGTCATGTTTTTTTTTTTTTTTTTTTTTTTTTTTTTTTTTTTTAAACTGATTAGAAAAATGGATGCCATAACAACCCTAACAACACGAATTACAAGTTCTTCGCTATAAGAAGATTTATCATAAATTTGACCACAAGAATGTTGCATCCCACAGTGAGTGAGCTAAATACCTGGTGATGCGTGGAACCCTACTAATCATTTCAGCCTAAGAGTAGGTTTTGTTAAACTTAAGGACTCTCGAAACTAAACGAACTTGATCAGGTTCTCATACTCTCCACAGCAGCTTTTTACAGTTCAGCTTTCGTCTATCTATACCATCGTTAGTTTTTGCAGTAAATATCATTTCGATCTCCTTAGTAATCCTGTGAAGAGAATACGGAAAGGTGTTCGGAGCCATAGTCCAACTTATCAATCGTTGAAAATGGAAAAAAACAAACCTCCTCCTTGCATCATCTTGTAAAACTTCGCTTCTATGTGCAGTTGCGGATGTTTGGTTTTGACACATTCCAACTTTATAGCAACCTCTTCCACAGTTGAAATATTCGTCCCTTAAAAAACCAACACATTCATGTTTAACCTTGGTTTACTTACATAAACAATAAATTATAAAAATTTGCTATCGAACGTCGATAATCAACAAATTATTGTCGAGACCACTCAGATCCTGAGATTTTATTAAGCTAAAATAGTAAGCTAGTAAACAGGAAACTTTACGCATAAAGCCCCCAATGTAGAGGAAAATACCCAAAAAAACGATTACAGCTTTGAGAAAGAAAATATTTACCGAGGTATATGTCTCCAAATGATCCACTACCAATCTTCCTCCCAAGGCGATACTTGTTCCCAACACGCAACTCCATTCTTCCACCCGAAAGTAAAATTATATCAAATCAAAATGGAGTCCTTTCGGCAGTCATGTAAGATTGAGACAGCAAGCGAATCCTCACCAACCAGAATCTATCAGTGGACGCAATTGCAGTTAGGACTCGCCAAAATCAAGGTTAAGATATTTTTCTATCTTAAAGCTTAATCACTAGGATATGAAAACACATTTTAAACGAGAGATGGACCAGAATTTAGAGGATTTTGAAAGATCCAATCTCTGGTTTCTACGGATCCGTTCTGCGAGAACAGTTTATTTTGATAAATTTGCATACGACGACATGAATAATAAATCTTCCGGACGTGTCCTAATTTGGCACACTGTCGCAAAGCGAGACAAGTCGTAGGTACTCGGAAGTTTCGTCAAATCCCGAACATCACGAACTTCGGAAACGGGTGCTGGGAGAGTGCTGGGAGTATTTTCCGCGTTTGCGCGCGTTGCCAAATGGTCGGAAATTCTTGATGCGCGATTTTTTTCCCTTCGGCTGTTCGCATGTAGTTATATTACTAGCTATTCACTCCCGAACTAGCCAATCAGCACGCACAAAAGGTACTTTTCACCTGTGTTGTATATGCACTATCCACAGCAAAATACTCTTGTAAAAATATAAAAAATAGAAAACTTTTTTAATATTTTGAACAAAAAATGAGGGAAATTCAAGGTTTGAATGCATTTGCATTGAAGAAATGATTGAGGCTGTATATTCGTGACTCTTAGGTGAAATGGCAAAGAAGCAGCCAACTGAGTCGCCAGACGCTTTTTCGAAGCAACAAATGGCAGTCTGCGGCCTTTCCTTTCATCCACGAACTTCGGAAGGACGGAAAACTCTTAAACAGAAACCTACCTTTCAAATCGGCACTCTTAATCCCAACGTTATCAACGAACGCTCTCCATTCAACTGATTTACTCTGGTGATTTTCACCTTACCATGTTCCCACCAATAGCGTAGCTCCATCTTTCTGTATGTAAAGTGCACTCAAACCACAATTCCGCTCTTCGCCCTAACGAATCGTCGATATATTTGTTCGATTTTGGATTACATTCGTCCATTTCAGCTATGTTCGGATCGTGTGGAGAAACTGAGTCGAAACTTCCAAAGAACAAATTAACACGAGCAAGGCAAGAGGCAGTAATTCAAGATGAAACATTTCCTGATTTCACATTTAGCGCTTGGCTTCTCTGGTAAGGACTCGAATCGACCGATTTCATTGAATGAAATTCATAACTCAGAACAAACACAGGAATGTTTCTGTAAACGAGCATTGAAACAGCATTTAGAGAGAGGCAGAAAATTATTTGACACCAACATCATTTTTGGTCGGATGTATACCACTGGCTAGGAACCACACGTTTACCTGACCTAAGGGTGGTGGTGGGGGGGGGGGGGACGTTTACAGATTGGGTTTCTCGGAACGACTGCCGGTCGACCGAGAAACCCCTGGGGGATGAGGTCGACTACTTGTGTGGGAGGAGTGTGGGGACCGTTTTGCTGTTTGATGTCTCAGTGAAAGGCAAGAGCCAAGTCAGGAGAGAAAAATAAAACCAATAGAGCTTAAATGAATTCTTTCATGTAGATCAAGTTAATTAAAATTTATTTCTTTAACTTATCGATGTTGTGGAAAAACAGCCATTGAAAAGGAAAAAACGCCGACATAAATTAGCTCAAAATGTATTCCGTGTCACCTCTATGAATATTATTTTTGGCCATAACTTATTTTCAAATAAGCTTCCAAGTTTCTAACTTTTTTTCAATATGTTTCCGATTTTAGTACAGTCCTATTTATTCCATCAAGATGAAGTAATAATGTCGAAATTATGCTATCCACAACAGACAGGCCTTTAGGGGTAGCTTTGACGCCTCTGAAAAAGGAAAAATACGTTATATCAACACACATCCTTCCTTGCCTTTAAAAAACCGAAACTCAAACGGGCCACAAAAAAGGATGAAAATTATTGGGAGCCAATGAGAACAAAAAATACCTGAAAATGCCCCTAAGCGCGGGAAAACGCGGTGACCAAGTCGCCATTCGCTTTTTTTGAATCTGATTGGTTGGGAGGCTGGGATACGTTTTCTGAACCAATCATAGAACGAAGTAAAGCAAAACCAACGTGCTCTGGGATAACTTTAGACAACATTTGAAACTTTATCTATTTTAAGTTTACATACCTTTTTGTTAAGGACAGGAGGCCATGTTGAATGAGATCTTTGACGTCCTGATTATCTTTGAATGCATCATATAAAGACAAACCAAACGGGGAGAAGATTTTCCAATTCTGCACCATGAACCGAAAAAAAGAGATTAATTCAGTACAAAGCGTCGTTTAGTTCGAAACAATTCTAAACTCAAATCAACAAGAAGAAAGACAATTCTATGGAAGATCTCAGAGGTTGACGATGGTGTACACCTGCAGGCTCTCATTCACAAAGTTTTAGAGTACAAGTAACCTTACATACATCCATAAGTGAGAGAACCACAATTGGTAGGGAAGTTAACCCTCTAACTCCCAGAAGTGATTAACATGTAACTTCTCCCTATAATATCCATACATTATCTAGCAAACAGGTAATGAGAATACTCAAACTTATCAGGTACAAGATATTATCTTGATTGAACACCAAATTCTTGTAACCAATTTACAAGGAAATGTGTAGCAGCTAATGGGGAGAATTAACAATCAGATCTTGGGAGTTAAAGGGTTAAGTAAGCCTTGTACTCCAGTCATATCCCTTACAGCCAGAGCTTGAAATACTTTAATTTCCTGACTTTAGTCAGACATTTGGGTTTCTGTGCAAAATTCAGCATCTACAGACATTTGCCACCTGTATTAAACTCCTTTGATTTACAAGTACTTTCAGTGATTTAGATCTATTGTGGTTTGTTATTATTATTATTATTATTATTATTATTATTATTATTTTTATTATTATTATAACAACTTATACCTCAGAACTTAGACCATCAGCAGTCCTTAAACTCATCATAAGAATTTCTTCTAATCTGAGATCAAAGAAAATACTTCCATTACTGCACCATATTAAAACGAACTTTGAGTAAGTGCTGAACAGCTTGTCACAGGTATTTCTGGAGAGCCATACCCCTTGAAGTCAAACCCAGGATTTAGCAGCACTTCACATGGTTTTCTTTTAACCTCTGCTACAACATAAATTTGGAGTAAGCCTTCCACTGAGGGCATTGTATGAGTCATGTGTCTTTCTCAGAAATGTAGCAAAAATTACCTATATCAGGGCTTGAATTTAACAGAGCTCTTGTTACAGAGTCAAGCTCACTAACCATTACCCCACCGCCTTGACCCACTGGCAAAATAATACATTTTCCAGAACAAATGTTTAGTACTTACATTTCAAATTTTGTTTGTGTTACTTGTTTTCTAGTTCCATGCCCTCTTGTTTCAACCTTAAAACCGACATACAGGTGTTGAAGTACCAACAAAAAAAAACAAACAAAAAAAAACTTTTAAGAACTTAGAAAGAAAGTTAATACCTCTTTCATCCACTGGTTTGGTTCTAATGTCTGCACTCTTGCCTGCCTCAATCCATTGCCATTTCCAGAAGGAATAAATCTACAAAAGGAAAGAAAAAGGAACACCACTTGGGGTTCATGACTTCTGTTTCTGTTGTTTTTCTTAAGTAACACACATTGTTTTTAGTATTATTTTTCATCAGTTAAATAAAGAAAATATTATGAATAGTATTGTTTTCTATTGCAATCTTTACAAAAACTACACTACTCCATAACTGATTAGTTGAAGTGCCTGTATACACCTGCCATGAGCACCAGGTCCCACTCCAATATACTGTGATCCATTCCAATATGAGAGGTTATGTCTGCTTTCTGCATCCTAGAACAACAAATGATAATTACTGCATGCACTTTACCTTCTTCAATAATCCAAATGAACATTGAAATTTCATTCAGAAAAAAAAACAGTTTGATTATTTACAATTACTTAACTGGATGATCTAACAATCATTCAACTTACTGATTTTGCAAAGTTGGCAACCTCATATCTGTGGAACCCATTTGCAGTCAAGGTCTGATAATGATGATGGTAATGATGACAACAACCAAGAAAAAAATATATATATATTTAAAATGACTACACATGGTACCTACCATTGGTCTAAATTCAGCACAACATTAGGTTTTAAAAAAGTTATGAAGTATAATTAGTGCTTATGGTGTGAGAGAACATTCATTAACAGAATACTCTTGCAAAATTAAACATGTATTTACTTCAAAAAAACAAAACATGAGGTTAACTAATTGCAATTTTTTCCTTACCTCCACTGCCAACTGGTACATTTCAGCAACCAAATCAGAGTCAGGAAGAGACTAAAAAAAACGAACAGTAGCCAGTAATTATAATAACTCACAATAAGATTCAAGTCAGACAAATTTAATAAAATACATTAATTTTGTATTGAATGCTAACAATCTTACTTGTTTTCCAGAGATGACATTTTTATAGAGTGGTGTGCCTCTTTCCAGCGTCAGCTGATACAATGATATATGGTCATCACACACAGATAATGCCTGGTAAATGGTCAAGGGCAAGCAAGGGTTATGATGACAATGATGTGATAAAACTGTGCATCCAGCGGGAGCTTAATTGAGGGAGGGGCTTATTATTCTCCTGTACTGATTCTGCTTCAGTTCAACCTTAAAAAGTTATAAATGAAGTGGTAATTATAGAAAAAGGTTTTCTTTGTGTCCCTATCATTACAAGAGGCAAGGGAGGAGGGGGTGCTTTCTCACATGGAGCAATTGTTTGCCATTATTGCCCAAGGGGTAGGTGCTCATTCAGGAAAGTACAGTATTCACAAAGTAACTGTAATATCATCCTAAATATTAAGATGTTTTGTAAAAATATGTGTGGTTTTGAATAAAATTATAAGGAATCCAAACTTGTTACTTGTTAACTGAGCTGAGAACAGATGAACCAGTTTCTCATAACAAACTTTTTATTCCTTTTACTTCCCTTCAACCTGGAACCACATCAGGGAGCTAGTTTCCTTGTTCTAGCAAACAAAAGATATGATAATGCATACATGTGTCCCAGTTGTTGTCATCTTATCTCCAGTCCCCCATCATGGATTCTCTTAATTATTTTCTTTGCCAAGCAGTTAGATTCCAATTAAATTTGCAGGCAATTGTTCATACTACATCCTTAAAATCATGGGTTCTATTTTCATCCCTAGATTCTAGACTTAAGCACTTGCATAACACTAGTTTATTACTGACAGCACTATAACTAATAATTTAAAAAACTTAGACCACATGTCCTGTTTACTTTTAACAACTCCTTGTACCAATCCTCCAGTGTTTGTTGTGGACGTCCAAACATCAAATCAATCGATACTCTTCCTGGAAAAATGGACCTTGCAGCCTGTATTGCTCTAGAAAATCAAACATTTATTTGCAGAGTTCATGCACCAGCCCCTGATTATAAACTGTTAATTTGTATCATTCATTGACATTTTGGCAAAAAATTTTCAAGTTCTTCCCTTTTCCATTGATTAAGTTAGGTATATATAGTAATTAACATCACTATTGTATGCCAACTACCACTTACAATCTTATGTTAAAAAAACTTTTCAAGAGGAAAACGAGGATAATTAGTTTATCAGCTACAGTAACTAGATAACAAGGAAAAATATCAAAGCAGCTACAAGAAATTTGAAGTAACGTTTAGAACTGGGAATGCTCAGGATTCATAATCAATGGTTTATTTGCATTGTAGTGTTTCTGATCATTTCATTTTATTTTACCTTACCTCAATGAATCTCTAATGGTATTGTCTCTTCCTAAAAGAAGCAAATCTCTTGCACTGAAGGCCTAGCAAAAAGGAAACATGACAGGCTTGCAGAAAAATACAGCTAACAATTCACTCTTTCTAAAGAAAAAAAATAAACTTTAAAAATTCAGGAAGAACTTATAACTTCAGTTATCAATACCTGGATTCCAAGGGAGAGACGATTAATTCCAGCAGCATGGAAATGACTAAAATCATAGAGCAAGAGATTAACCCTTAAGTTAAGTTAACTACCATTCTGTACTTGAATTATTGATAATATTTACTTTTTTAAGAGCACTTTACTACCTGAGTTTTTACACAGACTTAAGAAAGGAAACACTGGACCAATATTTAGCATGCAAGACTACTTCCCACAAGTAGTCTTAATGTTATGTTCTTATCATGCAAAACATGATGTTTTCAAGGTGCTTCTCCACATGGAAGTTAGAGTGTAAATGTTAGGGTATTGGCAAACTGTCTGTGAGGCATGTACCTGATAAAATCAGGAGGGAGAAAAGAAATTTTAAACTAGGATACAAAAACCACAGTAAAAAAATGATTATTTGATGCATTTTCTGCCCATTTCACCTGAGTTTTTCAGTTTCAGCTGAAGTGGGGTTAGCTTCAAGTGTCACCTCTGCCTCAGAAGGCATATAACAAATGGTTGAAACAGCTTCAAGTACTGAAGAAATTGTTGAAGGTTCTGCCAAACTTGGTGTTCCTAAAATGAAAAGCCCCAAAGGAAGACACAAAATATTCAAACAGACAACAAAAAAAAAAACAAAAGAACCTAGCAGCTTAAAGCTCGAAAAGTGAAAAATAGCCAAGAACGCTGTCATGAAAACCAATTCTTCGGGCATTATTTGGAGATTTATTCATTTATTACACTGTGGGTGGTCAGTTTTGGGTGTCTTCGAGTATCTTGCTTGAATGCTTCAAAAATGTACTTTTTATGTAGTAATTGATTGATGCTGTAGTTGCTCCCTATAAATATATATAACTTTATAGAACTATAAAGTTACATGTATTAATGGATTCTGTAGTGAAGTAATGAAAACTTTACCTCCTCCAAAGTAAACTGAGCTAATCTTTTTCACACCAGACAACTTCAATAAGGTTTCTGTTTCAGTCACAAGGCATTTTCTCATGCGATCGTGGTCCACATTCTTACTGAAAGAGAAGGCACACAGAAGAAAAAAGAAAACTTTGTCACTCTTGGGCCATAGGATTAGACTACACAATCAAACTGATATCCATACATTGTAGAGAAGTCAAGTAAGGAGTACTCTACAAGCATATCGTCTTTCCTGGGTTAATCAACTGATGAACAAAAATAAATCAGACTGGGAGAGGGAAAGAGACACAACTAACAAAAGAGTACATGGAACTCAATGTAATATCTATCATTCAAAGAAAGATATCACATAAAAATTATTCCATGAGAAACACAGAAATTCCAAACAAAAGCTGATATACTACTGTGAATATATGAAAGTCATCTATTTGAACTGCTGATAAAGACGTGAGTATGAAGGTAATCTTCACAGTGTAATAAACACTACATGAGCAGTAGTGAAAATAAGGCCTGAAAAAAAATTTTCAGGCCTGTATGGGATTTTAACCCATCACCACTGTGATGCACTATGGAACACTGCAGCAGTATTACAGAGGTCATGGGTTCAAATCCCATACAGGCCTGAATTTTTTTCAGGCCTTATTTTCACTACTGCTCAAGTAGTGTTTATAACCACAAAGATCACTTTCATATTCACAAAAGTTGATATGTTGAGGAAATTGGAAATCCATAGAGACATTTCTTCACTACCATCCAGTCTACACAGTATGGTAGAGCTCGAGTGGATCTAAAGCTTTTTAGCAGCATGCAATACAACCAAACTTTCAGAATCCATATGGGCATAATCAAAATGCTGTAGTTGCAGGTATGTGTGCTGCAGTGATACTGGCAAGTAAAATGAACGTTTAAATAAAGAATTGGTGTGCACACTTGGGTATCATCAACACTAAATGTAACATCATATCAAAAAATAAGACAATTTTACCATGCCTAACAGGTAATAAATAAAAATTTTGATTTTTTTTACATGTACACCTGACTTACCTGATGTATTTGTTGAAGTTGCAAAATGAACAAATCTGCTTGCAGTAGGGCCACTGAAATAATAACATGGAATATATTTTTTAAAAGAACTACGTATATGTAATTTAATAATATGCATCATATTTAAACTAAGTTCAAGGTTTTGTTGGGTAATTTACCCTCTTTCATAACTAGAGCCTAGTAACTTACACCTACAATCAGTAACCTACTGGAGACTATATTCATTAACTGAATTGACGTGAGAAGGACAAGAATTCATAAAAGCAATACTTACATGCAAATACAAAGTAGCTTCATCTTTCACAGGCAAATGTAAAGGATAAGTGCAAGTTCTATAAGCATCGCCTTTCTTTGAATGAAATAAGATTCTCGAAATGTGACGAGGTAGATGCCTTTTTTCGCACGTTTCTGAAAATGGCAACGGTAAGATCCGCTTGAAAAGTGTTTCAACTCTCATGAATTCCAACTTTAAGCATCCTCCACAGAAATGAACGGAATTTTTGTTTCGGATTTGGAGCCAAAGTCATTTTCATAGATCAACTAGTGCAAAAGTGTGATTTTACCGCCATGTTTGAATCTACAAACGTTTCAGACAGCGGATTTCGTTACAGCAGTTTATTGATCATATACGAGTCCTGAAGTAGTTTGTTATTGAGCCGTCTGTATTTCTTTCAGCGTTCAAATTTCCAACATGGCGGACGCAAAACTTTGTGCAGAGGTTTTCGAGATTTTTGACTCCGGAGAGCAGAAAGGACGCGGATTAAGAGCCTCAAAATCGTTAACACCCGGAGATAAAGTACTGGAATCTACTCCTTTAGTCTACGTTTTATGTAACAGTGTGCGAGGTCTGTGCTGCGACTTTTGTTTTGCTAAAAGCGAAGACCTTCAGCGTTGTTCTAAGTGTAAATTTGCACGTTATTGTAACCGTGAATGCCAGAAGAGCGCTTGGAAGGATCATAAAACCGAATGCGAACTCACTTTGAATATTTCACCGAATATCCCAACCGATCTTGTACGACTCATAGCGAGAATCACACAACAGGAACAATCTGCTAAACCTTCTGTTTCTTCTGTCAGATCTGTTTACTCGAGTCTCGTCTTTCATTCTGACAAGTTTGATGACCAAAGAAAAGAGGCCTTTTCAGCTATATTGGTAGCTCTTAAACTCTTTTTAGGCGAGGGCGATTTTCATAAATACTCAGATGACCACCTATTTGCCCTTTTTGGTAAAATATCCTGCAACAGTTTTACTATTTGTGATGCTGAACTGCAGCCCTTGGGTATGAAAGACTCTATGTTCATTATAAAAATCAAAGTAAGGAATGTCAGTCTGCTGTACAATTAGTCAGTCAGTCAGCCAGTAGTTCAGTCAATCTGTTGGTCTGCTTGTTTGTCCATTAGTCAGTCAGTCCATCAGTTAGTCAGTCCATCCAGCTGACAGTTCATGTAACCATCCATCTGTCCATCCATGTGACCATCTGTAAATTTTCCTTTCAAGCTAGAATTGAATCTTGATTCATGGGTTGATACACAGGCATACCATAGACACCAAACGGGTATAGCATCTGTTTTCTGTTTTTCTTTTTCCTATTCCTTGGGGCATCCTCATATCAATGTGGTCAACTGAGATCATTACATTAAGAAATTGCCTAAGTATTGTGAGATAATCTTGGAAACAAGCACATGGAAATTAATTCAGCTGAAAAGAAAGGGAAAACTAGCTATGAGTTTAGCTTTGAATCAAAACTATGTAACATGGTCAAAAAATAAGTTATTGCCTAGCAACATTCACAAGTCTTAATTACTCTATCAAGAGTGACAGTATAAACTTGTTTTTTATTCCAAAAGCGATCTCAGTTATACAGGGTCTTTTCCTGAACTGAAACACTAACTAAGATTTTCTATCCAAAAAGCATTAAAATATTTTGCAGCTTCTCTCGGAAGCAGTAACATTCAGTGTTGATGGAAGCAGTTACAGCATCCTTCCCATCGTTGGTTTTTCCATGAGTCATACAGTTAATAAGTGGGTGGGTCAGTCAGTCAACTGGGTTAGTTGGTCATTCAGTCAGTCAATCAGACAGTCAGTCAGTCAGTCAGTCAGTCATTCATTCCAAAAGTCAGTCAGTCGATCAGTCAGTTGCTCAGTCAGTTTTTCAGTGGAACAATTAGACAGTCAATCAATTAGACAGTCGATCAATCAGTCATTCATTCAGGCAGTTACTCGGTCAATCAGTCAGCTTTGATAAAGCCTTGCTGGTATATTTCTTATAACTGCCAGGGGATTTGCAAGCTCTTTGGATATACTATACTGAAAATGCACAAGGTAAGAAACGATTTTCACTCCTCTTCTAGGTGTTGGTATTTATGAAATTCCTTCCCTTCTCAACCACTCATGTGCTCCAAACTGTGTTGCTGTTTTCAATGGCACAAAACTCCTTATACATGCAACAGAAAATATCAAGCAAGGTGATGAACTTACAATAAGCTACACAGAACTGCTTTGCCCAAGCTACCAGAGGAAGGAAGACTTAAAAAGTCGTTATTCATTTGATTGTCATTGTTTGAAGTGTAACTCTCCACTAGAGGAAGATGGACTTATGTTGAGCCTGCAGTGTTCTAACTCTCATTGCAATGGAGCATTGCCAAGGGATTTAGCAGGTGATAATTCATGTTTTCCAAGATAAATTGTGTCACATTCTTCTGTAACCATTTTTTTATTTTACTTGTGCCTTTGGAGTGATCAGGTACTGTATGCTACCGTTCATTATTATAAAGAAGATTATTAAAATGAGTGTACTCTGTAGGTTGAGGATTGCATCACATCTTGTTGCATGTAATTTGTATGATCACCCAGCACACAGGTAGAAGGGTGTTTCCAAAAGAATTGTGAGAGTTTGTTAGTCCTTGAATATTATGTTGAGGCACACAGGGTGGTCACTGTTCAACACACTGGATCCAAGACCAAAAGGTTTGATTTTGAGCCCCAGCTGGGGTCACTGTGGTGTATTCTGGGGCAGGACACTATACCGTCACAATACCTCTGCTCCTTCTGGAAGGAAAAAGGTGTAAGAAAACTTCTGGGGAAACTAAATTGATTGAGGGGAGTGAGGACAGGATGAGGACCTGCAATGAACTTCCTAAGTTAGATAGCAATTATAGTCCTTTTCACTTCATGATATGGAAATCGACTGTGGGTACCCTGGAAAGCACCACTTTGTGAACCTCTAAGGTCAAGTGCAGTCATCTAACCTTGCTTTTGTGTAAGAGTCTACTGTGCTCTTATTTGAAATATTCTTCTGACATAAGCTCTTTTTGCAGGAGGAGGCTTTGCTGCTTGCAACACTTGTGGTAAACAAGCATCCAATAAAGCAATGGTAACCAAAGCAGAAGGAAATATCTCAAAATCTGAAGAAGCTTTAAAGGAAATAAAAGCATTGGAGAAAACTGATGACTATAACAGTATTCTTGACCTCGCTGAGAATGTCCTAGATGAACAGAGAGGTTTCTTTCATAAATTAAATTACAGCAGAATTGGCATTCTTGATAAAGCTATGGATGCCTGTATTAATTTGGAGTTTTGGGACAGAGCCCTAGCTTTTGGACTTCAAACAATGGATGCATACAAGCTGTATTATCCTAGGAATCATCCAAGTGTTGGCATTCAGTTGTTCAGAATTGGTAGGTGATTTAATTGAAATCTCTCTGTATCCATTACGGCTTAATGAGGGTGTCATACAAATGTAGCCTAATAATACAATAAAGGTTTGGAAAACTGTCCTTTGGTCAATAAACAGTTAAGAAAAGATGAAAGACCTATCATATTGCCTGTTGAACCCAAAGAAGACCTTTGTTCCTACTCAAGCCCCAGTACACAGTATTTTATCCAATTATACAGACCTTGCCCATGGCAGATAACACATAGGCAAAAACGTCCAGAGCTGCTTTCAATTCATAAATGATCAAATTCAAATTTTACTCTCTGGAAGAAAAGTGAGCTCCACTCGCAGTGTCTTCTTGGTTTTTTTCATTGTCTCTGATTTCAATTAAGAATTTCACTTCCTCAGGACATGAGAAAACCTTGATGATTTGAAATGGGTCTTAATCTGATTTTCAGGCAAACTTCAAGTCTACTTGGACAAACTTAAAGATGGTTTTCAGTCACTGCTGCAGGCAGAAGCCATTCTGAAAGTAACTCATGGAAATCACCCGCTTGTACAAGAATTGAGGGAAATGATAGGACAGACATTGGAGGAACTCAGAGAGGAACAGAACAGAAAAGTCCAAGGGATGGAATTAATTTGAACTGAGAAGTTAACCATTTAATTTCCATGAGTGACCTAGAAAGAATTTCTTCTTACAGTTCAATAGAATATCAAACAAAGGAAAAAATATCAATTAGAGGATGATTAGGTGATCCAGTACTGAATTCTACAAACCAACATCATAAGAGTTGTATGGTAGACAGTAAGGAGAATTACTAGTTAGGTCTTGGGAGTGAGAGGGTCAAGTCTTGATCATGTCATTTGATAGTCTAGATGAGATTAGTCTTAGAAAGAACTGTTAGTTGAGAACTCTGACTGGTGTTTCAATGGCTTGTTGAGACTAGTGGGTAGTTGTTTTGATCAAACAATGTATTAAACAGCGGCAAAGTGTGCATGAAAATTGGGGGGAGGGAGGGGGGGGGAAGAAGGGACCACAGAGTTTAGCAGCACAAGGAAAAAAGAACGCGTTATGTTTTCTTCATTTTTCAAAATTTTATTAATGGGGCAAAAGCTGTGAACTCGGTTGTTCCAAGCAAAACAGTTGTCTCTCCCGATCGGTCATCTCACGGGGTCACTCACAAAAACTCAAAAGTTTCCTTTCAATTTGTTAACGCAGATTTACTTGACGGAATGGCGTGAAAACATTAGAGAGTTAGAGGAAATTTGATTTCAAATGTTCCGATCTTTGAGGGTCAAAAGCCCCAGGTGTAAAGAATAAAAGATAAAGAACATCGTTTCAACTCCTGACTTAAAACACTGTCAAAAAACTCGTAAACAATTCTTGTGATAAATCTTTTTTTTATTACTATTAGGTACGTCAATCTACAATCAATGTGAAGTAGAGATCTAAATTGCTTCTATAATGATAACGTGATGCAATCTATATTTTCTCCAAGATTCTTCTGATGGTGATTTAGTAATGGAATGTCACAAGTTCAAATAGGAATTGTGTTCAACTTTCGGGCTTTTTGAATTTCTCTTAAAAGCACAAATTTATGTCGGAATACTTTGCGCCCATGGAACGTTGAAAATGAGTTTTCCTAGCCAGTAAAGGAAAGCAAATTGAGCCAATTTCCTCACTGAAACATGAATTCTGAAGCAATCTACGAAACAAGAGCTCCACCTATCATAAAAAAGTCCCAAAAGACGAATTGCTGGAAAAGCAAACTGAATTATTTTCGTCAAAACGTCTTCAGAATATTTCTATATAACGGTTCTAAATCTCAAATTTTGCGGCCAAACAGTCACTATTTGTCGCGTGAAACACGAAACATTTTTTTGTAACATGCAACATCACGTACTCACAGAAATTGGTCAATACGAAACCCCTTTCATGACCTCTTACCGCCGTTCAAAAGTAACGCAAATATGCCGGCACGTGACGAAATAAACTATTTCTAAAATGCTATGACTTCAGTGCAATAACTTCTTCCGTTTCTCGCAGTTACGAATTTCAAATGCATCCCGGTCAGTTTTAGCATTTACTTATTTTTTTCTGACAAGCATACGAGCTTTTTCATTCAAAGTACCTGCGAGATCTAACGTGCCAAAATCTCTTTACTAGCGGTTCACTTTTTCAATATAAACGTCACGAAACTAGCTTTAAAGATAAGAAGCGAAATATCCACTGTTCCGTAATATATAAAACACTACTGAAAAACAGATTTTCGCTTCTACCTATTTACAAATCTTCCAATAAATAATGAAACAAACGAAGGGGAATAAAGAAGCATCCAGGTCTGTTCAGATAAGCTTTTGTGTTAAAAGTGCTACGCATCTGTAACGGTGTACTTTGTGTTGCATAGAGGCTTTGTATTTTTAAGTTACTGTACAAAATAAATAGATTTTTGATTCACTCTCCAACTGAGTCCTTCTGTTCGTGGTATGTCTATGTTTCACAATGAAAACGAAATGAAACGCTCGTAAATTTCCTGTATGTTAGAAAACAATCAGTAAACAGACGAAAAAGGTGATTAAATCGAGGGATTCACCACACGTTGATAAAACATTAAGTGGTAAGTGGAAATGATTTACATTTTTAAGAAATAACTTTATACTTTTAAGGCCAGGAAGGTGGTTGGCTATCGTAAAACCCCATTCACGTGGTCACGAGTGACGACAACCACTGCCCCTCTCTCCCCCCCCCCCCGAAGAAATACGATTTATTGTCCGTTCCAATTTATCTCATGTACAGATAACGAATCTAATCATTTCCTAAGTGTCGTGGAATAATTTAAATAACTGCCTCTTTGTTACGATCCTTGCGTATTTACATTGAATAAAACATTGCTTTAAAATGTGATTATCTCATAAATAACGAGGCAAGAAATTAAAACGTAAACGAACCATAAAAATATTAAGAAGACCCCAGATACGTATTTGGTAACATTTGGCCCTCCAAGCTCAGCGCGGCCCATAAATTTTGAATATCTTCGTACCAAAAGGAGCACAAAACACAAGACCGCGCAACAACTGTATGTGATAACACTTGTGGATAATGTCCCTGCCTTCACTTCGAACACTGTGCCCTACAATGAACAAAAAAAACGACAAAGAGACATCCTTAAGCAAATAATCACTTGGCTATGAAAATTATCTCACAGACTTACGTTCACAAACACTGACATGGAGTATTTTATTATGTACTAACACAGTGAGATAATAACATTCAAAAAGATGATTTTAATTCATTTGTTCCTGCAACGATTAATACATTTTCGTGCGCAAATCCCACACGAGTTGCTCAAAGTCGAATAGCAAAGGATTTCCGGAGTTTGAGTGGCCAATCAGAGCGTGCCTTCAACGCTATTCGCTGTTTGAGTATTTTACCCAATGACACTTGCGCACAGAATACGCAATTTCCGAATCAACTTTGGCCTCTCTTTCAAAGAGAGGCCAGCACCCAACCATTCGTATGAAAATGAGATTAATTTGTGCGTGATATGTACTGTAATGCTGCGAAAAATACGAAAATATCCACAACTAGTTAAAAGCCCTAAATCGAAACAAAGGGCTTTTGTTGCAGTTCAAACAAGGTTTTTTCGTTATCTGAATCGACCATATATAGTACTTTTGGTCAATCGGCGGTGACTCGCAATTTCCCATTAAAAGGAGTACTATTGTGCTTGGAGATTGACACGGACTGTAAATGACCACTTGAACGATTCTAGCGGGCCAATGTTTCAATCTCTCTCTTTAAGTTCTTTACCGCATTCTACACGTACTCGAAGCTTAAAATTCGACCTTTTAGTTCAAGATAGTGATATCCTTCTTACCTGAGCCATATGGTAACTCGCAGCAATCACCCACGGCAATCCCAGTCCCAAGAAAACATTCACAGAGTTGCTACCGGTGACATTTCCTACAGACGCATCCGCGTACTTCTCATTCACCGCCGCAGTTTTGCTAGCAAACAAGTCTGGGAGACTGGTGCCGAGAGCCACAAACAAGATGGCGGTCGCTTCATCTTTTAGTCCAATTAGACATCCAAATATGGTGGCTAAGTCTCCAACTATGGTGGTGACTAGGCCGATCATCATTAGAGCGACACAAAATGTCACCCAACCACCAAGCCAAGTACAAGGGGGAATTATGGCGAAGATAACCTGCCGAAAATGAGAAAGAAAATTACATGTTGGAAATTAACGCATCACACGCATTTTCCGACTACTCACTTACAGTTGGACACTGTAAGCACAGAAAAAGCCGCCTAGAAATAAGACCAATAAACAGGTAAAGGAAAACAGTAATACTGTACGCATAAAATAGATTTGTTAAAAGTCTATCGCACCTTCCAAGCAAAGGTGAAGAAGTGCATGACGTAATCGATGGCAGTGGCATTTTCCACATCTCCGCCATTTACTGACATCGCCTCACGGAATTGCGACGCCCAGGACTCGGACCCCAACTCCAAACGGCGGAGATTTATATGAGTGAGTGCAACAACTCGGTCAAATAATCTGCGATACTCTGGAGAACACAAAAAAATAACAACTTTGTCACGCAAAATTCAACAGCTAAAAATGGTATGCCGGCGCCAAAAGTTTTTAAAAGATTACGTGATGTATCTCGGCCGATCTCAACGTCTAGTTTTTTTGTTTATAGCTGTCCACAAATAGGTAAGAGCTAACGAAAAGGTATAAACAAACATGATAAATTTTAACGAAGTTGTTGAAATAATATAAGCGAATTATGGGTGAATAATCGTGGCTGGCTGTTTGTGCCTTTGTCCAAATCCAGATTTTATTAACAGAATCGTCGTATTGACGCTTTGTTCGTTAGTGTAGCTCTCAATCTTAGAACTGTAGAATGGTGATGATTAACAATCACGATAAAAACACTAGTAATGATAATTATAGCGTGCAAATTTTTAATGCAAATTAAAGCTCCAATTTTACAAATATCTATCAAACTATCAGAAAGCATAACAAGAAAGTCTATTATTGCTTACCGTCATCATTCACAATATTGACCGCAGCGCTTCGAATATGACCTATCTTTGCTCCTGCTGAGGTTTTGATGAGTTCTACAAGAAACGTTTCGTCTTTCTCAAAATCTTTATCATCGATAATGTCTATTGCAATTGATTTTGCTTGTTCGCCGTGTTCAAAGACCAACGTGCCAGACCCTCCATGGTAATCTTTGCCGTTTACTGCCGTTTGATCCGTGGTTTTCCAAGTGACCTCCACCCTCCCGTCTGTACCCTGGGTACGGTTGACTTTGATGTAAGCTTTCCCAATACTCTCTTTAATTACAAAGCTTGGATTCTCCAGTGAAAAGGTTCCGGGTTCTGAAAATCAAACGAAAAGAATATCAGCGCATTCTACATGAGCTGTGTACGAAATTGAGTCTAAAAAAAAAACTTGCCATAATGTGTTTTGTTAGCTGATGTTGCAGAGCGCAAATAGCGTGTTTCATTTTTCGATGAACACATCTGTAGCTAATTCGCGTTTTAACTTACTCTAGACCCAACTCACCGTCATCATTTATAATAGTGACTTCAGTAATGCTTTGTTCTCCTATTTCAACAGTGTCGTCCTTGTAGTCAAATCTGGCCAATTTCAAGAAGAAAACTTCGTTCTCTTCCCATTCATTGTCATCGATGATAGTAATGTTGATATGTTTCAAGTTTTCACCGGGTTGGAAGACAAGCACGTCTCTTTTGGCTTCGTAGTCAGATCCAGCCATGGCTGTGCCGTTTATAGTCTCATAGCTGTGGGAAAAAGTAACAATATATATTCGTTTCTTAATACTTGTGCACACTTCACTGACAAAAGAGCGCAAAATTTCAGAGTCAACATATCAGCTTGATTTAGTCATCCAAGTTTCGGGATGTGAGTAACTCAATATTGCAAGTTGTACCCCGGGGCCGATTTGTTCGTAATTGAGTTAAAATAACCCAGGGTAAGTGTGAGATCTAATTTCAGACCTGAAAGCTTTAAAAGAAAATTCAGTGCAATTTGGCTACAATTTGATGAATGGATGCCCTAGAAGAAAAACAAAAAATTATCTAAAAAAGGCTTTTGAACAAAGGAATTAAGGAATCCGGAATAAGAATTAACCTTGGGCGAGCTCTAATCAGCCTTCGAACAACTGAACCCTGAGGACGAGCAATGCTTCTGAAGATTTTTTGCAAAACTACATCAATTTGTTCCAGTTTTCGATTTGGGCTTCAAACCACGTTTCTCTTAGGCCAATTGAAGAAGTATAAATTTGCACAGCAAACGCTCCTTGCTCGTAATCTAGGATTTTTTTAACGTGTAAGGGTTAAACGTTCTTACTTTACACTGGCTGTAATTTTCGTGTTTCCAGATCTTTTCACACCAATCTTTACAATTTTGTCGCTCTCTAGGACAGCAAATTCCGGAGCAGCAAACTCCACACGAGCAGGTTGTACTTTACCAGCTGCAATCAATGAAATAAGATTAGACTGAGGGGGGAAAATGGCCCATAAGGCATGGGGATCGTGCTCCCCCATGGGAGATTGCTCCCTCGTTGGAGATTTCAGGGTTAGTCCTTCGGATAGGCTTTTTTGTACTCACCTAAGGCATGACTCATGATGGCAGTAGCTCCAGATGAAGAAAAACCAACCTCCGACAATTCTTCGTAAATCTGTTATAACAATAAAAAATATATCTTATTATAAAGTTTGGATTAGAAAATATTCACAAGCTTCTCTAGATTAGATTAATTTTCTGTGTTCATATTCTGAATAAATCCTTTGCATTTTATCGTTAGTTGTTGACATCTGTTGAGAGGAATCGTGACAGGCTCTATCCGTAAAAAGCTTAGCTACGTACCACTCTAAGTTTGGGGTCCATCTTTGGTCTCAGTTTATGACTGCCTCCCAGATCCCTAATGGCACCCACTCGGTAGTACCCGTAGTTCTTTGGTTGCCTTGATTTAATATGTGCGGCAACAAGCATTGCTGCATCATCCTCTGACAGATCGGGATTCCTGCTCACTTCCTAAAGTACAAAAGTAAAAATATTTTTCCTAATAACTCTCAATGGCACACCAAAAAACTGTTGAAAAGAAAGTTACCTTGATAAAACTTTCAACCTCTGGATCATGTGTAGGGGTGGACAGTGTTTTAGCACCCTCAGCTGTATAAGGCAAATACACAAATACAGTGTTAGCTACATTTCAAAAAATATAACACTTTAAAAGAGTTCCCCCATCCACCAGTTACATTAATTTTTTCCCTTCCTTCTCTAAAGCAGAATTGATGAAAAAGAGCATATTTTTTATACCTGTTCATATAGGTTCAGACACATACAAACTTTTTTCTTGAGAAATTAATTTTTTTCCCTAGCCATTAGGGAAGCTACAGGCAGTCTGGTTTCACAGGCCCTATTATTATGAACAGAGCCTTACTCTGCAGTACTGCTATGTGTATTGTCTGAGATGAAAAGAATGAAACGGTAAATATCCATACCCTTTCAATCCCTCTGGACACTGAATTTGAAAAACAAAATAACTGAAGACAGTAGAACCCACTGTGAATCATTTGCATTTTAAGCGGATGCAGCCTAGTGGAGTGTTTCAGAGCACGTAAAAATTTAGAATCTGCTGCTCCCTGGTCCAGCTCCATGTGACATTCAACAGATTCTTCTTTTTTTGTAACAGACATCCCACTCAAACTCTGTAAATGTACCTTATGTATACAAAGTCAATTGGTTTGTCCTCCACCAGTTAAGATCCCAAAAAAATTACCAAGTACAAAGTACAACCCAAAATACAACAACCAAATCTTCATGGCATAGTCAACATAGTAATGATCATAGCACATAAAAATTTTTACAAACAAACTTATACAGACAGTATGTATATATAAAATGTTTTAATATCTTATTTTTTCCCTTGACTTGTAAATATGCAAGTATGTCAAACTGCACTTTCATTGTCAAAATGAAATTGGCATTTGATAAATTGGTGAAAATAGTAAACTGACAGGTAGCGAGCAAACCAATTTTAAAAACTGTAGTACCACCAGATAGTTCCAATGATGCAAATTATGTGGGTAACACATTTGTGATCCTGTTAATTAGTTAGATAACAATCCTGATTGTCAACTGGTTAATGAGTGTTCTTGTTCAAAATCTCATGTGGGGAAACCAAATCCCATAGTTATCCATTTGAGACAAATTTCAAAAATTGTAACAAAATCATTTTATGTCCACTTTTCAGATCTTTGAAACACACTGTTAATGGCTGAGAACACGGTATTGTAACAGTTCATCACACCCATATTTCCCGTTTACAAAAAAACATATCTCTTGACATGTCAAACTAAACAGTGGATTTGCATAGAGTTACAACACCTGCATGAGAACAATTCTTGATTTTTCCAATCAATTTTAGTCATTGACACGTTACCTTTAAATAGAGCCCTATAACGTAAATTGCCTATGTTCTGATAATTTATAATGCAAAGCAATGATATATATATATATATATTAACTATATATATATATTTTTTGTAATTGGTGAAAAGTTTTATTTTGGTATTCGGTTGCAAAAATTAACGGTCTCCTGCAAAGAGCTGCTTCTAATATGTAAATAATCCCTATTTGACGTTGAGGTAACTCTGAGTATGACAGCTGAACAAATTAATGGTTTTCGTGCGCTAGCAACAGATCTTAGCACATTTAAATTTCTAGCAATTCCTTCTCCTTTTTTGACGTGAAATGAAATCGCAACTGAAACGTCATTAGAAAAAACATATTGCTACTTGTTTTAAACGTAAGGTGGGAATGAATAATTATTCTTTATAACCGAAAATTACACTATTTATTCAAATGTGCACGGCACAGATAATTGCAGATTATCCCCAACAACCAGTGTATTTTTCGACAAAACACTTAGCAACATGGTTCTCTAGGCAAACTCACAACATTAAATCAAGACACATTTCTAATTTCCTTCACGAATTAAAAAAATTACAACTTCAATGCGAATGGGGTTAGTGTTGAAAAGAGAAATCGTCCAGTTCAAAATTAAGGTAAACAAAGCAATCGAAATTTTGCGTAATCCTGAAATTTTATCCCTGTATTAAAATAACAAGGAGAACATTTCAGCTTGTTAAGTAAAGTTAAGTAGTACTTACCCAATTCGAGGACTCCTGGATCCTGAGGTTGGACTTTCCCGGGGCAACAATACTCCTTGTCGGCAATGTAAGCCACTACAACCAGAATCGGGAATAGTAGAAATGTGAGTATTGCCTCCCAAAGGTCGATTACGTCGGGCGTAATTGCACTAAGCGCTAAATACAACCAGATGTAAGCTAACATTGAGAAGCTAGCTGTCACTGCAAACACTTTGATAGCTTTGATCCTACGCTGTTCATGGGTAGGAATACTCATCACACAAACTCCAGTGATCACGAGAAGATTGAACGCTGCCGAACCAACAATCGTGCTCGGCCCAAGTTTACCTGCCTCGAATTTATTCAGAATAACTATTTCTATAATAGCTAGTAAAATCTCCGGCGCTGATGACCCTAAAGCCATCAATGTTAGGTTAGCGACGGTGTCATTCCATACTCGAATCTCCACGACGTCCATTTCGCTTGGATTATCTTGTTTCGGTACCTTGACCTCTTTCGTTTTGCTTGTAATCGTTTCAATCGCGCACATGAAGACATCGGCGACAATGGCGATTCCCATGAAACACCATAACAGCGCTATCAGGTATACAAACGCCCTTAATTCTTGATTCCACCCAGATTCGTCGAGAAATGGCAGCAGTAAGGTTCCACTATTACAAGCATCTACAGCCATCGCGTAGAAAATGAGTTAAAGTTATCGTAGAAGTTATTAGAAAATAACCCCACTTCAAAACGGTCGGCGCGACACCGGAATAGAGTCACACTCGGTAATAACGGATCAGCACCGTGCTATTAAAAGACTCCACAAAGTTATCACTTTTAAAATCTAGAGTTTATAAAACAAATATATCGAACGGAAATTTAAATTAGGACTGTACCAAGCGTGCAAGTAGTAACCCGCTTACAAGCTGCATTCAACAATTACAGTCTCGAAAGCGCAGTTGAGCGGCGGAAAACCGTGGTATAAATGATTTCCTATTTTTCGCGGACCTCTTCATAGCTATTGCTCCGTACAATCCTTCCATCTATTCACTGAAGTCTTGATGAGCTCCAAGTGTTTTCAATTTCGTTCAAACTCCATCGCAACCATCTACAACCCTCAGCGGGACAAAATCTCAAAACTTTCTATGAATTTCAACGAGACGGTATTTTGACAGTTGCTAAGCAACAGAGAGTCTTAAAAGAGGGCACCTTATGACACCTCTATTGAAATAACAACACGTCTCGCTAATTCACGTTGTTATTTAACTTATACCTTAAGTTATTTCGTCTAAAAGTTCGAGAATAATTTATAGAAGAGAGAGAACCTGCCAAATTCTTCATTTCATCATGTGCTATCAAGCCGGAATCAACATGAAGGCGCCGATAACGCAGCTGCTGGATATATTTACAGACAAGTATAAAGTAAACCTGAGTAAAACATTTTAAGTGTCTTCCTGTCCAAACCTTGAACAAAATTAACTGATAATTTAGTACTCTTCTCGTTGTGATGATGGAAGTTTCCAGAAAAATGGATAATTTGTAAAAATTAATTATATTACTATTATACAGTATCGAGCAAATAAAGCCCATTATAACCAGCCGTAACCAGGTTTAAACGTTTTAATTGTCATTTCCGCTAATAACTCTTCTTTCGATCGCTAAAAAAACGTTCTTTCGGTATGACCTTGTCAAGAGATAATACCATGGGTCAAATGAATTTTGTTTACCAATGTTTTTTTTTTGCCCATGCGTGCAAATGCAAACTTCAGTATTCGGACTGAGAGACGTTCAGCAGTAACAAACAGTGTCAACCGCAATTACGTACAGACAGCAGGTGAGCAGAATTGTCCTACGTTGCGATACAGACAATTAAACAACAGACTTTACAAAAACTCCAAAAAAGATGATTACAGTCCCACATGGTAGCCCAGAAGCAAGCTAATTGTTCGTTGATATGAGTTCGCGACTGACTTTTCGATCAGAGAAGCCGTTTGCATGTTCTCTTACGGACGAAATTTGCCTAGGGCGAGCGATCTTAAGATCAAATTATATATTTTGGTTCTGTCTTTTTTTCTCTGTTATCTAGTTGGTGCTGAAGTGGCAAAAGAGCAATGACGTATCCCCATTGTTGGTCCAAATTGGTTTAAAAGGCATACCCATCTCGCGCCATTTGACCTGCGTGCCAGCTATACTGTGTCCGTTCATTAGGAAAGTTCTAACGCCGATCGATCGGAATTGTGCGACCAGATCACTCAATTCCCGAATACATCATGTAAAATTCGTAAACTCATCGAGTCAGGGGAATTTTTATTTTTGAAATAATTGGTCGATCTTTATGTTTTCACCAAATGATAAGTGTACCTCAGTGTGCGCACAAAATTGCGTGATTAAACGTTTCTTGGTGACGTAACCAACTGCGTCAGGAATTGTTTTTGTCAAACTTTCTTTATGGTGATGTCAGAAACTTTTCGTAAGGAAAATGCTTGATTTGCGCTCAATAAACATATTATTACACGTGTTAGTTTCTTAATACAAGAGAAATTAATTATTCTGTCAAGAACTCAAATTGTTATATCCAGACTTTCACTCAACAAAACGAGCATTGTGATTGGTTGATTCTTCGTCATGCAGTTGTTGCCCGCGCGCCGAATACAACAGCATGTTTTTGCCATATGATTGTTTGAGGGAAAGTCTAAATATATAACAAAGCACTTAATGTATGGTATCTCTGGAAACTAGTTAGTTTTGTTTCCCTCGAGTCCTGATGTTTCTCCAGACGAGGTCGAGGGAAACATCAGGACTCTTGGGAAAACATAACAAACTGTTTCCCTTGGGACCGTACATTAAGTGTATAATGTTTATTGGAGAAATATGGGTGCGACCTTTTCATTTTCACGGAGGCGTTCGCAGCGCGCGCAGTGTTGCTCCATACGTAAATAAGACACTAAAACATCTCGCTAAGTTACTTTAATTGGTCGTGAAGCCATGACTACGTCCATTCCCAGACTTTTATCATTGTGTTCTTTATTGATCGAGATAAAAATATTAAAGCTCTAACTGAAAAGGAAATGCGCAAAAGAATGGTTGATCTTCACTGAATAATTGTAAAACATCACTGAAGTGAACTTAGAGAAAAGTTTCTTTTTACAGTGTGACCCAAGTCCCCCTCCTTTTCTTGCCCCGGCCTTAAACTGCTTCAGGTTATGTTGCTACCTTGGCTCCGCGTGTACGAAATAAGCGATGCGCACATGACAGATTTGGAAAAAGCATAAATTCTAACAAACTCTTCACAAGTGGAGCATCGGTATCTTCGATGGATCGTGATAACAATGCAGCGGTAAAACCAATAGACCGGAAATCATTATTAACAAGCCGGTATACATTTAATACATTTTTCTTCTACAGGATCGAGGCATTACGCAATTGTAGTAACTGTATCAACTTCCTCCACGAAGACAAGTTCTACTTGCCAAAGTAGCCACCGGATGAGTCCAAAACAATAGCATGATTTTTAAGCCAAAGGCTTTTTTCGATGAAGAATCGAGCTAAGAATTATTGTAAACACTATCTAGCCCTTAGGCGTCATGTAAGCTTTGTTTTTATTTCTACAGTGGTTTAATTAACGGCTGTGAATTTAAAGCACCATAGAGAAGTGTTATGATCGTTAAAAATAAAAACAGGTCGTGTTGGATAATTTATGCTCTCTTTAAAGTCCTTCTGGTAAATTACAATGAAACGATATAAAAGACGTCAAATGACGACTTGATCTTCATATGCTTACATGCGACAGTTAACATCATTACAGAAATAGAGGTCTGACAGGAAAAAAAAAAAGGAACGCACGACTCGAAAGCTAGAGCTAGGAAGAGAATCCTTGTACCTAGAAATTAGATGGGCTCTATTACCAACTAAGCTAAGAAACTATAGTAATTGAGAGCGAGACAAAAGTTAATGAGCTCTTTGTTTCCCGTAAAATTTGTCCCGCTCTCAACATGACTTTAATTACAGCAAGAGAAAATAATGTGACATTATTTTATCTTGATTAGAGTTAAAATTGGAAGATCAATTCGGCGTCACTTGTTATCTCATTCCTAAGTCAAAATATGATTTTTCTATTATCAATCATTTGTGATACTTTCACTGGCGGCAATTTCTTAGTTTTAGCCTGAAAATTAGAACACATTTTATTCAATTTGATCAAAATTCGCTCGAAATGTTTAACAAACCTTACTTCCAATGTCTCTTAACAGCATGAATAATAAAAAATAACGTGTAAATAGTAAAATGCCGATTGTAATAAATATTCTCAAGAATTCCAAAGACCAATTCAGGCGTTTTTTGTTTTGTTTTCAATTGTCTTTTTAGTTTTTTACTTCTCAGTTTGATTACATTACGTGGGAGGAATTTTTCATTTCAGCAATTCAAAAGTTTTCGGTAATATGAACTTGTTTTTTTTGTTTTGTTTTGTTTTGTCTTTTTTTTGTTACCAATAAAAATAAGTTAAAAGAGCTTGAAGCAATAAATCCCTCTTAAACTGAAGAGGTTAACCGTAAATCTAAGATAAAAGCAATTTGTATGCAAACCACTCAAAGTACTTTGTTCAACGCTGAGTCTCCTTTATTTTCATCTGTTAATAAAACAATTATGTTTCCAAGTGTTATCTCAAAAATCGAGTGGTCTCCATAGGTTACCTCGCCAGGTGCCAAAATAAGATTGTTGTCATATAATTTTCTTGCAGAATAAAATACTTAGGTGTTTAAAACAACATTCGGAGGCTAACTTTTTCTTTATTCAGCCATGTTCAGCCCAGGTCACTCGAGGTCTTCTTCTTGTTCTTTAACTGTGGGTGATGGTCCGGATTTTTTAGAGATTACCATCAATGAACCTTGTGTGGATGACGACACCGATTTTATGTTTCCTTTGGGGAATGAAGAGAAATTTGGCGGGGATCAGGTCGATGCGAATTCAAACGTCGGCGCCGCAGATAATGAATCTCAAAACCTGGAAGTAAAAGAACGTCCGCGGTTAAATAAAGCACAAAGTGAAGAAGATGTAGGCGATAACGAAGAGAAACGTTATGAAGAAACAAGGATACATTCAATCGGAGGTAATGAACGCACTAAGCCAAGTTTGGTGACAAGCAAACAACACATCCCTGGCAAAGGAGAGGTGCTAGCTAAGAACTTGGACAAAAGAAAGTCAGTTAAGGGGATCACACCACAAAAGAAAGGAGACAAACTTCCCGAAGTGGGAAGCCATGTAAAAAAACTGAAAGCTGTAACTAAGACTGCAGCAATTTGGAAATCTCGTACTCTGGCAGACGGTTTCAGCGTCGGAATTGATCTTTCGCAAAGTGGAAATGAACGGCCTTCTGCATGCAAGGGAACTCGGCCTTTGTTACGAAATCTCTCGAAAAGTAACGGCGATTTCTCGAAGAATCATAAGAAAATAGGGCTGCGTGACGTTGCGACGAAATGTTCTGCCCAAAAGAAAGAATATAGATTAAATTCTCTCGATAACAGGAGGAAATTTGGCCTAGCTAAGCGGAGCGGAGCTAGGTGGCTCAAAAACACCATACGTCACGACAAAACAGAATTACCGCCGATTGATTTCTCGTCAAAGGGCCATTATTCAACGCAATGGAACCCAAAACAGAGCATTTCTCCGTATTCCGAAATCAATATTTTAAAAGAGCACGATACGTTTGAAACGCACAGGAGAAAAGAGCCTGAATTAAAAAGAGTCCTTTTGGAATCTGTTATGCAAACCTTAGAAAAGACTCAGCTGGGTGGAAAGAGCAGGGGTGACTTGGTAAAACATTCTATCTCTTCGCTGCAACAAAACAACGGTCGGGAACGATTTAAGAAGAAAGCGATACCTGTCGTAAAAACTGCATTAGCTTTCAAACATCCTAGCAACAAGTTTATCTGAAAAAGTCGGCGACCGCAATGATACAGCTGTTCTTATATACAAGACAAAACACAACATTTGCCCGAAATATATTGCAGACCTTTTCCAAATGACAATGAAGAAATTGTAAAATGGTTTCCGTGTTTACATAGCCTGATGTAAACACGCGGGAGGTTGGGAGAACACGAGATAAGCGTAGGTAACCACGACGCGAAGCGGAGTGGTTTCCAGCTTATATCGAGTGTTCTCCCAACCTCCCAAGTATTTACATCAGGCTATGTAAACACGGAAACCATTTTACATTTCTTTCATAAAATAACTAATGAAAGAGTAACGAAAACCGTGTTTACATACGCTCATGTAAAATGGTTTTATGGCCAATCAGAGCGCGCGTACTATTTGAATTATTTTATAAACACCAAATATTCACTGAGAAACAAGGAGTTCGCCGTGCCCAGATTTAATACAACTACACATGGAAAGCATTCCATCACATACATTAGCCCAAATTTGTGGAGTCTAATACCTAAAAATATAGGAGACCTTCCCGCATTATCTGTATTTAGGCAGCGTATTAGAAAGCTTGATTTAAATTCCTTACTGGCCGATCCTCATTGTTCTGAATGTATTTTATGTCGTACATAATAGACACTTTAGTATTTTATTAAGTCTTTGCATATGTAAATAATATTATCTACTACGTACTTCTTTTATCAATTGTAAATAGTGTTATCAATTTTAATTATAATAAGTATAATAACTGTTTAATTTTTAATTTTAATTTATTCTTAGTGTCACCGTTTAGTGGTTCTTTACTGCTATTTCAGTTTGTCACTTAAATAAAGGTATTTATTCATTCATTCATTTACCGCCTTCATCGCAGACCTGTTACAGTAATTGAAGGATTTTGTTTGACTAATAATTCATATGATTCATTCGCCAGATGCTGGTTATGAGGGAGCAGTTATGTTAGTAGCGGTTGGTACTTTTTGGTTCAGTTCAACAGGGATTACTTGAACAATTTAAACAAATACTGAGACGTTTATTGGTCTGTGTTATCCATATATACAGCTGCACGAGAACAGTAAACGGCTACTACGTAATCCATAGGCAAGTATTACAAATCTATGTGATATGTCTGTGATCTATTACTGAACAGACGCACGGCAACTTGGAATCTATTTGTTTTATATAATAAAGAATTAAAATAGACGGAAAAAAGTTTTAATGATGACGTCATCTATACGTCTGTCCTTCAATAGATCATAAGTGAGAACCAATCAGAATGCGTGCACAACTTAGCTTATTATATAATTATAATGACACACTTTTTTGCTTAGGTGAGATTTTAAAGGCTAAAGGTTCCTGGAATGGGTACACTTTCCAAAATATCACTCAGTGGAGTCGTGTTTCGAATTTCCATCACTTCACTGCTCGTTCAACCTACAAAACAATAAGTGCAGAAACATTATCGCAAAGGCAGTTGGGTAAAACTCCACTTTGCACTGAGGGAGGAGATGGAGGTGAAGACGTAGACCATCGATCGCCAGGCTTTTTTTAGGAACTCAAAGGTTGCTCCAGGCAAAAAAGTTTTAAGCTAACATATGATTTCCCCGACTAAAGTTGCCTGCTTGATATTGTAACGATTTCGTAGTGAGAAATTCTATCTTGGTCACTCATAGGAGCTCGAGTTAAAGAGTTAAGACAAAAAAAAATTTGATAATCACAAAAAGGCCATGTTAACAGGGCACAGTTGTAGCCAACAAATTTTTACTCGGAGAGTGAAATATTGCTTAAACTGATGTAATTCCCACAAATACAAATTAAATAAGTGCACAAGTCCTCTAAAACTGCAAAATAGTGTTCTAAAGTCGCCAAAGATTTGCCTGGTGCAATCGAGATATTGAGTCATAAATATCTATATTCAACATTATAGGTAAAGACAAGCATAGTTACTTTTATTTTCAAACTGGAGTAGTCTGCACTTCCGGTGAAGTTCGCTCGCTGTGTGAGCTGAAAGAATCATGATCCAATCTTCTTTTCTCGCTTGGAAGATAGGCTGGCTTCTGGCGCGGAAAACTACAAAATATTTTCTGTGCCGCTTTTCTAAACTGCGGCATTTTTAAGGCAAATAAGAAAGGGTTAACCAGAGAGTTTCCGTAATGAAGTATCTTGGTGGAAAACACAGCCTCTATCTCTATGCTCACTGGGTGAAACTCATTGACTATGTTCAGGACTATGAACGGCAACCATGTTGAAAGTGATGTCAGAGTTAAGATTGTTACAGTTACATTTAATCGTCTTTCACGGCTTTGATTCAAGCGCTTGGAACTGAAGAACAGGACTTTGACCCAGATAACAATGTACGAGGAGCCGATGGTAACCAGCAGCATACAAACAATTGGCATCCAGGTGTATAGAGAGTTAAATTCTTCTCCGAGATGAATTCTAATTCCTGGAAGCACAGCGGAAATAGCCCATAATAAGAACGCGATGACTGTGTATGCGAAACGTTTTGTCTTTCTATACTTGGTGGGGTATAACGTTGAGTAAAGTCTTTCCACAGCGATGGCGGAGAGGAAAGCGATTGAAGAAATCCCGGAGAACATGTCCAGGAATATGCTAATGGAGTACAAAGTATCTTTGTACTTGGAAAACGGCCATAAGTTGTAAAATCCTCCTAAGATGTAAACAAACAGAGGCGCCGCAAGACCTCCCACGAAAAAATCAGCAACGGCTAAGTTCATTAGGAAGTAATGGCGATGTTGTCTGCGTAGCTCTATGGTCTTGGCAAAGACTGTGATAATGAACAAGTTTCCGATTGCCACAATGACAGATTCGACCGCAAACGCAGTACACCATGCCGTGACGTCAGAAGTAGTCATGAAACTCGCTGTTCCCACGGCAATGTGTTGAGAGGAATTGTTCATGATTAGGAGATGATTTCTAATCTGAAATTGAATGAAGAAAGTTATCTCATGAGGTGTTTCACATTTAAGGCAATGCTCTTTTCTAATAATGAAAAAATTCTAGAGCAGGCAGAAAGATGAATTAGATTTGGTTAAAATTTGCGTTGAAATATTTCAGTCATAAGATTAAATTAGACACCGCTCGAACTTTTATAAAAGGTGAAATCACCAATGCAGTTATTAAAAGCAATTCATTAAATTGTACTTTCACCGAACCATTATCTGAAAGTGAAAGGGAATTTTTCAAAACGAAATTTTAAAGTTCCCCTGATATTTTGTCTTTTTATAATTCCTGATAAATACTCTTGGGTCAAACCAAAAACCAAATGTTTATTGCATCACGTAGGTACAAAGAGGTTTGCTTTTGGCGTTAGGATCTCAATTACCTGTTACTGACAAGAATAAACTAACCAAAGGCTCTGTCTTTTTTCCAGAAACGCAGCAATTAACTTCCAAATTTTTCGTGACTGATTCCTAATTTACTTCACACAAGCACAGATTTCTTAATTGAAAGAGTCCTAAATGGGGTCTCCTTCCGATTAAATGTTTACGTTTCGAGTCGTTTTAAAAAATGACACGATATGCACTCAAGCTGAGAGGAAATTCTGTGGAGAAAAAAGACATCAAAGGAAAAAACTGAATCAGCGAAAGGAAATCTGGCCAAAGGTGAATAAGGAGCATTTAAATTCTTGAAATGTATATCAAATTTTGTTTACCTTTTTTTACGACGGTAACCGCAGGAAAGTCTTCTGGTAGAATGTATCGGCAATAGTTTTTTGGGTGAGCTCGGTGTCGTGTTTCAACCTGCAAAAATTGAAAGACGATTTTTACATCGACTTTTTCTTACCAAACCTATTTAAACTTTCAGTGTGGAGCCATGGGAGAAACTTAGCATTTATCATGGTGATAAAACCATTCTAATATTACGAGTTTCGTTGAGAAAATGACTGGTAAATATTGCAGATACACAAATCTCTTGTATTACCTGCAAGACCTTACTCACTTGATACTTGTGGTGACAGTGCCAGCGATTAAGCCAATGATTTCTCTCAAGCAAAACACAAACTATTCAGGACTGAGATTGGAGAGATTTTTTTAATTTCCAGCCGTAACGTCTATGGCTTTGTTTTTCTTGTACATTTCCCTCTCACTTCGCATACAATGAAAAAAGAAATACGATTTTTCAAATTCAAATCCGCCTTCGGAAATCACTCCACCGTCTCAGTTTTGACAGACCGCAAACAATGTCTTAAAATACCAGGTGATTGCTACATCCGCTTGCTGATTTCTCTTTGTACTCAAATCTCTTTCAAAATTCCGCCAGCATTCTATTTTAAGGAAGCTGTATGTAACTGATTGTGCATGTCTAACTTGCAAGGCCGGTTGGACCACAATGTCAGAGCTCAGTGGATTTACAAATACACAATGAGACCTTAATTCTACATCAGTGTAAAAGTGGTAATGTCGTTTTATTAACGTGATGTGTGCAAGATTTGTTTTGCTAGCTGTCGTGGGAGTGGAAAAGAGTAGATTTACTGCAAAGATATTTATTGACTATTTATTTGGTCTACAGTTTTGTGGATGGAACCGAAACTCAGCAGGTATCGCCGATCAGACTGAATGTTTTGTTCGAGGTATTTCATGCATACAAACATGTTTGGAATACTTGCAGTAAATATGTTTTAAGCGACCTATTTCTAATGAATGATCGACCGGAGGCTGTTTTTTGTATTCCGGATATATCAGACTGAATACTCCGAACTGGAAAAAAAGGCATCTCGTATGTCTTTCATCAGACTAAATTCCGGTTTAAAATAAAAGCAATTTTTCAATGAGGAGATTGCAACTGAAACACAAACCAAAAATGATAAAAAAAGGTGAAATTTTATACAGTGTATTTTACAGATACTCCATTCGCGTTTATATATCATCTTTGAATTTTTTCTTTCATATGAAGTTTCCGGTATTTCACGCTGCAGGTCTTCAAGTTTCTCCTAATTCGCTGAGATATTCTTTAAGTGGTGCCTAAACCTCTCACGAGGTTCATAAATTTACGAGTTTGACCCAAGAATGCTTATTGAAAACAGGAATTAAATTCAAAAGGTAAAGACCTCATTGTCTTCAGCAATTTATGAATTCTTAGAAAAGAGGGGGCATAGTTTGACTGACCTTGACTTCCGCATAATAATATTCACTGCTACCAATGACATTTCTTTCCCATACTTCTCTCGCTAAGAAGATCGGACTATTCGAGCTCTGCATGCAATAAATATTGTTAAAAATAGAAGGGTAACCACAATTAGAAAAAGGTCATCTTGATTAGAGCGTTTCCGTGGTTAAAAATATTTTTAAAAAAACGCAGGTATGCAGATCAAAGTCTTAATAAAACTGAGCTGGGAGAGCGACATGGAATTTTGTAAGAATTTACTTGACTGTAAGGCAAGGAACAAGAAACTGTTTTAAAATTTAAGAAGTTTGTTTCTTTTTCGCGACGGATTAGATATTCAAGAAGAAATTGATTTTAGCGTGAATTCAGTTAGTTGACGAATAATGGTTATTTAGAAATGGTCTAAATTCACCTACTAGTCTGTGGCTTCTGCATTGTTTTAATTCATTCTGAAATCACTATTCATGAAATTATTTCATAGTACGATTCAAGGGAATATGAGGCTCACCTCACGAAAATCCCTTCATGAATACCGGTTGTACCAGTTTAAAACGAGATCGGACAAATTCGTCTTTAGACTTACCTTACTGGTGAGATTTTCGTTCTGCAGCATATACTAGTGATTTTTTGCGGTAACAACGACTCTGGATATAGGAGAATGTTTTTGTATTAAAATATGAACAAAAAATTCATGATAATGAAAAGTTAAATAATTATAGCGAAATAACAAGACAGAATGAGTCTATAGGCAGCCAATCAACAACGTAAGACATATACTTCCTAAGACCTCACTGTTAATCATTGAACTTCCTTTTTCAGATTTTCAATATTTTTAGTTCCTTTTTTCATAGAATTCATTAGATATTTCCATGGTCTAATAATTTTACAATCACCGTGTGGACTTAGTATCTGAATGTTGCATTCCATGTTTGTAGCGCAATCGCTCCGACATGCAATTGGTAAGGTGATCCCTTCAAATCTTGTATCGATCAAAAGAAAATGTAATACAAACGAGTGCAATAAATTTGGCGATCTGGCTATGAAGAAAACTCGACAAAATACAGATTAGTTTTATTTTGCGGTAGCAATGACTCTGAATACAGCAGAATGTTTTCGTCTTAAAAATATGAACGAAGAATTCATGATAACGAAAACTTAAGGAATGACAGCGAAATAACAACACTAAATGAATCTATAGGCAGCCAATCAACAACGTAAGACATACACTTCCTAAGACCTCGCTGTTTATCATTGAATTTCCTTTTTTCAGATTTTTAATATTTTCAGTTCCTTTTTTCATAGAAATCATTAGTTGTTTCCATGGTCTTATAAATTTTACAATCACTGTGCGGATTTAGCATCTGCATGTTGTATTCCATGTTGGTAGCGCAGTCGCTCCGACATTCAATTGGTTATGTGATCTCTTCAAATCTTCTTGTCGATCAAAAGTAAATGTAATATAAACGAGTGCGATAAATTTGGCGATCTGAATATGAAATAAACTCGACAAAATAAAGATTTGTTTTATTCGTATCGCATCAGTTCGTTAATTTTATCTAACACTAAGCGTATGCGCGTTTCAGAAATTTCAGTTTTCCATAGCAACGCTTCAGTTTAAATGAACAATTTCACAAAACTTTCGCCGTTCCGTACTGTATGTATTTCTCAAGTTGTAGGATCTGACTTATTCTTAAGAATCACGTGCACGTTCGAGTGACAATCGACGATCTTTTCATACACCTTGAGGCAAATCAGATTAAACTCAGTGAAAGAGACAAAACCATTTTCAATTTATGTGCGGTGTTTATGGTTTGATGTTATCAATTTCTAGGAGCAGGTGGTCATCAGCGTGAAAAGTTTAAGCACGTCTAAATATCTGTCTTGGGACGATGTGCCCGTTTTCCACAGCGCCCAGGGAAAAATATAACATTGGAAATTTTTGGCGTCAGCGTTTCTGACAACGGTTGATATTTTGTTTGAATCGCTACTGGAACATGTAACTTGACTTGAATCTCAATATTAAATCAAAAATTTATTAATTTAAGAAATATATTTATATAGAGAAGTAAGTTTACCCTTCAATGAACTCTTTTCTTTATGAACTGTCTAAAAGTGTACCACTTCATGAGGAAACTGAACAAAAATATGACATAAAGGAAAATAAAAGTTTGCAATGAAAACGTACTTAAAATGAAATAGCAAATAGATTTTTTAAAGACCGAATGCCTCGAATAACAATGACACGAATTGGAATTTTAAGTAGAAAATAAGTAGCCCGTATGTTTTCCATTGGTGTTTTTTTTTTTTTTGAAAGGAAAAAATATCTGTTTAGTTAAGAAAAAAAAATCAAGAAAAGCTCTAAGTAGGAAGAAAAATGATAAATTCGGGCGACAAAATAATTTCAGTAAGTGCATCGCTATCTTTACAGTGGACGCCGAGCAAGTTTTCTATTTTTTTATCACAATTTTTAGTCTGGTACTCAAGAAAAGATTCTGAGTGATAATTTTGAATTAAAGTACTCACTACAGACACAATAATGTCGTTACCGCTCTTACCTTGACGTTACCCTGGCTTTCTTTCAAATAAAATGATGAAAACTCTTCTGTCGTTTATTTGACATTTGCATAAACCAAGCTTGCATTAATTGTGGTCTAAACGCGATAGGAAGAGGAGGTGAGTTTGTTTGTCAATCACAGTTAAATGACAACTAAGAATGAAATTCATTTGACTTTTCTTTGCCTCCAAAGGAGAGCTTGCAAAAAAATATTGGAAATGACTACCTTGCACGCAGAGTTGAAAGGAAAAAAACTTAAAAGCTAAGGATGTTTGCGTGTGGTTTTTCAAGGTGAACAATAACGCTGGTATTTTATTCTGTGAACGGCTGACCGCGGATTCCTTATGATTCACACCACTCATTGACAACAGATGCATTCACAAAAATTTAATTATTATCTTTGTGTTTAATGCAGAACGTGACCAGAATTTGCCAAAGCAATTTAAATTATGAGCTAGGCGAATTTTTCAATACTGAGCAGCTCAACAAAATTATAGTTCAACCAATTTCGTTTCGTCTCTTTCTTTATAAAAGTAACAGTTTAGAGTTAAGTAAGAAAAAAATTTAAACGAAGACTTGTTTTCGGAAAAATAAATGGCGGAACACAGATGTAATGCTTCCGTTGATTTTTCAGTTTTGGGTTGTTTGGAAACCGGAGGTGCAAGAGAGGGCAAGATAATTATTGTACTGGTAGTATTTAAGGAGCTTATTGGTTGATGAAGATTGCACTCATATTCAAAGTGAACATGTAATCTAGAGTTGTATATATCAGTGTTACTTTCTGAGGAATTAAAATTAAGTTCACATAGGATACCCAATTGCGTTCATAAGGAAAATATGTAAACCAGACAAATCTTAAGATTTTTGCGATGGCTGTGAAAGCCAAAATTACAACGTTCGCTAAAATGTGGTATATACCTGTAATCGCTACAAAGGTTTAATGTCTGCGATCCCCGTGACTACAGCTGTTTGAGAGGATCATAATTAAAGAACCAGGCTATAATTTTCAACTAAGAGGTATTTCAAACCCTCGAGCAGTTAGTTATCTGAATCAGATAACTAACTGCTAAATTCACCTTTTCAGAATTTCTCAGAGTTCTAAAGATAGATATTCCCTCACATGTTTTATCATTTATTTACCTTAATTGTTTTGTTTATATGTTTGTTTTTTTTTATTATAGAATAAGTCAATTTTAACTTTCTGTGCTCTCTGTGCCCTCATCTAATAACAACATTGGTCTTGTGGCATATACATCAGTAAGGGTGTCATTGAGTGATGAATTCCGCGCGTTTAAAAAATTCGGTCTCTATTAAAATAAGACAAAGTAAAACTGCCTGCGATCTTTCAATCCCCAAAAACCTTTGGTTTGCAAGAATCGATTCCAACCTAAGACATCTTGGAGTCAACAACGCAGGCACGCTCGATCAAATAGCGAGGGAAAGGTGAATTGTTTTAGATACTGAAAATGAGTAATTTGCTGCAGTAAGCTACCTTGTTTGAGTTGATTGATCTGTAAATAATTGCATAGTTTGTTACGAGCAAACGAGCTCAAAAGCGAACCACTTTGTTCATTCACTTCCCAACTGATTGAATTTGCTTTCAGCCGGTTCAGCTTGCTGTTGTCAAGCATTTTGCTAAGCAGTGTTCGCACTCGAAAATAAAAAAAATTAAGGTATTTACAAAGCGATTCAAGGTACTCACAGAATTGCCAAGGTCCAAATTAGCGAGAATCAGTGAAACCTCTAGTAGCCTTCTTTAGATCTTCGCTGTGGTGCTATGATAGAATCAATTTCATCAACATTGTCTGTGACACAAGTGACACAATTTATAATCGTGTACTCTATGTTTACATTTGCATTTTCTCTATTTATAT